TAGCAGCGGTGCACCTGCGGCTGCATTAGCACCGCAGACAACTCTCGTCATCTGATGTCGAACCGTCAAATCAGACAGAGACGGAGCACAGACGCCAGCTGGTGGCGATCCTCGCTGACAGGAGCCAACGAAGAACGCGGGAAGTCAAAGGGTGACCTGACTCAGTGAGGGTTAAGGGAAGGGACCCGCGCGTATATTAGCGAGGATGAGTTGCCTGGCTCACCACACCCGGGTGTGCTAGGAAGAATTGGGTATTTCCAAACTTTGGATGCCGAGAAAACCCCGTGTTCATTTCCCAGAGATTGCGAAGAATTTCTTCAGCACATAGGGGATCGGGAAGTTGATTCTCTCTCTCGCTCCCCAAAGGAAGACTGTCTGAGTTTGAGAACGGGGTAGGCGCTACACCATCTGCGAGTCCACGACCGCAACGACAGGTAGGTGGCGTAATTTTTCACAACGCCAAGATCATTTGACGGCTGTTGAAAGAGGTAGATGCGGAGACTCCGGTGCAACCTGTCTGCGGATCGGCCACAAGAGAGGAGAGCATGTCGTAGTGGGTTGAGACAACAGGACGGGGATTAAAACGAACAACAGAAATACTCCCGAAAAGTTGACCCCCCTGTCGAGTCGTTCCATGGATGACAGCTCATTAGGCCCAAAATCACACCAATGAACGCCGCAGAACGTCACAAGTGTTGGCTGCCAGAATAGCATGATATGTGATGGAACCCTTTGATAGTAGTCTCTTGGAAGAAACTTGGTGGCACAGTGAAAATGGGCCCGATGAAGACCCCGGAATGATCCATCTCAGCTGGCGCACACTCTACTGATGTGATTGCGCCGGACAGCGCCGCAGAACTGTGCCATCCCCTAAAAGAATGGCCGACGCAGAGCCGGAATATTTGCGGACCCAGACTGCTGGGTCAGTAGGCCCAAAGCGGTGTGAGCGCCGTTTGCCGGGGAAACGGGGTCCCCAAAGTGTCAATCATGGAAGACCCTGGGTCATCCCAAAAACTTCGAAATGCCTTTTCATCATCATTCATATCTATTCCACTCGAGGCTGCTGGGATGCCACGAGCAGATGGGACCTGCCCCTGTCAGGTGTCGTCGCCGACGTCGTGCGGTTTGTTGACCGTCACGTGGACGTCACGTGGGGTGCCCGGCCGGATGGAGCAGGCGCGACCCTCCAGTTCAGCCTCAGGCTCTCAGCTCTAGGCTATACCGAGTACTGCCCTCCATCTCGTCCTCTTTCTTGCCTGACCCTAAAATAATCGCTCAGCCTCATAAGTCGTCGTTATCATAAATCAGTACTACCATACAGACCATCTTGCTTACGGACTTCGCTTCGATCACTCAGCAGGGATGTTGGCAACGTCTTGTCCGGAAATCTCTCGTCGCGAATCGGACCAAGCCACTCAAAGTGTCAATAAATAAACGATTCCGTATGGTTAGCGCGAGAGAAGAAACCGCAGGGGCGTTGCTAGCCGGGAAAGATTTGGGCTTCTCACAAGATTGCAACTTCTGCGTCAATTGAGAGAACAGGAGCTGACACAACAGTTCCCCAAGGAGATCGAAGAATAATGCCGTTTCCGTCGCCGCCTTTGAAGAAACAACCCTGAATGACATCATGCCAGTTAAATTCCGGTCACCAAAGAAAAGCGAGATCCTCTGTGTATAGGGCAAAAATTTTGAAACATGGGGACGGTACAACTCATCATTGCCCACACAACAGGCTACGCCGAGCACGAGGAGCAACTGGCAATGTCTTAGTGACGATGCCATCCATTCTTCGTAATTGGTGCAATGACCAATTCTCTCTATCATAACAGAGACGAAATGGAGCATTACGTCAATGAGCAGATCCGCCCCATTATCGACCCCATATCTCACTCGTTGGTTGTTACAGCATCTGCTTACTAGATTTTGGGGCCAAACGCTTTGATACAGTATATCATTCGCTGAATTACCCCTGCACCCTGTCTGATCGTTTGAGCTCTGGCCATGGTTAATTTTATCTTGGGACGCCTTGTCTTGTAAGGCTGAGGCGGCGTCAATGCAACGTGCCTATGTATAGAGTCTATTCTGGACTACATCTATGCTGGAGGAGGTCTCTGACTCAGTCACCGGGATTGTGATGTTGAAGTGGTAGCATGCCATATCATTCCTAATTCATGTCCTGCTCGGGGTTTGAATTCCATGTAGCATTTCCGGTAGTTGTACACAGTATAATCACACATGAGTCAAGTACTGTAGATGTCATGTGAAACGACGATTCTGGTGCACGTGACTGTGGTCCTTGCAAGCCGCCAAGAGAGTGACGTTGCGGCTTCATCCCGTCGCGTCTGCTTTGCTTCGGCATTCCACAACTCCACAATCCCCCTCCCTGTCGAGATATACTGGTCGCACATGTAATGTCCATAGACGTTAACTGGAGGACTGCCACCTCTGGTCCAGACGGTGAGGCTCTGGCGGAGCGCATTCGCTCCTTCATTCACGATAGGTTCCAGCAGGTGGCCCTCCCTCGTTTCATCCGATCCGTTCAAGTCCATTCTTTCGACTTCGGAACCATTCCGCCCGACCTTGAGATCAAGGACCTCTGCGAGCCCTTTGCCGATTTCTACGAAGAAGACGAAGATGATGAGACGTCCGAGGTGTCGGAGGAGTACGTCTCCGACCACGGCAATCAGTGGCACGGGCATTCTGATCTCAACGAACCCCCATTTCGAGACGACTTGGCTATGAATCACCCGCTACGCGATCCATTCGATGATGACTATCAACCTTCGGCTCTGCGATCACCAATGCCCTTAGGCGACCATCTGAATCCTCATTTCCTCCCCCGCGCTGGCACTCCTGGCATTCCTGGCGGAACGTCAACATTGGGCTATCACCTCATGTCCATTGGTGGACTGTCGGGGACACAAACCCCTCTTGCTGCGGTCGCCGGCGGAACTCCCTTTGCGAGTGGCTGGACAGATCCTGGTATGCGGTCTGGAAACATACATCTTCCATCGACTCCGACCCGTACGCATCACACCCGCCCGGACGCCGACATCGATTCTAGCAATCCGGCCTCGCGCCCCTCGACATCGAGTACCCACCCGTCTCATCCGTCTGGGTCACATAGAAATAGCGGGGAGAGTACAATGGGCAAAGACGGATCGCATCGGCATGGGGAGAGTGACGGCGCACAAGGCGATCCTCTGCGACTACCACCTCGAATGAGGGAGCGCAAGCCTGAAGATTTCCAGGTTATGTGTCACGCCAAATATGCGGGGGACATCCGGCTGTCGTTGACTGCGGAGATTCTGCTCGACTATCCGATGCCTAGCTTTGTGGGACTACCTCTGAAGCTCAACGTAACCGGTCTCACTTTCGACGGAGTTGCAGTCATCGCCTACATTCGAAAACGCGTTCATTTTTGCTTCCTATCCGCCGAGGATGCAGATGCTTTGATAGGATCTGATCAACAGGAGACCGGGGACCAGACCGAACATGGCCGGTCCGGGGCCGATCCCTCCACGTCACCTAAACGCCAAGGGGGGCTACTGCGAGAAATTCGCGTCGAGAGTGAGATCGGCCGCAAAGAAGACGGGAAACAAGTCCTGAAGAATGTTGGAAAGGTTGAGCGGTTTGTTCTGGCTCAGGTGCGACGTATCTTCGAGGAAGAACTTGTTTTCCCGAGCTTCTGGACATTTCTCATCTAGGTATTACGAAGGAACGAGCCATCAACCGTGTAATCTGGATATACTTTCTTTCTGGGACATACTTTCTTGTGAATTATACCCTAATAAAATATCAATATAGACAAGCATTTACATTTCAAAGTCATGTTCACTAATCCTCAGCCATGGAACTGTCATTGACGCATAGTCCAACCAAACAACGACGGTCAGGTGACAGAGCAAACCCTTGCTCAAAAAACAACCATTTTCAAGAATCGCCGAAGACACTCACGCCGGATCAGCCATCTTTTCCCCCCTGTCCTCACTCATTATCATAAAATCTGTGACTTACGTCCCACTCCCCATCTGAGCACCGGGTTAGCTATCTGCGCAATCTTGGGGAAACAGATCGCCATAGGCATGTCTTGCATTAGCTTGCAGATCACATCACTGTTTCTCAGAAACGCCACTGAATCGGAAGAGGTAAGAGGGGCAGATGGGTGCATTCTCTGTTTGCTTTCCTATCTCGAGTAAGATCGTCGGAAGTTTGATATTCTCAATATAACTGCATGAATCTGTTAAGCTGCTGACGTTTCAATTGTAGCAGCCAGTCGGCGCAAAGTATGAGGAAGCTCCAGCTCTCAGCCTAGATCATCATTCAGCTATTACGTATCTGCAAACACAAAATGGGAATTTGGGGAATCGAATTGTCAATCAGGCTGTCAATGACTCTGCCAGTACGACATCTCATACGCAATGCAACATGTCCTTGAAGAAGCAGAGTGCGCAAATGCGCATCATTTGCTTCATGATATTTGTTTTGGGAACCAATCCACCGAATAGTACGCTTCGTGGAACGGCTATCATACAACATCAGACTTTTTGTTTATTGCTTTTTGTAAGAATAGGGATGGCTTCCAATAGTACTGTATAAGGGACTACTCTACTGGAGTTGGCCAGTATTTCCTCCTTCATACCCTTGGAGCTACGTCGAGATACATGCGAATTGTTCGTTATTCAATGTTTGGGTCTCACGGACAGCACTTGCCTGTCAAGGCCGTTGCATTGGAATACTGACCGAGTATGATGTCGATAGGTGCGACGGCCACGTACTTTGAGCCACAGCAGTCGAGCTGAAAGAAGTGCTTGTATTTCATTTGCATGGCTCTACCAGATCCCGAAGGACGTCGTCATTGCGCAGACTCAACGCCGATATCAGGCATCTTCGTTCCCCAGACTGAACATAAATAGCCCGCTTTTCCCTGCTAGTAGATCATCCATCCATTAGACACTCAAACTCTCATACCCTCAAGCACCACGCCAAAGACCTTCACCATGCCCGCCCTCATCACCAGCGACTACGCTACTGTCTCCGATGGCTCCACCATCTGGGTCTATTACCAGAACGATGCCAATGAGCTTCGTGAGGTGACCTCCTCGGATGGATCCAAATGGACTGAGACTTCCAGCGCTGTCGCCGACAAGCTCAATGCCGGTGGTTCTCCTATCACTGCCTACTACGTCAAGAACGACGGTACTGCGGGAGGCAAGTCTTCGGTAGGATATTCCTCCCATACATTACACCTTTATTTGCTGATCTGATGAATCTATTAGGTTCATGTCATCTACATCGACGCATCTGGGATCCTTCACGAGATGGTCAAGACTCCTCTTGACAACCAAAAATGGAAGGAACGCGAGCTGTCGGATGATATCAAAAAGGCACCCATTCAGACATCTCGTCTCACCAGTGGTGTCTGTCATGACACTGCCCCTGGCGCTCACCAGTGGATCTTCTTCGAAAAGTATGTCCCGGTTTTTGTCCCCCTCCACCCCCCCCCCCCCCCCCGGTGCCTTCAAAACCCATTTTAGGAAACTCAACCACTCACCCGAAACAAACCTCCAGATTGGACTCAGAATCCGGCAGTCCTCAAATCGCCGAGCTCCGCAGCGGCTCCGAGAGCAGCTTCAAATGGACCTATCAAGTCATCCTCCCGGAGAAGCCGGCCAGCGCTCTCCCCGGTACCCAGCTAGCCACTAACATCACCAATCCCGCCAACCATCTGTTCTTCCAGGACCACGAAGGCGACGTTGCTGAGTATATCGGTGGTTATGATAGTTGGAACGGTATGCATTCCCGTATTCCATACCCAAAACCCCAAGAACAGACAAAAAACACTTGCTCAAGAAAAGCAAAGAAATAACACCCATACAATACAGACCACGCCGAAATCCTCACCAACGACAAAGTAGAAATCAACACCCCCATCTCCGCGGCTAACTCTAGTGTCCCGGAAAAGCCGTATGTCTTTTACGTGTCCCGGACCACGCCGCTGACCATCATGTGTTACGACCACGACAAGTCGACGTCGACTGAGGTCGGGAAGTACTTCCCGGGTACGAACTTGGATGCGATTACTGTGCAGGAAAAGGTGTTGTTGGTGCACAAGCCGCTCGAGAAACGGGGTGCGGTCTGGACTAGGGTTTTTGATGGGAAGGAGTGGGGGATGGGGGCGCAGGTTGTTGCTTAGGTTTTATCTTAAGTTGGGGTTGGGTTTGAGACTGGGAGGCGGTGTTTGGGGTGTTAGGGAATGGAAATTGTTGGGGTTGAGGTTTGAGAGGTAGGAGTTGGTTCGTGGTTGATGGAGTCAAGAGTTGAGCTAGGGATTGGTTCGTAGTCGGTAGGTAATTTGTCCATGGTAGGCATGACAGAATGAATCATCAATATTTCTTTGAGAATATGGATGTGCCTGATACCCTCAACTACCGTGGACAACCTAGTGTGTCTGTCTCTTCAGTTGATGCTCTACCTCCTGATGCAGGGTTTCATGCTAGAAGTTGAAGTATATGCAACGCGTATGGAACCTGACCTTGTGTCTACTATGTTTGCACGTCACAAGCTTCTAGAACGCTATCAGTGGGTCTTTGCTATTTCGATTCCAATTTCATTGATTGTTTAATTCGATTTGCCGTGTATTAAGCATACAATTTCACTAATAAACTCTGTCAAAAGACACCGACCTACCTTATGAGTAGCTGTAGCTAGAAAAACAATGCATTGATGTCCCATCATATGGCTATCAAATCAAACCTTCCACAAAAAGCGCTGCTGCTGCTGTCAACAACAATGACAAGTCAAGAAACATTCATGGTAGAAATAAATGCCCGAACCCGCATTAAAAGTCAGCTAAGCCCTACCCGACAGGACGGGCCAGCTTTCCTCGCAAACACATCCCCAATTGATCAATCAATCTGTCCACCGCTTGAACGGACAATTTATCCATAGATCGAAAGGAAGTGTGTCTGACTCCGCCTAGGCGAAGAAAAGGTCCCTCTCTATAGGTCCTTCTTGGCGCCTTCTTCCTTCTCGCCGGAGACCTTGTCACCCAGGGAGTGGTATTCACGAGTAAGTCCTTCGCACTGCTTCTTGAGGGTCTCGATGTCGCGGTCCTTAGCTGCGAGCTCTTCCTTCAGACGGCCAATCTCGCCGACATCTCCGGCCTGCGCAAGACGGGCGGAGTCCTTGCCGCCAGCCTTCTTGTCGCCCTCGAGGAGCTTGACGCGGTCTTCAAGGCGGAGAACATCCAAGATCATGCTGTAAGTGCGGTTGAGAATGAGAGAGAGGAAGAGAGTGAAGCCGCAGAGGTACATGTTCCGCTGGGAGTAGAATTTCCGGGCCTGCACTTCCATGCGGTCGGTGCCGAGGGCGGCAGCTCTAGAGGTTGGAAATTGTATTTAGCAAGCTGTGTCAAACAGGCAAAATGAAAGCTGTGCAATAGGATATGGGGATAAAAGGTAGAACTCACCCCATTCCACTACCCTCCTTGTGGAAAGCGGCCAGCTCGAGCTGCACACGGTAAACGCGGTTGACGCTGTCGATGAAGAGGATCAAGATGAAGATGAAGGTAATCTTGCAAGATTGTTAGCCTACCACCAAATGTCGCGATAAAACATCTCCGAAAGCTTACCTTCAAACCATACTGGAGCTTGGCAACAATGGGGCTCTCCGAGACGAAAGCGAACAACTTCCGTTTAACGGTGAACGGCAGAGGAACGATGAGGCCCATGAAGACACCCATCTCAAACACCAAGAGGCAGAATACCTGCAGATTCCTAGTCAGATATAGAGTTCTCCCGTGTACAATGATGTGTTTTGATAAATTGCGTCATGCGGTAACCGCCGGGAGCTGCCAGGAGAACATCCCCGAAGATCGTCGAGCAGGCAAATTGAGAGCCAACAAGAGGAAACAACATACAAGGCTGTAGTATAGAGTCATTGTGCCTAGGGTTTTCAATAATGGCCTGTTGTCAAGAGGAATGAATCGATTTTGAAGCCCTCAGGCTGCCGGTGAGGCGTCGTGTGGGGAGGGGGAAAGGGATTGAAAATGTAAACAAAGGTCGATAGGTGCTAGGAATGACCTCCAGGGGTCCAGTAAGATGAGAACTAGCTCAAGATTTATTGTCAAGAGCTTTAAGAGCAGGATACGGATGGAGTTCGAGTAGAAATGAGATCAGGGGCGTCGGAACGATCCAGCAGAGACGAGGTGGTCTTTTTGGAGTTTTCGGGTGCGAGGAAGACGTCATTACCGCCTGAAGCTGGGGACACGGCACGTGACGTGTCTGCCTTGAATTTTAGGAATGCGCGGAACACGTGCCGAGAGATCCTCGGAGCGTAACCTAGGCACGTCACTTTCTTCTACTCTATCACTGCATCGTAACACATATGTACATTCATGTCTATATGATATCTAAGTTTTCATAAATCTTCGATTTTAACCTTCCGCTTCGTCGTAAGAGTTGGACTTGTGTTTCGGCTCGAACTTGAAGTCCTTGTGGGCTGGACCGAGGAACATTTCCCTGTTGATCAATCCGTCAGCATTCGATGCAGGTTACACGATAGTGATGGGGAAAGTCCAGTGGAAGGCAACTTACGTAATTTTGATCCAGTCCTTGTAGTTGGGGCTGCCCATGAGCGTCTCCAAGTCATTACGACCCTTCCAGATGGGCGGCCGGTCCTGGATGTTGGGGGGTAGATATTCGAGAATTCCAATCGGCACGTAGCGATAGGTGAAGCTGAGCCATTCGAGCAAGAACCGTCTGGTGATGCCAACGCCATATTCATCAGATCCCCATGCCTCCAGACCGTACTTGGCGAATTTCTCGACCAATGACAGACGCTCGGATGCAGACTTGTCCAGGTACTGGCCCGCCTGGATCTCCTCGAAGATCCAGGGCTTGATCAGAGCTCCTCGGCCGACCATGACACTGTCAACGCCGGAGTTGTTGATATGCTCATCGTAGTCATGGTGCGAGTAGCAATCGCCATTTCCGAGGAAGAATGTCTTTCCTCCATTGGGCAGCGTCCGCGCGTCGGGCTCGCGGATGGTGTCCGTAAGATCATCAGTCTTCTCGTTTAAGCGCTTGACGAGAGCGGCACATTCGGCAATATAGCCCCAGTCAGCGGATCTGGTGTATCTTTGCTGTCGGCTTCGTCCATGAAGCGTGATGGCTGCAGCGCCCGGAGGGCCAACATTCAGCTGCGAATATTCGTAACCTCCGAGAATCATACGCTCGACCAGTTTAGTGGCGTTCGGCGCATTGTCCCTGGTTCCCATGCGAATCTTGACGGTAATGGGGATCTCCTCCGACACGGCATTCATACCACGCACGATTTTCTCCAACTTCGCCGGATGTTCCAACAGAGCAGATCCGGCTCCTTCACGGTACAGAAGATCAATCGGACAGCCGCAATTCAAATCGATGACGCGCAGGTTGGGTGTGTAGCGGGACAGAAACTCGGTAGCCTTCAACGCTTGCCAGGGTTTGTTAGCCGCAATCTGAGCACCGAATCTGATATCTTTAGAGTTGTCATAGCCCTGCACAATGTTGTCCTTCATGGAGACCGTCGGGGGAAGCATCTCCGTTTCATGGGCTCTCATCAACGCCCACTCGGATTTGTGGCCTTGGACCAAGGGCATGCTCATAGCCATCTCAGAGTAGGTGAACTGTGCGCCGAGCTCCGTGCACAGTCTCCGGAAGGGGAGATTTCCCTGTGTCGTCAGAGGGGCCAAAGCAGGGGTTTCGGGTCCAAAGTATAGCCGTCGCTTCTCGGATGGCAGAAACGGGGGCTCTGTGTATTGGGCCCGGTTATCTTCCCTTTGTTCCTTCTCCGCCTCGCTGTCATCAGGTTTTGCGTCCCCATCCTGGTGTCGGCCATGGTTAACTTTTTCCAACTCTTTACCACTCTTGTCCAGCCAGGTGTTGAAAGCATCGGCCCGTGGCGTCGTGGTCTTCTTCCTTGCGAGCGCATACTTAACGTCTGCCGGAACGTTATTCGCGCTACCATCTTCCGTCGCATGCGGGACAAGAGGCTGCGCCTTCTTCTGGCGTTCCTCGTCCTCAGTCAACACCAGCTCCTTCTTCCCGTCCTCGGTCTCACGTTCCGTCATGTGAGAGCCAACAAACCGGCACTTCCACCCGGCAGGACACTTGCCCCTTGCATCCCAGACAGGACAGAGATTGTTGAAGGTGGTGAGGTCCTCGCGCTTGTGTTCCTTCAGGTAGGTCCGTAGGTCATGCTCGTGGCGACATTTCTCACCCCAGTTACACGTGCCCGGGGAGAACTCCGGCGCAGAGTACCGGCTCGGGCAGAGGGTCTTTTCATCCTGCGATCGTCCGAACGAGCGTCCCTTGTTTGCGCCGGTGTTCTTCTTCTTCTTTTCCTTCTTGTCCTTCTTGGCTCCTCCGTCGCGATCGTCGTGGCCGGCGGCCTCCGCGGCGTCGTCAGCGTTTTGTTCGGGTTCCGTCCTGGGGGTGGGGAGTTGCTGGATGAGGAACCTGGTTGAGGGGTTAGTCTGTCACGTTCAAGACAATTCCGCGTAGACTTCTTCGAGGCACACGTACTCTGGCTTGATGGCGGCGATACCCTTCAAGCGCCGACCTCCGGTGTTCGCGTTCTCCTCATTGGAAGCCGCAGGTTCGTCCAGCTTGGCTTTCTTCAAAGGGGGCCCTTCGGTAGCATCTGCAGCCGATGCGCCGTTCTGCTGTTCGGAGATAGGCGCAGTAGATGGTTCTGCTTGCGGCGGCTGCGCCTGAGCGTCGGTCGAGTCCATTGTCGGTGCCACTGCTTTTGTGCAGGTAACGAACGACCTGTATCAATCGGAGTAGACGGTAATGAAAGCGAGGGAAACGGCGCCTGTCGTGTTTGTAGACTTGCAGCGATCGATCTGCCGCCAAAAATTTCGAGACGCAGCCGAACCAAAGCGGAGAGAGGCCGCAGTTTGCATGCTTTGCATTGCAGGGGTGGCGGGGACTCCGTGTGGCGCACGAAGGCGGTCAAGGGCGGCCTAGTCGGTGGCGGTGCGCAGTCGTAGCTACTACTACTGCATGTAGAGTGATGATGTCGAAGGGGAAAGTCTGCTTCCCCTTTACATTACCCGTATTGTATGCCATACAGCCGGCGGCATACGCGGTACGAAAAGGCGAAGGTAATGACGGTAATGGTACAGAAGTGGATCACACCCACCGAGGGTGAACCTTCTTTCGCCAACCACGCCTTTTCCGTCGCTTTCATTTCGCTCGTTTTTTCTAGAAGACCTCGGCCTCCAGCAAATAATAGCCTTACCAGCCTCTCTTTTCGCCTCGACTCTACTCAAGACGGTTTTAGATCGGTGCTGCCCCCCCCCCCCGTGGACTACTCCACTCAGCCCACCATCTTGGGATCCATTCCCTAAATCGCCTTTACCCCTTTCTGCAACGGTGGAAATTGGACAGCCATGAGCGGTGGGATGCAGGGTGATTATTGATCGCATCCAGCCAAAAATGTGTTTGTCGCCAACCAAAACAGACAATACGAGCGACAGAAACAGAAAAGTGGCCTACGACAAGGTGTGTCTTTTCTTTTTCCTGTTTGTCGATCAGGGGAAGACAAAACCAATAGCAGAACAGCTGGTAACTCAATTGCATCTTGGCACAAGGATCACAAGACAAATAGACGCGTTCTGTATCCAGTGTCTGAAGATAAGTAGACAAGACGGAGTACGCCGTACTAAGCACTCTGTCGAGTGTACGGAGTAGAGTTGGACAGATCCTCTGTGATCTATCCCCACCGGAGAGGTACGACTGCACATTGCGAATCGTACGCAGCGGTGCGACACAAGACTGTGTACAGCAGTCTGCAGAGGCTCAGGTGGATGGGCCCGAGATCCACCTCTTCAGCATTCTTCCGCGTCTGCACTCTGCACCTTCACATCAGATGGCGACCAGCCCACATGTAAGGAACAAAAGCACAGGTGGCGTTTTTGTGATCCGCGGATTCGGCAGTGAGGGATGGCAGTTCGCCCTGTCAATGGTTGATCATGCAATACATCGCCTGAGACCTTAGGGCTGTCCTGCCTGTAATCGATATGCCTCCATGGTGATATGATGTGCCATCTGCATTCTGGACATCGCTCGGATCTCCCCAATCTGGACTTTCCATTGCCTCGGGATCGGGAGGTTTCGCAGGATATGTACGGTGTACTGTAGTTTGTACGGACTACGGAGGAGCCATCTCCACAATACCGCTCGGGAAGGAATTCGTCGCTGAAGTTGATGGATGGTGAGCTGTCAAACTCGGGGTGCCGACCACCTACCGTTACTATTGTCATGTAAAACCATCGTGGTAAGGCGGAAACTGCAGATCGGAAGTGCTCAAAATTTAGGTTCGCTTACAACGAGCCGAGCATGCGTCCGACCTTCAGTCTTCAGTAGTATACACTATTGAAACCCGAGAGGCAAGGTGATTGTGGATGGACTCCGTCGCCTATCACCAATTCAGGTTACCTTGTAATATATGAAGAACAGTGCGGTTCCAAAAGGTGGCGAATCCTTCATCGGAAGCTATGACTAACAGCACACAACGAATTACTCCATAGTTATGTAGCTACTGGATGGTCGTCAGTCCAGATATTTCATTCAATAGATCACATCAGTTGGTACCACAAGATTACCGAATATTGATCATGCGAGCCCTGACATCCCACCCTTGCGTTTTTTCCTGCGGATAGAGCGTATTCCATTAAATCCGTACTACCTCAAGGAATCCTTCTGCCGTGTTTCTAGCGTCGAAGCCAAGACACGGTGTATTCCGGCGTCATGGCAACATCATTGGAGAGCGAAGGGAGGCTGTGTGTCGCTCCCGACTTTAGCATGATCGATCGGTCTGCGAATAGGCGGGGGATGATCTTTATTATTAGGCATTTTTTCTCTGCTCCAAATTTGGGGGACAACTTGCGTCTTATCACAACAGCACGGTATCCGACTGAACTCCGATTAACTAGACTTTTAGTAACAACTACTTCCGTGAAATCCATCCAATACTACCCAACAGACACGACGCAGGCTGCTTGGGCTAGCGCCGGAATCATAGCGCTGATTCCCCTGGGCACCGTTGTCTTCGTACTTTCGGACAGACCGCCAAGTTGTGTTTGACTTGGTTTGATTTGATTGCCTGCCCATGGATTCCCCGGACAACTTCCCCTCGACCGATTTGATGTCATTCGGAATGAGGGGGTAGACTGGGGGGAAGTGGAGGGGACGATAAGGTGATCTATCGCGCCCCCGTAACTAGCGATAGAGAACAGAGATAAAGAAATGGCCCCTAATCCTGATATTCGATTTAGAATCATACGATTAGGGCAACGTTAACCACTCCGAGGACCCTGGCCCCGACTTTCCATGAACGATTGGGGAGCCAAATCCATAGTTAGTCCTAAACCGTAGCGTTTCCACACGCAGGGGGCCCTGCACGCATGCACTTAGCAGTTACCACTTAGTGTTTAGCACCTTAAGATTTACACCGTGTAGCACTGAGCAGTAGTTCTCATCTTCCGGTCATTTTGGAGTTCCTGAAGATCGAGCTTAACGGCTGTACGGAGTAACACTCATTTTTAGGACCGTGTGGGGAAGCCTTTGGGGCGACAACTGTGCATCTCAGATCTATGTAGTACTTGTTCCGGGGACGATGGTCAGCCGCCCCCTTTTTGTATGACTCTTTCTAACTTACTCCATACTTTCGGATGAAATAATCATGAGCCAGTTCCATGACGCATCCCGGTTAATAATAGTCAGGAGTAGGTCAGATCCCGGGGGAACCATGGATGGCATCACTCCAATTCCGTATTCCCTTTCATCGGCAGTAAAAGCCGACAGAATGAGCGAAGGAGAGTCGAGTCCAGTCGAGTCCGAGTCATCGTTGGGACGTGGCAGCGTTGCAAGGACGAGCTGGACAACGCAGGAGGGAGTGACTCCGACGGATGGTAAGATGATGCGCAGGATGACGCTGCCCTCTCTCTGGCTCATCATCGACTTTCTTCGAAGAAACACTAGTGAGGCCGCTAGCCTGCAAGCGGTGTCAAATCCACCGCTTCTAACGGTCCCACCACTCCGTCCACAGTACTGTGCCATTTCCCATGGATTGTGTTGTAAGATGTAAGACATTCCATAATTCATCCTGAATTGCTACTCTTGTGAGTCTTTTCTCTTGAGAAGTGAAAAGGGACGAGGGAAAGAGAAAGGGACTAGTTTCAAAATTGTCGGGGAGATTTCCTCGGTCGGGGGAACCACCGTCCCGTGTAACTTACCTCCCCCCGTGACGTGTATTACGTATGTATTTCACGTGAATTACGAAGTGCCCGCCCGGATTAATTACGGCCTTCGCCTGCACTTCGAGGCCCATCACCTTCCGCCAGTTGCCTCATCCTCTCCCTCCCATCTCTCCTTGCGCTTCCATCTCGTTGGATTCGTTTCCAACGCCTTCTCCGGCTGCTAGAAGATCCTATCCTTCCTCGTGTCTATTCTTCTTCCACGTCGCTGCGAAGTTGATCGGCGTTATATTGTTACGTGCCGCCACCTTTCCCGAATCCGTCACGTTTCCGCAGTCCAAAGCGGGACAACATCCGAGGGTGGACACTCCCCTGTGTGAATCCGCCCAAAACCGTCCGTCGAGGGTTCACTTCTTCATGCCCAAGTCGTCCGAGGTGACGCTGAAGCTTCCCTTCTCTTCCTCCTCTGCTATCCTTTGATCGGAGTTCTCAACTCGCGCCTTTCCCTGGGTCCTCCGACCATCCCGTAACCGCTCCTCTCGGGTCTGGCGTACCGTTTTGCGCAGATCGGACAGGGAACTCGTTCTTCGGTCGCTCGTGGCCTCGAAATTCAACTCGAGACTGGTCTCTCCTTCACCGGCCATCGATCTTCGCATCCCGTACCTTCCTTACTCCGGATTCCACGACCTGCCGGTTCCTCTCCTTCGCAGTATTCCTATCTCATCACCGTCACCATGACCGGCGCTGCCGCTCCGATTGACATCGCCACCCGCCAGAGCTCTGTCTCGCCTCCGGGACAGCAGGCATCGAACCTCACCTCGGCCCTGCAAAGAGCTGGCAATGGCGAACGCACGGGTAGTCTATCTCATGCCAACGGCGTTGGTCTGAGCATGTTCAAAGCTCCCCCTCCTCGAAAAGACTCCATTGGTACAACTTCTGCACACTGGGGAAACGGTACGAAACCGATCTCTGTGTCGGGGAATAACCGCGATAAACAGCAGCGCCGCGAATCTCTGGCTGGAAGTCTGGTGGGAGGAATGAGCTGGGGTGGCGTGTCCGTTGGCAGTTGGATACGCGACGAGTAAGTTACTTCATCATCTGTGCCACTAAATTTTGCCGCTGTTTCTAGCGGGGGGTTATCAGAGTCCCGCATGCGCAATCCAAGCTGTGGAAACTGACAATTCCACACTTCCAGTATCCTTATGACCGGCACTTCTCCATTCCACATTCAATCGCCTTCTTTTCACTCGTCCTCATACCTGCCAAAGCTAGAAGCAAATTTCATGCGAGATTTCCAGTGTTGTAATGTGACCCTGCCGACCCTCCACGACCTTCTGCAGCACTACGAAGAAGCCCACGCTACGAAATCTCCCCACCAGGGAGGACATCGCCCGAGTCAAGCGGATGGCCGAGCTGCTTTGGCTGCAGCCGCGATCGCGCAACAACAGAACCAGCAGAACCAGAACCAGAATCGCGGGCTGCAGCCTGACAGGACTCTCGATTTGCAGCGAAAATTGAGTCAGACCCAAACCATGCAGCCACATTCGGACATGGACACCATCGACGATATGGAGTTAGATGAGCCGATGGGTGACGGCGATCCCACATCGTCCCATTTGTTCTCGCCACCGTCGCAAGATAGCAGCCAAGGAGGCTTTGGTAATTCCAACCAGAGAGTTCCTCATCTGAACCTGTCGATGCTACCCAGTCATCAGGGCTTCAAAGGCTCTCAGCCAGGGACACCGGTGGCTTCCGGTCGCCCCCTGTCATTGCAGAATAACCCCACCGTTTCCTCCGTAAATACGCCGACGTTGATGGCAAATCCCCTGCAGAACTCGCAATTCCGAACTACGCCGGATTCCTCTGCTCCGGGCACCCCGGCAGAGCTGGAAGAGAGCATGATCAGTCCGTTTGGCGACATGTCAATGCAAAACAACCCGATGATGCAGGCCCAGGGACAGTTCGGCAGGTTCAGCAATGACATGGTCGATTTGTGCATTGACGAACCCGCCAAACGACTATTCAGTCCCACTGGAGGACTCAACTCTCCTAACGCCCACTTCAAGCTTAGCGGAGCGCAGTACGGTCCTAACAGCGAAATTGCGCGCCGAATTCGCGAGCAGCAGTTGTTGGCCGGTGTTCCCGACACCACCGCTTTGCTCCCCAATGAAGAGCCTAAGCCTTTCAGGTGCCCTGTCATCGGATGCGAAAAGGCGTACAAGAACCAAAATGGTTTGAAATACCACAAGGCTGTAAGTGACCCCTCGATTCCTCTTCGTGTTACTCAAACTAATCATACCCCCCTCAGCATGGCCACAACAACCAGCAATTGCATGATAACGCAGACGGCACTTTCTCGATTGTCAACCCAGAAACATCGGCCCCGTATCCTGGCACCCTCGGCATGGAGAAAGAAAAACCCTACCGTTGCGAAGTTTGTGGCAAACGATACAAGAACTTGAATGGCCTCAAATACCACAAATCGCATTCTCCGCCATGTAATCCTGATTTTCAACTTGCCGCTGGTCGCAACCTCTTTGGCGGAGGCGTTATGCAGGGTCAAAATATCAACGTCGCCGGAGCTGGCCTGCCTGGCATTGGTGAAGAAGGGCTTCTATAGACAGTCCTTTGTCTGATTCGAGGAAGAACTGTTTATATATCTCTCTCCCGACATAATTCGATTCGACGATATCTCTTTTTGTTAACGGCCTCGTCGCGACACACGATTAATGAACCGGTTTGGTGGCTTGGAGTTAATTTCGGTATGAACGTTCTATCAATCGCGGTTTCCAGACCCGGTGCTTTGGTCTGGAATAGATCGATATGCTCTAAGACCCTGGAGACGCCAAATGACTTGCTGTCTAAGAACTTGCTACACCTTGTCGATATGAGTTTTGTTTCTCGGTCATCGCTCTTCTCTCTTCTCTTCTCTTTCCATTGGATTGCTTTTGCTTAAACGCCTTTTATCTTGGAGACACAAATGTGTGAGCTTGAGTGTTCTCACATGTCCTTAATACATCTCTACGGTCTTTGTTCGAAGTACATACTCCCAGCAAGGAGGTTGAGACGGCAACGCAAAGCATCGAGAAATCTTACAGTATGGGATCAAAAGTATAAGATCAACTATTGGGACTACGTCGGTTTGGATGTGATCTTGGGACAAATGATTGGCTTTGTTGCAAACAGGTTTTTGCTCCAGCGCGCAAGATCTGAGAATTGGAAAATGGCGAATTCCAGGCGTCCTGAAGATAGATGTTCTACAGGCTTTTCTCTTTGGCTCCTCTTTTTGCTTCTTGTTTTGCTTTGCTTTTCTTTTCTTTTCTTTTGCTTCTAGTATTGTCCACGGTGTTGCCGGAGAATTCTGGAGTTTGGGTTGCTGCACATAACTACTCTGTTTGCTGATAGATTTGGTCTAGTTTGATTCCCATGGCTTGTTTAGCTTTATTTTGCTTATAATGGAAAAGAAAAAGTTCGGACAATATATTACTCCTTGTGCATTGATTTTGGTCTGCATGGAAGACAATCTACGGAGTAGCTGCTAACAATATAGCCAGTGAAGACATGCCCGAATCTAAAGGCACCCACCACAGCCTTTACCTCTTCTCTTCTCTTCCCTTGTTTTCTCTTCCCTTTGTTCATCCATCCTTCGCCACCTCACCTCCAACTAATTCCGAAGTACCGGTCCAGAACCTCTGGTTGACGTCATTAATGACGCGGATCTAAAGATCCTCCCCAGCTCTTCCCGTCTTCCTGAATCGGTAATTCTCCGACTTTCTCATGTGGGACGTGAAATCAAATGTATGTACTAATATAGATTTGATTTTGTAGATCTAATGTGACTTCCTCTATCCAGAGAAGGGCGCTTAAGGGATTACTTACTGAGTATTCTTTATTACCGGTTAAGGCTCAGTAAATATTGATTGTTCATATTATAACCCGTCGTTACGATCCTATAAGCTTGATAGTATGTAGCGAGATAGAATATACCGTACCTAAATTCATATCTCCACTAGGGCGTAGTAACTAATCATTTCAGACATTGAACTTCTCGAAGAATTGATATTGATTTTTCTTTCGACGTATCCGACGGAAGAATTGCTTAATTCTCTAAATTAAATCTATTCAAGGTAGTGTGGCTGAATGGCCTTTGTGTTAGAGGGACAAGGGATGGTTTTTGGTGTGTCTTGTTGTCTGCCTTCTTTCTTTTCTTTTTTTTTTTTTTTTTTTTTTTTTTTTTTTTCGGAACTTTTGAGAGAGAGAGAGAGATTTTCATTTATAGGAGCGCAATGCCTCATGTATAAGTATATATCTGTTCCCAATTCCTAACATAAGATTTAGCCACTGTGATACTCAACATTTTGGATTACGAATGCAGATCAAGAGGCTTAGAGCGTGTAATGAAGGACTCTTTTATATGTTGTATTTAAAAGAGAAAAAGGCTAGCTATGCATCTATCATTCCAAAACAGTAATCCCCGCCGCAAGGCTTGACAATTTGCGAAACCCTCAGTGGCTCACATTCCAAAATGCTCCGTCCTCCGTCCTCGAAAGTTGCTTGAACCAAATCAATGACACTGAATCCTGCTATCTTGACGATTGAGCCTCCACAAAATCAGAAACGGCCTGGGGTTTCGGCTTGACGCTCCTCCAGCGGATTCCGAGTGCAAGGAGGAATGCAACGGCAGCAACACTGGCTGCGACGTAGAACGTCCTTGTGATCGCGTGGTTGTATGCATCTAGCACGCCTGGCAAGTGGGCCGCAGGAACCACGTTCCTGACTTCAGCGGAGCCGGCAGCGAGAATGTGCTCTATCTCGTGGGCTTCAAACCCCCAGCCGTCCAGCCGCGAGACGAGTTTGTTCTCGAAGATGGCCTCCGCGATGGCGAGGTTCACGGAGGCTCCGAAGAATTGAAAGCATTGCAGTAAGGAGGTACCGACGGGGATATCCTCGGGCTTGAGGACGGTCTGTGTCGCGACGTAGGGCATTGAGAGGGTCATTCCGACACCGAGGCCTTGGAGGACTTGGAATGGGATCCATTGCTGGTGGGGAGTGCTTTCGGAGAAGGTGGAGAAGAGGCCCGTTGCGAGGCTCATCAGGCCCGTTCCGAGGAGCATGTAGGGGTTTGGGTATCCGAGGTACTTGAGTGAGGCGCCTGTCAGTGTTGCAGAGAGGACGTCTGACAGCGCCAAAGGGAGGTACATGACTCCCGACTTCGTGGGCGAGGCATCTTTGATCACCTGGAACCATTCTGGGAGGTAGTAGATGGAAATGTAAACGGCACCCATGGCGAAGAACTCGCTGAAACAAGAGAAGAACATCGTACGCTCGGTGATCAGACGCGGTGGGATCATGGCATCGTCACCCCTTCGTATTTGCCAGAGAGCAAAGGCAAGACCGAGACCCGCGCCTCCAATGAAGAGGCCGATTATGGTAGCACTCTTCCAAGAGTGCTCGGTCCCTCCCCATTGAAGAGCCAGGAAGATCATGATGATGGCCGGAGCGAAAAGCAACGCGCCAAGCAAGTCCAGGTTTTCCAGTCTGCGAAGTACCGACGGGGAGTTCGTTGTGTCGCGCGGCGGCGGTTTGAAGAAGAAGACCAGGGCAAATATGGTAACAGCGCCGATGGGGAGATTGATCCAAAAACACCACCGCCACGTCACATGCTCGGTAAATGCACCGCCTAATACGGGTCCAATGATGGTGGCGATGCCAAATGTTGACTGAAGAATTCCAATGTAGAATGGCCGCTTGACTAGCGGGATAGAAACTGCGACGATACAGAAGGCCCCGGTAAAGCATCCTGCTGCCCCAATTCCGGCGATAGCACGTCCGACAATGAGCATAGGGCTATTCACAGCAAGGGCGCACAGCAATGAACCCAGCTCGAAGACGGCAAGACATCCGAGGAACATGCCCTAACTCTGTTAATGGAATGTTTCATCTCCAAATGGGAGAATCTTGAATCATCTCACCTTCATTGCAAAGCTCGCAAACAGTTTACCTGCGATAGGCTGCAAGGCGCACATCGCAAAGGAGTATGCACTTCCGTACCAACCAATATCACTGGTGCTGTTGAATTGTGAGGTGATCCTGGGAATGGCCGTGGCAATGATGGACGAGTCCAGCGACATGAGAAAGATCGAAAGACCAAGTCCAGTGATGACTAGGACTAGTGGAATTCCAGTCAGCTCATAATTGTTCACATCGTCTGCTCGAGAGCCACTGTCGCCAGTCGACACGCTGTTCGCCTCGGAGGCTCGTAGGTCCCCAGTGGGGATTTTCTCAGCCATTTGCTGTGGCAGTTGTGATGACAATAGGGTTGAATTCGAAACCTGAAACCAATGAAGACAGCAATTTACGGAGTATACTTCAAGGGAACTATATAGTTGATACCTTGATGCACATTCCCCGAAAGTGGACCCGCTTTGGGATTAGCGCAAGTTAATCAACATGACTCACGATGGCTCAAGGAGCATCCAGCCATTTTCATGATCCATCATCAAACACAGAACTCCAGTATCATTCGTTTGATTATTCTAATGCACTGGAAATGAAAAACGACAAAAGGCGGAAGAAGCAATAAATGTCCTCCTGCATAAGCGCCATTGTGCATCCAAAGTGGCAAGGGAACATGAAGAGAATCAAAGTCTGGCGGCGTAGACATCCTGGCATACTTCATGAGACAAAAAAGTCGTTGGTAGACAGAATGTATTTCTGTCAGATGGGAATGGAAGGCGTAAAGAAAGAAAAGAGGAAGAAAGGAAAAAAGGGATCGCCTAGATAGGAGATCCTGCTGGTGAAATGTAATACAAATCGCCTGGTTTTCTTTTTTTTACAGATTGAGAGACAAAAAGACATCAAGAAATAAGGGGAATTGAAAAAGTTTTCAAAGACGATGGGAAGAGGAGGTTGTCAGAATGCAAATGAGATGAAGATGTCAAAGTCATATGGAAACAATGATCAGCGAAACAAGAGCCATTTACCATTCAAATTCACCCTGGCCTTTGTGGAAAACATATCTATACGAGGTTAATGCAAGCTCTCCACTTATGAAGAGGGGCAGGTGAAACACTTACTCTTTACCGCCTGTCGTCAAAATGCCGTCCTTCAAAGTGCACTTCCATTTGTTCTTAACCCTTTGCACCTTGTCATAAGTACAAAGCATTACTTGACCAACGGAGTCTTCTGCATCGTGGTCTTCCGCGACGAGGTCGTCAGGATCATCCAAATCAGAGTTGATGGCATCTTCGTCATCTTCTTCTTTCTCATCATCACCTCCGGGACCGTCGAACTGGGGCCGAGGGACCTTGGGGGCAGATGAAAGTGCATCGCTGGACGAGCCCGGGTTGGGAGTTGATTCGATGGGCACCTCTCCGCTAGACGCAGATGCAACCGTACGTGTAGATGCTTTGGGTTGTTTTTGCTGCTCATCCAGAGGCAACATGAGTCCGCCCCCTTCAAGTCGAAGCATACTGGCCTTGATGTGGTCTCGAAGGATTCTATCACCTGCGCCACCCTGGCGCTCGGCAGCCTCTCGTCGGCGTGCGACCTCTGCCTTCCACTCGGAGAGCGCGTCGTCGCCGGCACCATCGGTCTGAGTGTTGTTAACAGGCGGCTGGGGCATCGGAGGATATCCTGGTTCCTGCTTGATCTGCGGTCCTTGGCCGTTTTGTACTGGTGGCATGCCCTGGGGACGGGGCTGTCCTGGGAGACCCAGACCATGTTGCGATTGAGCTTGAAGTTGACTGACCGAGTTGGCAGCAGCGGCACCGTATCTCTGATGAAGCATGTTGGCTGCACGTTCGCGAGCTGACTGCGGGTTGGGAGAGTTTGCCGGGATCATATTGTTCACCGGAGACAAGTTAGGCGGAGCAGTGATACCGGGTTCGGTCTTGATCTGAGGCGCCTGCGTCATCCCACCGGGAGGCACTCCGACGGGCGTGGGCGCTTGCAACGGCGGCACGGTTCCCGGCATAGACTGCGGCATGGGCTGCTGAGGTGGAACATATTGTTGTTGTTGTTGCGGCGGTGGCGGCTGGTGCTGCTGTTGTGGCTGTGGCTGTTGCGTCTGAGGGGAGGGGGCAGGTCGAGGAGCATTTGAAGGGACGGTCGCGGTGGGAGGGGGGATTTGACTCTGAGATTGAGGAGGAGCAGGCTGTGGTGGAGGAGGATCCCAGGGGAAATGAGCGACCCCTAAGGAAGACAACTTTTTCTGCCAGCTCTGCGGGCGAGTCAGTATGGCAATACGGACAAGTGAGGGCCAGGCTTGGCGGCAGACTAAGGAGCGGGTAAAGGCGGCCGCATATAAAAGAGACTCAAAAGCAGGCGCTTCCCCCAGAAGGCGGTTGCCGCCTCCCGCAACTCTCAGACCCCGCTTTGACCAAGGGAGAGAGAGCGTCGATATACGCTCCATTTTCATCCACTTACTTTGCGCAAATCTAGCAGCGTTTGCTGGTCCACTCCGCTTTCCTCGAAATCTATCTGAGAGGCATCGCAGACTTCCTGGATGACGCGATCGAACACCGTGCCCTGTGATTCACTTGATATGAGCCAACGTCCTCACGCGAGAGGGTCTAGTGGATAAAGTCCAAAGTTGAAGCCAGGTGTCGGAGTGAAAAGGTAGGAAATCTAAACTGGGTAAAGACTTCTGGGCAATGACAGAAGATAGAAAAATGGACGGCGCCCAGTCCAGACCATCCGGAGTTAGCACTCACCACCTGCTGGTTTGACATGGTTGCTACGGACCAGGGCTCGTAGTCAACTTCCTGTCGGAGATTGCGATAGAACTTGGAGAATAAGAAATGTCTCTTGTCTCAGAAACAAAGGCAATCTGAGAGGAAGAACTTGTCCAGTCGAGAAGACGGCGATCACAAGGGAAGGCTGTCGCAGCGGTCGGTTGCCACGGGCGAATTGCGACGGGCTGCCGAGTCACCCCTGTGGTGAGATTGATGTTGTAGATAGAAACTCCCACCAGCTGACGGACCAAAGAACAGACGGTGCCAGGAAGGGAAGGATGATCGGAAAAAGAAATGAGAAACCGGGGGGCAAAGACAGAGACAGAAGAGAGGAACGAAGCTGCGATGCAGAGGGATTGGTTGAGGTGAAAGTCGCTCTCCCCGGGCGAAATCCGTCTTCCTTCCGCCGGCTTAGTCACCACCCGCATTTTGCTCGGCTCATCGTGAGCTTATCGCGATAAGCCAGACGAACACCAGAGTGAGTTATGCCGACGAGTTATATAGATCATACACAAAGAAAGAATTAACCAATATGTGCATCAATGATTACTATTCTGTACAAGAACCATCTTCCAGATACTACACTCTCACTAAATACAAACGCTATTCCCCCATTCAACGCCCTGCCAAAAATTCAAATGACCCCAAAAACCCTGTTCCTGTGATATATCCAACAGTTCAAAAAAGAAAACCCCGAAAAGTGAAAGAAACAACAGACCAACTCCAGACAAGTAGCGCCTCTTCTACCGGATGGTCATCGACTTGGTCATCTGTGCTTTACTGCCGACACCACCTTCGCGAGAAGCCGAGGCACTGGTCCCGGCCTTGCGTTCAAAGACCTTCCAGAACTTCAAGCTCTCGTCGGCCGCGGCGGTGGCCAGAAGCTGACCGTCGGGGCTCAGACAGCTGTGCAAAACACGAGTCTCATGCGCTGGAATCTCGACGTTGCGCACCAGCGTTGGGTAGCTCCAGATACTCAGAGAGTTGTCAGGGAATCCGCTGGAGCTGACGATCTCGCGGTAATGGTTGCTCCACCGCAAGCTCGTGACTTGAGAGCCGGTGTCAATGCTGTTGGTCCGCGCACCGGTGGTCGTGTTCCAGAAGTGGATGTGGCGATCGTACGAACCACCGCCAGTAGCGAGCAAGTTCAGTTGCCAGGGGCACCAGCTGAGGGCTTTAACAGCGGCGCGGTGGTTGGTCTTGGTAAACTTGGGTGCACTGAGCGAACGAGCATCCCAGATGTTGACCAGGTTGTCATTGCCACCGGTAGCAAGCTGCGCGCCATCGGGCCTCCACTCCAGACCGCAAACTTCCGAAGTGTGCGAAACGAGCTCAGCCACTTTGTGTTGAGCAATTCGTACGTCATGGTTGAAAACGAGGCCGCTACGCGCACCGGTGGACAACGTGTGTTTCGACCACCCCATAACACCAACACGCGAGTCATGGCCAAACATACTTCGGAGCTTGGTGCCTTCTTCGACATCCCAGATTTGAACCTCACCGGTTCCAAGGCCAACACCGACATAGGCCCCGTCACCACTCCATTTGACACTGCTCACATACGTATCGGGAGAAGTCTCCAGCAAGCAGTCCACGGACCCCGAGTCGGCCGACCAGACGTAAACATTGCGCTCCAAACCGATGGCGACTTGGTTACCAGAGCTCCAGTCCAGAAGGTTCAGGTAGTAGTCGTCAAGCAATCCAGGTGCATCCAGGACACGCTCAGGGGCCGTCTGAACTCGTCTCCGGAACTGAGCCGACTGGGATTTGGAGGGTCTCAGAGGACGGTTGTACTGAGCTCTCAGATCGATGGGCTTGGAAGATTCTGGGGGTGGCGGCTTGAAGGCAAGAATCCGAGTGTTGAGATTCACACCACATGCATTGGCAAGGGATGATTCATATGCAACTGCGTCCGGTGCCGGTCTGGTATACGAGGTTGTCGAAGTCTCGGTCTCATCCAACCCGAGGTTCTCAAGAGCTGCAGTGAGGTCTTCGTCGGATCCTCGGCCCCCAATGTCAAACGCGCTAGCCGCGCTGGCGAGAACGGAAGAACCCTCATTGCCGCTCGTTTTCGGCCTGTGGCTCTCTTCAGGTTTGGCTGTGCCTGCCGTGGCTAGCCCTTCGCTTGCAGTACGGTTGGGAATGAACCGATCTGCGGCGTTGTGTGCAATGCGGACGGTAGTCTTTCCGGATCTTGTCCGAGTGGAGATATCTTTCCGCAGACGCTCCTTGGACGGAGTCTGGGAAGAAGATGGTCCAGTACCGGTCAAAGACCAATCAGAAACGCCCAGTTCCAAGTGTCGGGGAGACTTCCGGGTGCGAGCAATGTTAGACTTTGGCGACTCGCGGTAAGTTGTTCGGGAAGCCTTGGGCATGGACTTGGCGAAGAGGGAGGAAAGGTTACCGCCGTAGACAGGTCGGCTATGATCTTTTCCAGTCTCCGTGGGCTGGCGAGGCGGCGTAAACGGAGACGAATGGTTTGACGTCATGCTTCCTGCTCGGGTACGGGGGGATGGTGTCAAAGGCATGCGGCCTCCGGCCGTTTTGCTTGAAAAGATGCCATGGTGGGTTTTCACCGGAGTAGACACGGTAGGGGTGGCCATGATGATATATGATGAGGGTGCCCAGACCAGCCAGCCGGTATCCAGAGACACAGAAAGAGATAAAGAAGAACGAGAAGCTTCAAGCCACTGAGAGGCTGGGCGAACCTGACTCGAGATGAAACAAGAGAGTAAAATGCAGCACTATAATGCTGGATACGGAAGACTGAGCCCCAATAGAGGGATTACAGTATGCACCAAATAGTATATACCACAGAAAATGGAGAGGATGAAGAGGAGAGGAAGAAATGGGAGAAGAGAAGAGCAGGAAAGGAGAATAAATAGAGGGTATAGTTCTTCACTGGCATGGCAACGGTTACCTGAGGTACGGGAGCGCTAACCCCGATGCGGCTAGGTGGCCACCTGACATGAGGCTCTCGCTCGTTCTGGCGCCGATCGGCCTTGGCGCCTTTTTCTTCGTCTTCCCTCCTTCCTACTTCTCTTTGTCACCCATTTGGAATCACTAAGGCCGCCGGTCTTTGTGTTTCTTCTTACCATGTGAATCTCTTCTCCTTCCTGGACGGCAAGTTTATTCACCAGGATCCAATATCATTCCACCTCTTAGACCTTGTGGCCCTCGCCCAACCCTCAGTCCATCAGGCGACTCCTTTCGGAACCTGATGGCGCGGCAACCAGCCTCCACTACTAGGAATAGTAACGTTTCAGCGGTCTCGCATTTCCACTCGGACCCACCTTATTGGGCTGGGTCATCTGCGAGTAGAGTCCCACAACCGATGTCTCCCCCTTTATCCAACCATCAGAAACCGGAGCAGGCATTCCTCATGCCTACTAGCGCAACCCGTCGCCGGGGTAGCGCAGACTACCGCCCCAGCATAAAGAAGGCCCAGGGGCATATTCCTGCATGTCTGGTCAACGCCTCGGTGACGTATTGCAATGATGATCAGATCTATGCCTTTGGCGGCTTTGATCAGTACACAGATGAAGGTCCATTTGATTTACCCCTGGCGTGCCAGTCTATCTACCAGTTTACTGACATCCTGCCACAGTGTACAACCATGTCTTGAGACTTAACTTGGCTACTTTGCGATGGGAGCTGATTGACAATTATGGGGATATCCCGGGGGTTCGCATGGGTACGTCGCATCCGTCACTCATACTATGTCAAATCCATCAACTGAGTGCTAATGATTCTTCTCGTCGCTGCAGGGCATACCGCCAACCTTCACCATGGAAATAAACTCATCGTTTTCGGCGGAGAAAACGAACATCGCGAATATCTCTCAGACGTGGTTATTCTGGATATACCTACCTCTACTTGGCATCAACCGGAAATTCGTGGACCGATCCCGCGTGGAAGGGCTCGACATGCTGCCGTCATCCACGATGAGAAACTTTTCATTATTGGAGGCGTTACCGGCGAAAGCAACATCATCCTCGATGAGCTGTCATATCTCGACCTGAAGACTTGGACCTGGTCTCGTTCCTGGAGATTCACCGCTCGATTCGATCACATTGCCTGGGTCTGGGGCGACCGCCTGTGGATATTTGGGGGCCTTGATCCGGATATGGAGCGCACGACTGACATCTGGTGGCTCGATCTCAAAGGCATTCCCTCTCTTGGAATGTCAGCTTCTCAAGGTACCGTGGATTCCCATGTTCAGCTCGGCAACATGACTCATAGCCCAGATGGAATATTTAGTGCTTCATCACATCAACTGACTGCCCGGTCTAACAACTATGCGGCCAATTCGGGAAGTGTCCAAGTTCGCAACTCTAACCGTCGGAAGCCGATTGCTCCCGGAGCAATCTCCTGCCTCAAATTCACCTCTGGCCCTCACGTCCCTGCGCTGTTCTCCGGCACTCACTTCCAAGCATATGCGTCCGGCGTTCTACTGGATTTGGTCACTCCGTCAGAAACAGTGCGTGAAGACAATTGCAAACTATCATCTCTGGACCTCGACTCCTTGCGATGGCAGAGATTAGCCGATGGCCAAGAAATCTTTCATTCCGGATATCGCTGGCATTACTGCACCATAGATCCGAGCGGCACCAAAGCCTGGCTATTAGGCTGCAGTTTGGACGTCGGTGCGACCCCCGGAACCGGCGATGACAATCATATGAGCGATGTTCTTTGTATAAATCTGGAAAAATATGGCTTACTAGGCAACAAGATGGCAGAATTCTCGTCGGACCAGAGCAGGATGATGTATCACGATCATTCAGGGCTGGGGCACACCTCTGGCCTTAGCTCGGATCTTTTGGCCGTATTTGACCAACCGCCGGTATCTGGCAGTGGTGCCGACTTCATAGTCACCGCCAATCCCGATGACCAGAATGATTTGGATGATTCAAGTCATCATGCTGATAACCCGCAATTGGAAATGGGACTGATCCCTCATGACGCGGTCACGTCTCCCCCAATTCATGTGCACCGTCTTATCTTGCAGATTAGATGGCCTCACTTCAAAAGGCTGTACTCGGCTCGGATGGCAGAGTTTCACACTAAGAGAATGCACATCCCCGAACCCTACTCTGTTGTCCGCGCGTTTCTCTACTACCTCTATACCGGCAGCATTTCGGGTCATCCGGAATATTGCTCCGACATTATCGACGTGGCGGGTATGCTCGTGATGGCGAACCTCTACGATTTGCCCACGTTGCGTCTACTATGTGTCAACCGGCTGAGCCGCGAGTTGGACGTCGAGAATGCCGCCATCATCTGGGAACGAGCTGGCAGGACGAATGAGCAATGGCTTATGCGACGCGCAGCTCAATTTTGTCTTAGCCACTGGGGTCGAATCGTGCGGACTGACGGGTTCAAGTCTCTTAGCCGGCAGAGTCTCATTGATTTATGTGGGGTTGTAGACATGGAAGGCCGCATCGTCGCCGGAACAGAGCTGGAACAGGATGGGGCGTCCGAAGGCCACGACCGAGAGCACAAGCCTCCACAACAGGCCATTTCTGGCACTACGGCTGAAGAGGTCGATGGAATGGAAAATGATGATGCGGAGGCGATGGAAATGTCCTAAGCCTTGTTTGAAGCACTCGGCTGTGTTTCAAAGAAAAGTACCCTTTGAGAGGACTGCACGAAGCCATGGATGGAGATGGACAAATGTCGTTTCTCTTCGCTATTCTACTGTATCTTTTCTTTTGCCTTTTCTTTTTCATTGTGTTTCTCCTTCTCTTGCAAAGCAAAGTGTGTTCAAGGCGTTGGTATTGGATGGAGGGGAGTTGCATGGGGAAGGGCATTGGTCATAAGGATTTAACGAGATTTGCTTGCTATTGCTGCTGTGTAGATTCCAATGATGAACAGATCTATTGCGATAGATTCCCCGCGTAGTATTCCTTCTGATCTAAATAATTAGCAATTAATTCTGTCTGGCCAGACTAATCCGAATGCAGTCGGCAGACGGCCCGTCCATCCGCTCCTCTTCCTTTTGCCCCGCCAGGAACGAACGCTTTCTCTCGCGTCTTCATCTCGGCGTCGCTCTGGTCGCTGGTGGCTTTTCCATCCATGTCCACGTCTCGATCCCCGGTCATGTCCCCGCTCGCCCCTCCATCGTTCGATCCTCTTGCGGGGAGACCCTAAAGCTGTCAGAAATTATTTAAATATCACTGCCATCCCCCCCCCCCCCCCCCCCCCTCAACATGTTGTCTCGAACTGGATTTACGAAAGAACCATTGAACCATTCTATTACCTATCTTTCGTTGCTTTTCACTTGAGGATCAATTGCTCATTATCTGTCCCTAACCCCAGCAATCATGGGGTCCACCTCGACGTCTTCTCTTCCGTCTGACTTTCTCTGGGGATTCGCAACGGCTAGGTAGGTCGATTTACGCTGGATTGTCGTCTAATTCCTGTATTGTCCCTGCTGACAGGCATTTCTCCGCGCAGTTACCAGATTGAGGGCGCTGTGGAGGAGGATGGACGTGGCCCATCCATTTGGGACACTTTCTGCAAGATTCCTGGAAAGATAGCCGGTGGTGTCAACGGAGATGTAGCGTGTGACTCGTACCATCGCACCCACGAGGACATTGCCTTGCTAAAGGAATGCGGTGCTCAGGCCTACCGCTTCTCCATCTCCTGGTAAGATATCATTCCTTCCCTCTTCCATCAAAGCCCCGACTAAGCCTGTCTAAATCTAATGCCCTCTTCCTCCACCCAGGTCTCGTATTATTCCCCTCGGAGGCCGTAATGACCCTGTCAATGAGAAAGGTATTCAGCATTATGTCAAATTCATTGATGACTTGCATGCCGCAGGCATTGTGCCTCTGGTGACCCTTTACCATTGGGATCTTCCCGATGAGTTGGACAAACGCTACGGCGGTCTTCTCAACAAGGAGGAGTTTGTCGCCGACTTTGCGAACTATGCTCGGGTGATCTTCAAGGCATTTGGATCGAAGGTCAAGCACTGGATTACCTTCAATGAGCCGTGGTGCAGTAGCGTCCTTGGATACAACGTAGGACAGTTCGCCCCCGGTAGGACTAGTGACAGGGCCAGGAACCCCGTGGGAGATGGCTCAACAGAGCCCTGGATCGTCGGACACAACCTTCTCGTGGCGCACGGAAAGGCAGTGCAGATTTACAGGGACGAGTTCAAAGCTCAAGACGGGGGTGAGATTGGTATCACCCTGAATGGTGAGATATTGCTCCTATTGCACATCCTCTGGAAGCCAACCATCCTGACAAATTACCAGGTGACTGGGCCGAGCCCTGGGACCCCGAGAACCCGGCAGATGTCGAAGCTTGTGACCGAAAGATCGAATTCGCCATCTCATGGTTCGCCGACCCGATCTACCACGGTAAATATCCCGACAGCATGGTCAAACAGTTGGGTGACCGACTGCCCAAGTGGACTCCCGAAGACATTGCCCTTGTCCACGGCAGCAACGACTTCTACGGCATGAATCACTACTGCGCCAACTACATCAAAGCGAAGACGGGCGAGCCCGACCCCAACGATACCGCAGGCAATCTGGAAATCCTGCTCCAAAACAAGAAAGGAGAATGGGTCGGCCCCGAGACTCAGTCTCCCTGGCTTCGACCCAGTGCTATCGGATTCCGTAAACTTCTCAAATGGCTCAGTGACCGATACAACCAACCTAAAATCATAGTCACCGAGAACGGAACAAGTCTGAAGGGCGAGAACGATTTGCCTTTGGACCAGCTCCTCAAGGACGAGTTCCGGACCCAGTACTTCCGTGATTACATTGCGGCCATGGCCGACTCGTACACTTTGGACGGCGTTAATGTGAGAGGATACATGGCCTGGAGTTTGATGGAGTACGTTCTGCCCTTCATTTACCTGGAATCCCCGTCCTGTTACTAACTTGAAATGATTGCAGCAACTTCGAATGGGCCGAAGGCTACGAGACCCGGTTCGGCGTGACCTTCGTCGACTACGAAAACAACCAGAAGCGAATCCCCAAGGAAAGTGCAAAGGCGATTGGTCCGATCTTCGAGCAGTATATCCAGAAGGAATAATCGATCAAGCGATGGAAGGTGCCATCTATCTAGACAGTAGCCATTGTATTAACTTAGTTCATATCAATTCTCATGAATTCTCCAATCAACATGAATTTACGACGAAGCATAATACACTTCCAATGCCACCTACTTCGTAAAAAAGTGCCATCTCATGACTCCTAGTACTAGCACCTGATTCAATTTACTCTTTTCCCCCACCCCTTCGTTCCCCACTCCGCAATCTACACTGGATTTAGTCTCCAAAGTGGACACTTCGATCTCGCTTTAGCCTGTTTCGATGCGGCGGAGTCTCCGCGACACGGATATCGCCTCCGTACGAACTACTACTAAAACTAAACGCAGTACGCACAGGTGTCAGGTCAGATACAACAGTTGTTTTGAGATGACTTAAAGTGCTATACAAGTAGAGCTCCCTTCTCTTTTATCTGCAAGATTCATGACACCGACTTAAATACAACACCTCAATTAAATACAGTAGTAGCCCATGGCTTTGCGTTCATTAAATGTCCGTGGCTTTTTGATTCGATCCCATTCTACCTCTCCGATCTCTGAATACCGGGGACACCATGTGATATACTGTTCTAGGGGCCAAATAGATTAACCATGAAGATGTTGATGGCATGAACCATAGGTATTTTATTAACTATTTTCCCTTAATAGTCCTCATTGCAAAGTCTGATGAGGTTTTAATAAGGACAACGAGCTCAGCTTCGACGCGGCTTCGTCAAATAAAGATTATTATCTTTTCGACAGTTACTTCCCTAATGTCGGGCCGAATTCTGTGAGTGAGGCGGGCATCTGATAAAGAGGTTCAGAACTTTGTGATAAGCGATGCCAATCATTATTGTGGATCCAAATAATGGCTCCTGTTCCGACTTTCGACAATTTTGGCTTCTCGTCGGTTCTACTCCCTAGACCTTGCCAGTGGCATATTTTTTGAGCTCAAAAAGCTCTACGCAGTCAGGGTGCGTGCCCGTCAGATCGAAGCTTTTGAAACATATCATATTGTCCAACCTTATGGAGATCTTTCAAGAAGGCTCATGAATAAGAAGACAACGTAGCTTGACCCCAAGGCATGTATCAGTGCGAAAAATGGTTCTCGTCTTCGATTGTTGCCGTCTTGAACGGAAGCTTCCGACATGCGCAACATGAACCCGGCCCATCTTTATAGGTGTTGGGGTCCCCCCTCGGCGATAACAACCCCAGGTTCTATGATCCGATGCGCCTATCGGACTGTTAGTATTGTTACAGTATGTGTTCGAGCAATCATTACCTCGTTCTCGTGGATTTGAATTCGCGAGGGGTTGTGTGCCGGAACAGATCCGACAGAAGAATGACGGGCCCTTCGCCGTCTTCCGCGATTCGAGGTTTCGTTGCTTGCTTGGGGCTGATACCAATCCGACGATGTATTGATCTCTAGGACGCCTGTGGGCTCATCTGCATCTGACCTATAATCGTCCTGTTCATCGTAGATTTCGGTGGCTGTGTCCATTTCGAACCCTTCCGCCGAGGGATTGTACTCCCAGGGCACATCTGGATGTTCAGAGAACGTAGTTCCGTTTGCGAAAGCGTCCGTCGGAAGAGAAGTAGTAGGTCTGGAACCTTCAGCATTCGCAACTACTGAAGGTGTCTTATCGTCGGAAGAAGCCCCAACTTGGCGCACTTGGACACGAGCACCGAAAAACTTGATACTTCTGTCAGCACATGCAAAACCGAGACGACCCGCGGGACATACGTCTGGCCATAGATCACTCAACCTGTCATACCACTGAATTGTAACTGGGTGGCTAAAATCCGAAAGTTCCCAAATCTCCCGATTTCCAGCTGTTGCGATCTGGCGGGCAACGAAAGCAGAAATCGCTGCTTCCCGGTACTGACGCCCTCCTTTAGCGTAACCCCGTTAGCTTAATTATATTACCCTTCAACAATCAAAGGTGCGGACTTGCCTTCGAATGTCCGTGCATTGTCTGCGAGGATCAAAAGTCCTTGCTTGTCTTTGTACATCCTGTACAGACTTCAACTGTCATCGAGCAGGCGCTGGTTCAACAAATCGTGAACGAACGACATTTTGAAAGTCTCTTTGAAACAGTCACTCGAATGATATGTCTGACTCGTTCGACGAGTAACCATGCAGGTTAGCTTTGGGATGGGGCTCTCAAAGGTGAGTGACCTTGATAGTTACCCACCTTTGTGGTTCTTTCAAACACCCGGAGGCCAAAGGTGCTCTTCGGCTGGGGTTGTAACACGTTACAGGTCGTATATTGTAGAAGAGAAGCCCACGATTCAGAGAATGAAAAGAAGCACAAGGAAGGTGAAATGTAGAGGATGGGAATGGAACGGCTTTGGTGAGAGCAGGCGAAGCGTACCGTACAATGATAGCTATGAGATAAGCTTTCAAAATGTCTTCAGAAACGATGATGTACTCTTACTAAGTAGTGATGGAGAATGATAATGAAGATGTTCAATAACATGGGCTTTTTGAGGGTACGAAGAGGAAAGAGGAAGAGGGGGAAGGGGGAAAGAGGGGGTATATAGCCCACGTCTATGAAATAGACCAACGAATCCCACGGAGACTTCCATCTTTCAGAGTGGGAAGGAGCTGATGAATGAGGTAAGTATAGCAGTCACCGGGGGCTTTTCAGTGAGTGATTGCCAGCAAACAGATTTACTATAGCTGATGTCCAGAATTCATTCTGCTAGTGAAGGTCAAGATCCTAAGCCAGCACGAAATATTGGATCCATTATAGCTATTAGCAAACTTAATCAACCTAGCAGGCGGTGAATGTATTATTGATTGTAAGCAACGTTATTATGCATATCAAAGCGCATATCGAAAATTCTTTGACTCCATGTCCGTCATATCCTTGAACCCATCCAGCACAGCTGCTTCATCACGCCCTTGTTCTGTTTCCTCTAAAGACATGCGACGGTCTCGGCGGATATTCTCAAATTTCATCGAAATGTATGCAACAACAGACAGAACAATGATCCCCGCGTAGCAAATCAGCAGACCAGTAAGAGCAGAATAGTAACGAGGGGCCTCGCGCTCAAAGAAGATGTTAGCACCTGCGACGTTTCCGGCCGCGTAGAGACTGAACCAAAGTCCGTTCGAAAGAGAGCGCTTGGTATGTCCGGCTACATTTGTAGACAGAATATTCCAAGACACGATCACCGGGGCACCAACGATATACTGTAGCCAAGTGCAACCAACAAGGGTCCATCGATGCTGGACATCAGTGAAGCGGATGCCGAGAAGGCCGCCAAAGGGAATCAGACAGACCACTGCGAGGACGATACACCGTGAATCCCGGACGTAGGTGGAAACTAGCCCGCAAATTGGCACCACGAGAGCCTCTATGGCTCCTGTGGGTAGCTGAAGAAGTGTAGCGTTGATTCCGCTGAAGCCGTAGCCTTTGATCAATGACGATGAGAAGTTGGACACTCCGCCGTTGATGACGCCGCAGCTGAGACCTATGAAAGCACAGCAAAGGACTTTGATATCATATACTATCTCAAACGCTTGCCGTGGTTTGATCTGCTTTGTCTTGACGCCGATCATGTTCTCTGATACTCGCTGGACGGCCACTATACGTTGTCTGTGCGAGAGGAATTTCGCGGAACTCGGAGAGTCCGGCATGAGCCACAGAAAGAAGCATCCAGCGACGAAGTTTAGGAGGCCGATAGTAAGAAAGATTAATTGCCAGCTCTTGAGGCTGGTATTGTGGGAATGGCCTAGTCCGAATCCCAGCAGAGCACCCACCATAGTCGCCATTCCGTTTCCAGACAGCCACAAGCTCATTCGCAGAGGTTGTTCGGATCGTTTATAGAACATGGAAGTGAAATTCATCACTATACTCGTTAAGCTCTTACTGATTAGAGAAGATCATGGGACATCGCGAACTTACTACATGGACTGACACCAGCCTCGGCCATGCCTAAAAGGAACCGTAAGACCAAGATGCCAGCGTAATTCTTCGCTCCAATGTGTGCCACAATTAGGACGGCCCAGATCAGGAGGACTGTTCCCATATATTTAGCCAGCGGCAGTCGTTGAATCATAAGATTTGAGGGCTAGAACGAAGATGTAATTAGAGCTTCACTCCGATACAAGGGGGCCTTCTTTCCATTCACATACCACAGCCCAGAACAAGTATCCGAAATTGAATATGGCCGCAACCCATGAGTATCTTTGACCCTCCAGGCCAAGATCTGGGATGAGGCTATAAGCCGAGGCATAGTTGAGAGAAAGCTTGTCTGTGGTGGTTACTGGGTCAGTTAAAGATCATTGCATTTAGACTTGTTGTCTACCTACCCAAGAATTGTATGACATAAGTCACGTACAACTGATATTCTGCATGTTAGGTGTCTTTAGATCGGACTTTGCGATGCGTAAGAGTATCGCTTACAATAGGCAGGATACGCCAGTCCAAAAGCTTGCGCACCTCAGCGCCTTCGCGTTCCAGCTCCTCGGGCGATAACTGAACGGCCTCGGCATACAGCTCAGCTGCGATGTCCCGGATTTCCCCCGATGCGAAATCATCCTTTTTGTCGGCACTGAGGGTGCTCTGCGCTTCCGTTTTGTGGTGGTCTTTAGTGTCGGGCATTGTGATCAGAATTCAAATGACCTTGAACAAGAATTATGTGGTCTTGGGCAGGGCTTAAGTAGAGATGGCCTTCCCCACCTTTGCATGATAGCAGATCAGTGTTATCTCTTGGCAGTTATCCTGCCCTTATCGACTCCGCACCAGGGGACGTCGGACAAATGTCCGCTCGGCTTATCTATATAATCAATGGACTAAGACAGTCAGAAAACCATGGCCAGACAAGTTCTCACTGTTCGGTTCGATTGGAGACCGAAAACAGCGTTCTCTGGAACTGGCCCATCACGGGCATCAGCGATGTAACCATCTCGAAGTCGAACATAAACATCTCCTTGATCATCTCATCTAGTTGAAAGAGGTTGATTTGTTCATTTAGTCATCCTCGACAACCAGTATATATAATCCTATATTACAGATGTGACGCCATATCTTCAATCATACTCAATACCCCCTTGTGTAGATATTGTTTCTTCAATTGTTCCAGACAGCACTCAAATTCATCGCGGCTACAGGCAGAGTCCAACTGCCCTAGAGAATCATCCGGAATCCACTTCGCCTTTCGAAGAAGGAAATCAAAAACTTTTTTATACGGCGTCGCATCCTCCCAGCGCTCCGCGAAGTGAGACAGCGTACTTGCACAAGTACGAGATGCAATGAACGCTTGTCGCTTGGATTTTTCATCTCGACAGTCAACCCAGAATGTGTACAGAAGCATGATACCCGCCATGAATTGGAAAACAAGCTTTGAATAGAGTCAGAAAATACAACACCCTTGAATGTTTCGACGAAACTCACTGCAGACCAAGTATAACACATCACCTGTCCTTCTTCTAGAAGCCGTCTGAAGTTGAGAAAGACCTCGCTGCTTGCTGAGAGAACATCCTCAAAATCTTCATGTTGCAAACGGTGTCGCTTTTCTTGCATCAGAATGATCACACTGTAGCCGTATAGACTTGCCATCCAGAGCGGATGAAGATAGGTACTCGGATTGTCCTCTATGCCGTATCGCGGTATATCCTTTTTCCATGCATCCAGCGCTGACTTCAGGAGCGAGTCACTGGCGTCTTGGCTTTGGGACGAATCTTCTCGTTGTCGACGGATTTTGGCCTGAATTTTTCGCAAGGTAAAGAGGTGTCTCAAGGCGCTGTTTGTGCTGGAGGAACTAGGTAGTTCGTTGCTTAATGTATACATCTGTAGTCCTGTTAGTTACGAGCCATCGTTGTTTGTCGGCAGCCTTCATACATCATCATCAATGGCCCTATAAGCCGCCGATACCGGTCTATCCCATCCACACACAATGATCTCATTCAGCATATAGCATGTGATAAATAAGGGCTCGGTGAGTGTCTCATCTACTCCCTCCTGGGACTCAAATCGACCATCGTGATGATCTTCCAGGCTAGAAGATTGCTTTCGTAGTTCAGACATTGTGGCAGCACAGAACGGAACAATCGAGGAAACTGTAACGGCGATCTCTTCTGAAGAGGGACAATGAAGCGAGTACAGTGTCATCAGGATCGACGCTTTAATATGAAGAACGGCAGATGAATGTCCCATGACATAAGGATAATAAGTCATTGCAGAGGTGTAGAGATCTGCTGCACGTGTCGCATAGTCCTGGCCTGGATGAAGTCCGTTGTTTAACAAAGCCCCAATAGCATAAACCATATAGATGAAGAATCCTTTCCATCGCTCAGCGTCTTCGTCATGTGTCCAGTCATGATGCCACGACCACCAGGCACTCTGGTTTAAAAATGGCCAGAACCAATGCGTGATCTTGAAGTAGAGGTTGGTGTAGACTTCCTCCAGCAAAGGTGGGTGGGTCCTGAAAGGAGTAAGAGGTTCGGACGATTCATTTTCTGTCCATGGAGAGTTTCCTATGCCCGCTGGCCTGGGGCACATTTCGTACGCAACTCGGGATATTAGAGGGGCCCCCAGTCGTTGTGCTCCCGGGTGAGAAGCGGCGGGGATTGAGTCAGTCCTGGGCGTCAAGGTATGGGTTGTATCGAACGGAAGAGACGAACAGGGCTCCAGAGGTGAACCTGTTTCTTGTGACACCATGCCAATATCCGTAGTCTCATCCGCTGACATAGTATCCAGGTCATTAAATGTGGGCATATGCGGAGGATCGGCGCTAGCAATATTGATTGGGTCCGTCTGGACACCAATATCCCGCACATGCATCGAGGTTCTGCAGGCTTTGTCCTTTGAACCCTCTAATTCCGCTAATCTGGCTTCGAGATGCTTCAGATATTTCAGAGAAACTGTTATATTCTCTCCGTCTTTCGATGATTTCGCGGGGAGACATTCGGTCCCTCTGCGTCTGCACTCTCCACATGTGGGCTTCGCATGGTCACATCTGCGTTTGAGGCGAAAACATCGAGCGCATGCCAACGATCTTGGAATTTTGGGACTCGAAGGCATAGATACCTTAACCTTGCGCGGAGTAACCGAACTCCAGAGAAAAGAGAAAGTCTCGATGACAGAGAAAGAGAAAGCGATAGGAGAAGCACCGAGACCCACATCGACGGGGAGTCAAGCGGGGAGTTTAGCGTCGAGTTGCTCAGATGGATCAATGTTTGAGACAGGTAAGAAGATATCATACAAGCTATTCATCAACGATCAATGAAGCCAGCACATGGTAATGTTACAGTGCAGCCATACCATACTCTCCAGGCATGAAAGGCTCAATCAATCCTTAACCCATCTCTGACTCTCTTTATCGTACCCGATAAGCTTCAAATCAACATTCAATGTCTTCAGCATGAAGTCCATAGTAAATTCCTGCGAATCTCATTAGCACCGCTACGCATCTCTCGCAAGACCAAGCAAACAAACCTCTTCCTCAATAGAATCCTCCCGTTTCTTACCCTCAACCTCCTTCCCAGGAACATCCCATTGCTCCAGCATCTCCGCCTTTCGAGACTCCAACTCCTCTTCATCGACATCAACCCCCTCGGCATCGCCACTCCCATACCACGAATTCATCTCCTCCTGCTCCCATCTTGTACTGTTATTGCGCATCTGCTCTTTCCACGCCTTCATGCCCCCAAGCCGAGCCACACGTTCCTGCGCACCCGCAAACACCTCCTCCGCTGCATCCTGACTTGCGGTTTTCCATTTCGCGATCAATTTCTCCAGCTCGGTGTCTTTATCCGAGGATTCAACCCGGAGAGCTTGTTGCGCTGTGTCTAGTTCCGAACGCAGCGCCGAAAGACGCGATTGCAGCGCTCTTTGCTGCTTCTGGAGCTCGGTGATCTCTGGGTCTAGGAGAACCGGCTTCTTAGTTGGCGTTAGATAACTGGCCGGGTTCTTCCTTTTGCGACTTCCTAGGCCCAGAGGTGACAAAGTACTAGATGATGGCGAGTTGATGGGTGCGTTGGACGCAATTGTGGTCGAGGTTGCAGGTTGCTCTTGTATCTTCTCAGCTGAATGAGCTTCTTTAATTTGATGTGCAGACGAGGAGATATGTTTTGTGATTGTGGGTGACGATGCGTCTTTGGCCTCCGTTGTCTGCGCTGGTCGACGGAGGGGAGACTTGAATGGCTTCGAAAGCGCCGAGGTTGCGTGTTCGGCGCGACGACGCTTCTCATTGAGTTTCTCGGATCCCATCGTCCAACAAATCGGCGTGTAACTTCTGTTACATCATAACAGAAGTATTAACTGATTAGCAGTCGCATGGAAGGACAAGGGTGGGCTGTCGAGAGATGAAAGCGTTGGAAAAACAGGTCGCTTATCGATAACGCGTGACAGACACCTGAGGCATCGACATAGGTTCTACTGGAAATTCAATGCAGATTCTCATAAAATACACCATGTACAAAATCATATGACTGATAAACACCAATGTAGCTCATCTAATGCCCTACGCCACCAGCTACCCATTGAGCGAATTCAGGCTCTCCAGGCCGGGGAAAGAGCCCTCGATCATTCCCATTAGCCGCAGCCGCTGGGTTCGCGCCTCCATTCTCGTTCTGCCTGTCTCGGTTCCGTTGCTGTCGCACGTATACGAGCACGCCCAATGTAACTACCAAGGCCACCATTATGAGACCTTCCAAAACAGCGTCGTCAATATCCATTTCCAAGTCGTCATAGTAGCCATCTTGGTGACGATCGTGCCGAGAATCCGCGCCCGTAGATAACAGGTCCTCTTCGTCATCCTCTGCCCTCTTGTACATCTGCGCTCGATAATTGGCCTCTTCTTCTTCATCGTTCTCAATAAAGGCTGCAACCCACTCCTTGAATGTCCGGCGAGGGCGGGGCTCTGGCATTGTGATCAGTAAGGATTCATGGGATCACAAATATGGCCAGGACTTACCATCATCTTCCTGGATAGAATTGATCTTTCCATTCGTGATACGATTCCAGTAGCTCCGCAGGCGGAGTTTGAGCAGACTCAACTTCACCGGGAGATAGGATTCGGAGCTTGTTTCGAGTGCTAGATCATAATAACGTTTTGCCATGTGGAAATCCTGGTCCACAGCAACTCCGTTTTCATGCATCCAACCAAGATTCCAATAGGCCTGCGCACTGTAGTGAGCCTCCGCGGCCGTGTGGTAGCAGGTCGAAGCTTTCTCGGCGTCCGCAGCTATGCCGCTCCCACTGAGGTAGTAGTCGCCCATTTTGATTAGAGAGTCGATGTTAGCTTGTTTAGCGGACCGAGTCCAGTATATGAGAGCCAAGGCAGCGTTCCGAAGCAAAGGCGACCGGCTCTTCTTGAGGCCAGGCAGGATGGAATCGAATGAAACCAAGGAGCGCTGTTCGTCTAGCAAAAACGCCACATTAGACTGCGCATTTTCGTAGCCTTGCTCTGCAGCCATCATGGCAGCAACAAGTGCCCGGTCTTTGTCACCGTTCTCGTATGCGGCATTAGATTCGGCAAAGGATGAATGGATCACTTCTGCCCGCTCTGCAACCATCTTATAGTATGAAGCGGCCATTCCGCAGTGCCGCTCGCGGCCGACGCCGTTGTTAGATAATTCCGCTAGATAATAGAAAGCTTCCATCCATCCCCAGCGCGCGGCCAGCTCGAAGTACCGAGTAGCGGTAGGAATGTCACCCTGGTCCAAGAATAAAGCACCGAGTCTTGTTTCGGCTGCCGGAAGGTCTTGGTCGGCGGCGGCTTTGAAATAAGAAGAGGCCTTGAATGCGTCCTGGGGAACGCCGTATCCATGAAGATACATGATCCCAAGCTGATGTTGGCAGAGTGCATCCCCGTTGCCCAATCCAAGCCTGAACCAAGAGCCCGCAGTTGCATAGTTTTGCTCCACGCCCTCACCACGGAGAAACATCAAGCCAATGTGCCCTGCCGCTTTCGCAGCTAATTTCTCGATTCCAAGAGGATGATTCGGATTCACGGATCCGTCTTTGTTCCAATACCGCTTGGTGATCTGCTTGAAGTACTTCATCGCCTTACGAAAGTTTCTAGGCAAGCCTCGGGCACCTTCGTAATGCATTTTTCCCAAACTGAATGTGGCCTTCAGCTCACCCTTCCGGGACATAAGATCCAAGTATTCCAAAACATCTTCCAAGCTAGCGTCGGTGCTGGCATGGGAATCGCGGAGCGCATTCGGTCCCGAGCTTGATACGCTGGCACCCTCACCATACACACCACCTTCTTCGTCTGCCCAGCGGAATGATTCGCGGACCATGCTTTGACCGCCTGGTGGGCCAGATCGGTAGTACTCAATTGCTTTGTCCGCCACCCGCTTGTAGAAGTACGTAGCCTCGTCGCAGTTTCTGGCGGTTCCAATTCCTGCGTGGTTCCGGTATGCGAGCGTCATCTGCGATTTCGTGTTTCCAGCTTCGGCCGCAAAGGTATGGTACAGCATCGCCTTGGCTTGGTCGCGTTCCACCCCACCACCTATCCCTGTCGCATACATAAAGCCAATCATATACTGCGCCGTATTGTTTCCGGTCAAGGACGCCAGGTTTTGGTACCAATAGAACGCCTGTTTGAAGTCCCGGGGGTGAGTGAAGTTGCCGTGGAAGTTCATTTCCGCTAGTAGAAACATCGCATCGGCATTCTGGCTCTCCTCTGCAGCTATCGTCAACTCATGCACCGCTTTGGAGAGATTCGGATGCATCTTCTGTCGAGCGGCATTTTCGGGCTGCGGTCCATTCAAGAACAGTACGCGGATAGCCTGTTGGGCATAGTGTAATCCGTATCCGATGAGACCCGATGGTTTTTCGTTCGGTGCGACGGAGATCTTAGAGTCACGAAGGATCGTAAGTGCGGCGTTTACGTGTTCTAATCGTGGATAATCGCTTGCATGTTAGTCCCGTGTGCCAATGGGTGCTGGAGCCATAAGCCAGGTCAACTCACCATTGCCCGGTTGGGCGTCAAATCCCTCTTGGGAATGTTGTTTGTGTGATTCATGAGCAGCATCTTGTGGTAAAGGAATATCGGTCTGGCCCTTAGACTCCACCACATAGGCCTGCAGTAGCACTGGTTAACAGACGAACAATGTCAGCTTCCTCATCGCGTCATCGACTCCCACCAGCAACAGCGGGCGCACTTACGGAAAACTAAGGGCAGAAAGCGCCATAACCATAGGTTCCTCATCGTGACTTCGAAATATCAGGTGAATGCAGTAATAAGCGGCACATGGCGACTCAGTCCTGAATTAGAACGTCATCGAGAGCCGATTTATGTGCCTGGTTAAGTCGGCGGGGACCGGAGAGGTCCTCTAAGTGGTCCCAAGCACGCTTGAGCGGATCGGGCCACCTGTCCAAGCGGAGGTTCATTTCACCGACTCCTTGGCGGCTGACAAACCACTCTGCCCGAAAAGTCCTGCCCTAACTGAGGTGTACTCCGATCTACATATGAGCAAGACACGATGATTCAAAGATCTTTTCATTTTTTATGTTTTTTTTATAACATTTTCATCTTCTCGGTCCATAATCCATCTGTGCAACCTGTATACAGGAAATAAAAGAAAAGAAAAAAGAAAGAAAGAAAAAAGGGCCACATCATTAATACACTCGAATAGCAATTGCCCTCCATGCAAATCCAGGGAAACAACAAAGTCCAAGCAAAAATCAACGCACCTGTCCCTGGCACATGGGGAGGGCAACTCACGCGGCTCTTCAAATTCTAAAAACGCTTGGTATTTCCATGTTCTGAAGAGAAATGAAATCATGCATCACCAGCCAACAAATTTCGGTCACAATTTCGGCCGGGGTTTTTTCAAAGACTGAAGGAAATGAATCCATGGGGCTAATAACGTGAAAAACGTACATTCAGGGGGGAAAGAAAAACGAAGGCTGCAGACGCCCAAATAGTAGAAGAAATAACCAACCAATTCCGCGCATAAGATGCAAAATGTGCTCTCTCTTTTTTTTGGTTTTGTGGTTTGAACGTTGTCCTGATATGCAGGTGGTAGTACATTGATACAGAAAAAGGAAGCCAGCTATCAAGATTTCCAGCTCACTGACGGGGTGACCTAAAGAATATGTAAGTATGCGGATTCGTTTGACCATGACGGGATGGAACTCTTACGAAGGACTGAAGCTCGGCGACGTCGGACTGTAACCAGGAGAGGCTCCTCCGGGAGAAGTCGGCGAGCCGGAAAAGTTGGGGGATGTAGGAGAATACGTCTGGGGACTCGTGGGAGACCATCCAGGCGAAGTAGGTGTGTATTTGGGAGACGTAGGTGAGGTAGGTGAGAGGTGCCGACCGGCGCCACCAATTGCAGGACTGGTAGGACTATAGCTCGGTGACGTAGGACTAAACGCAGGCGAGGCGGGACTGAAGTTTGGCGACGTCGGGCTGTAATTGGGCGACGTAGGCGAGAAGCCTGGCGAAGTTGGTGAGTATGACGGTGAGGTTGGCGACGCTTGTCCATACGCAGGAGACGTGGGCGAGTAGGCCGGCGACGTTGGTGCAAACGACGGACTGGCAGGAGAGAATCCCGGAGACGTCATGAAACGAGGGCTGGTAATACCCATGCCAGGGGACGTAGGAGAGTAGCTCGAAGTAGGTGAATAGCCAGGGGATGTCGGGTTTGCACTAAACGGACTGCTCGGGGAATAGCCGGCAGGGCTCGTGGGCGCAGGGCTGAATCCACCGAAGCCACCGCTGGGCTGGTACTCAGTAAATCCACCAGGAGTCTCAGCGCCGGCTTGGCGGATGGGAGAGAAGTTCGATTCCGGATCAGGGGTACCAATGTAAGCGTTCTCTTGCATGGGTGAGCCAGTGTCATACTGGGTTGCAGCACCATCAGAGATGATTGCGTCCTTGGCACCGATAGCGCCCATAACACCAAAGCGAGCATTGTTTGATACAACGGTGTTGAGCAAGTTCTGGTCAAGGTAGATGTCGAACTCTCCAGTACCCGCGGGTGCCATCTGTCCCAGAATCAAGTTCTCGGAAACACCGCGGCAGTCATCCAGTTCACCGAAAGCGGCCGCTTCTAACAGAATTTCCACAGTCTCTTCGAAAGAGCAGCGCATCAGTGCACCATTGTCGGCACGGTTAATACCGTGACGAGTGACAGGGGTCAGATAGCCTCGCACAGTCATGACGTCGACAAGCAACGCCAAGTGACGGTGGTTGACATACGAACCGTCAAAGGCAAGCACTTGCGTCAACTCGCGAAGAACAGCGGTACGAGCAGCCTCGATACCAAAGACCTCGAAAACCTCGATAAACTGGTTGGAGTACGTGCGAGTAGCATCGACGCCTGGAATGGCCAAAACCTCGCCGAGAGAAGAACCACTGGTTTCGAGAACCCATTCTTTGCACAGAGGATCGTTCTTGCTGGTAAACAACGAACCATCTTCGAGAACACGGATCTTGGTCTTTTCGTTGATGAACGCACGCTCGACTCCACCAACGCCTCGAAGAGTGAGGGTATCCAAGAGATGCTGCTCCAATTTCTTCAGAGTAACATCGTACTCAATGTCCTCATCGTCTTCCTCCTCCTTGTTGTCTTGAATCTGCCGGATTCGAATGACTTGCTCATCTGCGTTGTTATCACTGAAGATTACAGCGATATCCTTGGGATATGCTTGCTTAATCCTAGCTGCAACATCTTGCACAGTAAGGCCTTTGTCAAGAAGTTGCGGTCGGTTCAGAATGATACGGAGCAACCATTTCGACTGACGGGAAGAATCGTCCGTAACATCCTCAGGGATGATGAAGTAGGACTCCACCATATCCCTATCATTCTCGATGACAGTGGTTTGGATATCCGGATCATAGTAAATCTCCGTAGCTTCGGTAACGGACCGCAGGCTAGTGTGCTCAACAGCACTTCGTAGCTGCTTAGCACCCTCTTTGTCACCAGATTTGTGAGCCTCTTGATAGACAGTCATAGAAGGCGTCTTGATGTTGGTGGCGACGTTCAAAATTTCCTTCAAACGGGGAACACCAAGCGTGACGTTCTTGGATGACACACCAGCAAAGTGGAAGGTGTTAAGAGTCATTTGTGTAGCCGGTTCACCAATTGATTGGGCAGCCAAAACACCAACCATTTCACCGGGGTTGGCAGCCGCTCTAGCAAATCGACTCTCGATGGCACCAATCACATGCTGGAAGGCCAATTTGTTCAAGGAATATTCCGTGACCAGTCTGCGGAACGCAAGACGACTGCGTAGCTGCGCCTTGAACAGCAGGGTGGCGTTTTCCTGGGCTTCCTGAGAGATATCGTCGTCTCCCCGTACAATCAATAACCGATCGAGCAAAGACTGCACTTGAGGAACAACTTCCGCTGGGTGCAAGTCGCTGATTGTTCCTTCACGGATTCTGAATGTAGTCCTGGCAGTCTCGAGGATACGCTGCACGTTGATTGGAAGCTGCATCATCTCCTCGTCTTCCTTGACGACAGTCCGGAGGAAAGCCCGGTCCTTCAGAAGCCGCTCCCACTCTTCATCCAGATATCTTTGGACCTCCACATCTCCTGCAATCTCATTGGCCTGCTCCAAGACATCAGGGCCAAGGCTGCGCTCAGGGTCCATGAGATCAACACGGAAACGATCTCTGAACTTGTCATCAGAGCATTTAATGATATCGACTCGCTGGTTCTCGATGTGAGCACCATCCAGACCATCTTCTCCGTACACGAACTGGATGATATCTCCCAGACTGTTTCGAACAGTACCATCATACTTGACCATGACCTCTTCCAAGGCTTTAACCAGTTTTCGCTGGATATAACCTGTTTCAGCCGTTTTGACGGCAGTATCGATAAGACCCTCGCGACCAGCCATGGCGTGGAAGAAGAATTCAGTCGGCGTTAGACCCCGCAAATATGAATTCTCCACGAAACCACGAGATTCAGGCGAATAGTCGTCCTTCGTGAAATGGGGCAACGTACGATATTTGAAACCGAAAGGAATACGTTTGCCTTCCACGGACTGTTGACCCACGACAGCAGTCATCTGGGAGATATTGATGGTTGAACCCTTCGATCCAGACCGAGCCATTTGAATGGCATTGTTCAAATCCTTCAAACTCTTCTCTGTTTCGCTACCGGCTTCGTCACGGGCGTTGTTGAGAGCACGCGAGACCTTACTCTCGAAAGTTTCTCGCACGTTCATACCTGGCAACGCTTCAAGGGTATTCGCGGTGGCACTCTCAGTGATTTCATCGACCTCCTGCTTCCTGACACGCACACAATTTTCGATTCTCTGAATCGTGAGCGCGTCCGGAATAGTATCACCAATACCGATACTGAAACCATTGTGTAACAACCAGTAGTTGACGATGGTTTGAGCTCCGTTGAAGAAGGACACAGCAGTGCCTGGTCCATACTCATTGAAAATGGTGTGAATAACACCGCCACCGCTGGCTCCAACAGTCTTCTTGGAAAGCATTCCATACAACAACTGCCCACCATGGATCAGGACACCACCATCATTCAGAGGTGAAAACTTCTCTGAAAGAGGCGAGCTGTCCTTATCAACACGCAGAAGGTTGAGACCAGGAGGAAGAGCCATGCTGATCATCTGCTTGCCAGTCCATCTGGGCCTGGGCTTCAAGATTGCCGGAGGCGGAATGACACCATCCCAGTCAGGTACCCACATCATAATGTTCATCACTTGGTCCTTGGTCAAAAACGCATCACGACGGCAAATCTTGTATATACCACAGAGTGTGTCCTGCACGATACCCATCAGCGGCCCGTTTCGCTGTGGTGATACGATGTTGCATGGAACCAATGCAAGCTCGCTAAGTTCTGCTCGCGATTCCTCGCTCTGAGGAACGTGCAAGTTCATTTCATCACCATCGAAATCGGCGTTGTAGGGAGTCGTGACAGACAGGTTAAGTCGAAACGTTGAGTACGGCATGACACGAACGCGATGACCCATCATGGATTCCTTATGCAGGGAAGGCTGTCGATTGAAAAGAATAACGTCACCGTCCATGACGTGACGTTCAACTTTCCAACCGTAGAGTAGTTGCTGACCTCCGGCCCGTTTAGCGTGACGCAAGTCAATGCGCTCGCCGTTATCTCGGACGATGTACCGTGCTCCGGGGTGTTCATTGGGACCATTCATAACCAGATTCTGCAGCTTCTCGATGTTGTAAGGAGTAACAACCTCGGGATATGTCAGGGTTCTCGCGATACTTTTGGGAACACCGACCTCGTCCAGACTCAAGTTGGGGTCACCAGTGATAACTGTACGCGCGGAAAAGTCCACACGCTTACCCATCAAGTTCTGTCTCAGACGACCCTCCTTACCCTTTAGACGACTGCGAATAGCTTTGACAGGTCGGTTCGACTTCTGCATGGCCTTCGGTTGACCAGCAATATCGTTGTCCATGTAAGTAGCGACATGGTACTGGAGTAGCGACTCGAATTCACGCACGACGTGCTCCGGGGCACCTTCCTGCTCACAGCGCTGGACATTCTGGTTTGCGCGCACAATTTCAGCCAACTTGTAAGTCAAATCATCCTCACCACGCTGGCCACTTGTGCTACCACCCACAAGCACACTAGGACGGACAGGGGGGGGCGGGACCGGCAAGACGGTAACAATCATCCACTCCGGGCGAGCATAGTCATTGCTCAGCCCCATGATGCGAACATCTTCCTGGGAGATGGTGCGAAACACGTTCAGTGCCACTGATGGGGTGATGGTTTTCTTTTCCGGCTGTGCCATATCCATGTCATCGTCCATCATGCTCTTGTTAGGCTTCCATGTTCCAACCAAGGTGATGCCTTCTTTCCGAATCTGAGGCTGGGCATTTCCACACCCGCCATGGTTTCTCGTAGGCTTCTGGGCTTCTTTCGAAAACGGGTCGTCGTCTTCAGGTTGGTCGGCCTGACATATCAAAACATCCTTGGACAAACGCCAGATGTTGTCGAATCGTCGTTTCGGGTCTCTCATGCGAAGGGCTTCTAAGAATTTGGGGTCGGACTGGCTCTAGGTCAGCAATGCCATCTATAGTTTTGCCATCCCGTAAGGGATGACTAACCGTATTGGCTTTGATCTTTCCACAGTTGTGGCAGACCGTCTCGAGTAGCTTCTTGATCTTTGTCAAGAAACCTAAGGAACAAAAAAGCGTCAGCGCGAACACCCAAGCAAGCATATTCAGTGCTTGTCTCAAAAATGACAACATACCGATATGGAAAACTGGGGTGGCAAGTTCGATATGCCCGAAGTGTCCGGGACATTCTTTTTGGCCTTCCTCACAGGTTTCGCAGTTCCATTGCCGATCGATTGTTCCCAAGCGAGGATCATTTAGACCCTTTGTCCGAGGACGCTGCCTTTGCTCATCCTGGTGTTATCACGTTCCGTTAGCATCCCGGATGGTCTAGTGACCGGCAGACAAAGAAAGGAGACTCACCATCGTCTCCGGGTATTCCACATGTACCACACTCATCCGCTTGAGTTCCTCGGGTGCGAAGAGACCAAACTGGATCTCCTTGATGGTGCGCAAAGGCGCCTTGGAGTAAGGGAAAAACACGTTCGACATGATGAAGGTCGGTCACGGAGATGCGTTGCTCGAGAGGTAAGACGGGGGCAGGTGACGTATCGCAAAGAAACGGGCGATGCGAAAACAGTAAAACCGCGAATAATCAGTCCAAGAAGTCGATAATGTTAACTCTCAGATGTGCAAAAGCGACAGTTGAGGAGTTTGCGAAGCAGCTGGCCGGCTGAGGCCTTTGGCAGCCCTTGCCACGAGGGCGCCTGCGACCTTATCCACCGACGTCGCGAACTCGAAAAAAGGCGAAAGAAAAAAGGGCCGCGATCGATGGAGGCGAATCGTCCAACTGAAAGAGTGATATCGCGATGCGAAACGCGATGGTCGGGGGCGTTGGGCGATGGGAAAGCAGCGTGTCGAGGTGATGAAAGGGAGATGGTTGGACGTCAGGTCGGTGGTCGATGGGGCACGAGTTTTCTGAGCCGCAACCCGGCACTAGCGCGGTGGCAATTATAAGACATCAATGCCAAGACCCAAACCTTGGCAGACGGAGGTGACCGATAGCTGAGAGTCAATCAAACCCAGTAATAAGCAAAGGCGGTGGAGTCTGTTCTTCACCGTTTAGAGGCCTTCTGACCGCCCGGCAGCCCCAGGTTCCAACCTTCCAGATTTCATCAGATTCACCTGCCGACCATGAATCTCCCCGCCTGCAGGCAATCGCAGTAGCGTCCCTGTTGCACTGGATGATTGTTCTCAGCCAGTCATCCTGGCCTTCTTTCTGGGCTAGGATTCTACGGTGATCTTTCAGATTTCTCCCTTTCGTCTTCCCCTTACCTCCTTGTTACTATTCCTGTTACTTTCTTTGACGGCGCAACCTCTTTATTCGGCGCAATGAATCTGTCCCTTATTGATCCCTTTGTCCTGGCTCAGGACTACCCAGACACCCTAACAGAGAAACTGAGTATGGCTCCAGTTTTCATTTTGGAGCGCCCAACCACTAACAGGTTCAGGAAGCGGCCATGCGACGTCTTTACGCTTTAATCGCAAGGGCGACTATCTAGCCTCCGGACGAGTATGTCTTCTCACAAATACCCGCGACTCTTTTCCCACCTGCAAAATGTTGACCCATAATGTTAGGTAGACGGTACCGTGGTCATCTTCGACATAGAGACAAATGGAGTGGCGCGAAAATTACGGGGTCACACTAGACAGATCCAATCGCTCAGGTACACATTTCGCTGTCTTGTTTACGATTGCACAAAGGCTCACGTCGATATAAAGTTGGTCTAGGGATGGTCGTTATCTTTTGAGCTCCTCGCAAGATTGGAAGTGTATCCTCTGGGATCTGAAAGACGGGTCAAGGGTGCGCACTGTCCGATTCGAGGCTCCTGTGTACATTGCCGAACTACATCCTTACAACCAGTAAGTCCTTGCGACCATTGCTTTGGTACTGGCATTCAAGGTCGCATTGCGTGCTAATGGCTTCTCATCCTCTAGTTTGTTATTTGTCGCCTCTCTATTCGAGGAGCAGCCCGTACTCGTCGACGTCTCATCTCCCAAACCCATCAAGCGCATCCTTCCCTCCGCTCCGTTCCGCCCCAAGTCTGAAGAAGTTGACCCCGCCGTGGCCGCAAAACAAGCAGCCCAAGATGCAAAGCAGTCGACTTGCGTGACCATCTTCACTGCGCTAGGAAACCATATTATCGCGGGGACTTCTAAAGGCTGGATCAATATCATCGAGACTCAAACCTGCACCACCATTCACTCCTCGCGGCTCTGCAACGGCTTAGTGACTCTTATACGCCTCTCCAGTAACGGACGAGATATCCTAATCAACAGCTCCGATCGAGTCATCCGCACAATTCTCATGCCCGATCTCTCCCAGCTCGGCATCGATCTCGAACTCGCCAACATCAAACTCCAGGTCGAGCACAAATTCCAAGACGTCGTCAACCGCCTCAGCTGGAATCACGTCACCTTCTCATCCACCAGTGAATTCGTCACCGCCTCCACCTACATGAACCCCGACATCTACGTGTGGGAACGCAGCCACGGCTCTCTGGTCAAGATACTCGAAGGGCCGCGGGAAGAGCTCGGCGTCGTGGAATGGCACCCCCATCGGCCCATGGTCGTCGCCTGCGGCCTTGAGTCCGGACATATTTACACCTGGTCCATCGTGACGCCGCAGAAATGGTCCGCCCTGGCGCCTGATTTCGGTGAGGTTGAAGAAAATGTCGAGTACGTCGAGCGCGAAGACGAATTCGACGTCCATCCAGCTGAAGAAATTCACAAACGCCGTCTTGACCAGGAAGATGAGGTCCCTGATGTCCTGACCATCGACTCCCAGAAGAGCGACGCAGACGAGGAGATTGAATCCTTCCGAATGCCCGTCCTCCTCGACATCTCCGATAGCGAAAGCGAAGAGGATATCGTGGCTGTGGGGCCGGGAACCATGCGTCGACGCAGTCCTGGTGCCGGTCGTGAGTGGATGAACAACGACGGCGATAAGGACTCGACGGCCGGTGGTGGGAGAAACGGGACCGGCAGAGGGGGGAGGGAGCGGCGACGATGAACTCCCCTACCTATCTTTCTCATTCTATTCATCTGTCTTACTATGTCTTTGGGATCATCATTAGGGAAGGAAATTTGTTCTTTATCATTTAGACCGGTGGGATTTGAGTTCGGGTTGTTTTTACTTCGGTTCTTGTTGGAAGGTCATGTATGAGGTTATGAGCGTTTCTGGTGACGATTGTCATATCTTGGAAGTACCTATCTATACCCAATACCACAGTATCTTATACCTACTTCATTACAAATCATTGCGCAGAATAACTACAATCAATAAACCAATCAGGCGCCTAGGTTTATCTTTCAGAATTCGAAAATTGAATCAACTTTCACTCTGTAGCCAATATGAATTTTTATAAAGCTTTATTATAGTTTTGAGAAAAACAGGAAGAAAGAAAAAGAAGACTGGTTTGAACTATACAGCCACCAGCAAGAGATCTCAAACCTAAGATGCCAATCGATATGTATCAGATATTGACGGGGGTGCACAGGGGAATGCAGATAAGCAACTGAGACATGGTCGCGAAGATCCGTTCCATTCACCGTCTCCTGGATCTCCTGGCCATGCGGCAATGTCTAATCCCGGTAGGTGTTCTAAGGGGAGATGCGATACTTTATCCTTACATTTGCCTTCATCTATTAAGACTTCGACTTCGACTTCACAGTAACGATTACCTTTAGGATAGATGTCACCTGATGTAATCTGAAGAAAGTAGCAGCAAAGTTTGATGGGATGCAGCAGCACTGGCATGGCGTATGCAATGTGGACGGTCGTCGCGGCATAACTTGCAATTGCAATATCGCCATTCCCGAAGGAGGATGAAACAGAGTATGAACAGAGGACTGTTCGGGTTTCCAGTGGCGGTCGTGCTAACTTTCGGCATGACCGCCACCGTCATTTCGAGGATCATGGTGCGGCAGGGGACAATAATTGCGCGAATACGCATTCAATTGCCCCAGCGCATATGAGAGGCAAGACCCGGGTGCAGAATCGCTTCCAAGAAGCAATGGATCGATCTCCAGCCGCAGTGATCTACACTGCTCACCCAGGAGCGGAGAAAAATGATCGGGAGGGAAGTGAAATACTTTATCTCATCGACTCGTCAAACCAGTGTCCTGGCGCGAGTATTGACACTGGCGTATCCTGACCGATGTCTGTCTGTCTCGCGCGGCTTGTAATTTGACGATCAGTTGTTCAGAGGTTTCCGCGCCTGATATATGTGTAGAATGTTGTAGGCGTGGATTTCCTTGTTAAAGGCTTCTGATTTCACGTCGGCAGCAATACGCTGGATTTTATCCAAATCCCAACCAAAGACTCGGCTAAACGGAGCCAGGCTGAGAGACTCGATGCTCTCCGAGATGGCCAAGTTGTACCACCGAGCAACCTTCCTCTCGTGTTCATCCTGGTGCCATGGGTTCAAGGGTAGCCCCACCATTTGGTGGTCAATTTCCGTAAACCCGGCCTCCTGGAGGTCTCTGATGGTATCGCGAGAGTTGTGGGCTATTGGGCGCATGGTGTCTTGCGTAGCCTGTTTCAAAAGTTGGTACCATTGGCGCAAAGCCAGCCCTTCCAACGGGCTGTCGTCACATCGGGGTTCGAAATCGATTTCCACCTGCTCGAACCAGGCCCCCGGTCGTAGATGGGAAAATATTCTCCGATACAGGTTCGGCCAACCTAGCACGCTACCACAGCCCATCTGCAGATGGATGAGGTCCCAGGAATCCTCGCCCAGGGTCCAGCGGCTCTCGAAATCGAAGGGCGCGTAGAATTCGCAGTTAGGCGGCTTATTAGGCGGTTGTATAGGAGCAAGGTCTACGCCCACGACAAATCCTTCGGGGTATTTGTTGGCCACGTCAATCGACCAGATCCCAGTCCCGCATCCCAGGTCCAAGAACCGGCCATCTCTCGGATGAGGAGCATAGATCAACCCATCCGAGACACGCGCCACGGTGAACAATTTGTGGAAGATATCAAGGCGATCCTGTTCCTGCTCATCGCAAGGCAGCTGGTAGACTCCTCGGCGAAAACCGTGGTAGGTGCGTCCGTTCTCTTCATGGAAAGGTTGTTTCTCGGAACTCCTATATAGGCAAACAAGACGATCAGGGATCGCACATTAGCCGTCCAATGATACCAAGCTTACTTATATTAATTTGGAGGGTTGCGGGGGGAAACGGCAAGTGGGGGATGCGATCCCAAGGCAAGACTGTAAGGAAATCAGAGAGAAATACTTGCTATAAGTAGAGTTCATGCTCGGTGACCCATTGCGATTCCAAGAGCTATAGCCAGACGCTTCCTCCCTCGCAGTATCCCTATCGGTTATCACATAGATGTCCATTGCGTCCGAATTATTTCTCGAGCGGCTCGCATCCGTCGTTTGGGAGTAGAAGTGATTCTGAGATGGTGAGGCCATCGGAAGAGGTCGCTGTTCGACTTGACCGTTCCCAAACATCACGGAGTGCACAAAACGAGATTTTGTCGGGAAAGAAACAGTCTCGCTTGTTTACAGGGAGGTGGGGGATGGTGCCCGGAAGAGAAGGTGGCGGGCTGATGTCAGTATCGCGGAAGTCGGTGGAGCAGGTATATGGAATCTGGACCAGGCGACAGGCAGAACATAGAGCAGGACAACTCGTGGGAGTGCAAAGAAGAGGTAGAATCGAGCATAAATCCCGAGAATGGTCCGGTGGTACTGGACTGCGAAATGATACTGTTTGCCGTACGAGAGCTAAAAGAGGTCAGTCAGGGTATGGGGCCCACCAAGGGGCATAGGAATAGAAATAGGAATAAAAAGAAACAAAAGAAGAAGAAGAAGAAGAAGAAAAAGAAAAGAGTCAAAATAAAAATGGAGGCGACTTGCAGCAGATCACACTTTCGAATGCACCTAGCTGGGCCGGAACTGAATCATGGGAAGACTTCCAACCACGACCAGAAAGAGGCAATGGGCGAGAAAATAAATAATCCTGGAAATCCAGAGCCAGGAAAATAAGAAAAATAGAGAAGGAAGTGGAAAGATAATGAAATAAACCAGGCGCCGTGTTACTTCCCCCCGCGATGATCAAAGCTCAGCCAAACAAGAGGGAAAAATAAAAATAAAAAAATAAAAAAGAAAAGAAAAGAAAAGAAAAAAGAGTAGCGGTCACGGCACGGAGATCTACTAGACGCGAGTCAACAGCAATGACAGATGGAGCTCAATCAACCTTGGTTTGCAGGGCGAGCCACAGTCGAGTCAATTGCAAGAAAGGCGCCGAACCGGGAAAGGGCCAAAGGGGAGGGGGGTCAGGAAGGAAGAACGAAACGAGAGAGTTACCGTAGAAGGTAGGGAAGGGGAAGGTAGATGAAGCGAAGTACGGAGTAGGTCACGGCCAAAAATGGAAAGGAAGCAGGGTGGTCTGGCGGAGAAGCGAAGGGGATTGTTCACCAGGACGAGAGTACGAGACCCAAAAGAAAATGAGTAAAATAAAATGGAATAAATAATATCCCTGCTCATGAATAATAATAAAAATAATGCGATAATAACAGAAACGAAAATAAAAAACCCAAATAATAGAGGGCTTTTCTTTAAGGTTGCTGCAGCCGCTGTCTTGTCCCCGTTGGGTCCACGGGCGCAAGGGCGGGGCGGTTAGGGGGCCTGAGGCGCTGAGAATCAGCCTTTCCCCGAGTGATTGATAATGATTAATGAGTTCGGATTAAGACGACCGGGGTCGAGACGGGCATGCCAGAAAAAGGGGCTGTTGCGAGGCGAGCAAAAAAAGAAACACGCGCAAGCCGGCATGGTCGACAAGACACTCGATGCTCGCGATCTATGTACTTGTACTGTCTACATATGTGTATGTGTCCTGGCTCGCTGGGCGCTGGCTGTCCAACAATCAAAGCATTACACGGACTGGCTTGATTTACTCACCTACTCGGTTGCGCTAGCGTACCATGGTTCAGCTTACACTTAGGTTTTCATCCGGTTCATTGGCTCAATAGACTCATGGAAGCCCCTCCATCAACCATGGTTGCGGGTTTGTCCGTCACTAGATAGTAGTAGAATGTTTACATGGATCTTCAAAATCTACTGGCGATTAGTTACTCGCGCTGATGACTGCAGGAGTCAGCGGGGAACCTCCTCGGCGTAGGGGACATTTAATGATGTAAGAAGGTACTTGACGGTGACGTCCATCTACTACGCCGTCCAAGTATAGTGCCCGATATCATTGGGTATCCGATACATGCGGCACCTGTACGGGTGCGTGTGGAAAGCCCGGAGGCGTGCCGGGATGCATGGATATTAGTTGGTAGGTGCTACTGCTGGGTGGTAGGATAGCGGCGATGCTGCCGGCTACTCCGTAGAAGCCACATGTCGAGAGAAAAGCAATTCACGTTTTTTTTTATTTAATTTTTTTTTTCTTCTATTTATTTTAGTGTAAAAGAGGGGGTTGAGAAAGAAAAAGAAAAAGCCCTAAAATCACCCACCCGAGTATTCGGGCCCTCGCACCATTTTTACGAGTCCAATGATCGATCAACAGTAAAGTGGCGGTAAAGGATTGGACTGGATCGAATTTGGCGATAACCTTTCGCAGAATAAATTAAAGGATTCTTTTTGACTTTGTCTCCTGGACTGGACTTACTTCTCCCGGCTAATCAGGAGGGGTTGGTTGAGTCACTCACAATAGTGGCAGTCGATCTATAGTTTTGACAAGTAGGTAGGCGGTACGGAGTTAGATGAGTTAAATTATTACAATGTAAAGCGAAAGATGTTCTCCATTGTCCAATGTCATGCTCCGTTCAGTGAGTGCCTTGGTGTGGAACAGACAGGGAAACATGACGGGAAACACACCAAAAATAAAAATATACTCCGTAGCCAACAGCTACACTAGGTTAAGCCCCAACTACTATTAATATGACCACTCTCCTCCAGCGCCTAGAAATTTCAATTTATTTCTATTCTTTGATTTCTATCATCTAATAACTCCGGAGTATGTATTTTAATACTCTCCTCTTTGCTCGTTATTCTAACACCGCTCAGAGGATGAACGAAGGAGGGGCAAGACCAGAAGGAAGAAAAAGAAAATTAAATTGATGGGTCCAAAGCCAACTACTACAAAAAGTGACTTCCGGGCGGGATGCGGACCGCCTCCCACACTTAATTAAATAATCCAACCTTTTATTCCTCGCCCTTTAGTCTTTGTCCTTTGTCCTCCTTCCGTTCCCCCCTTCAACCTTTTTCTGCTTGGGCCACTCACGTACTCCGTCTGATTCAGGCTAGTTGCTGCCCGCATTTTCAGGCATGCCAGCGTCAGGCAGCGGTACCAACGCAGTGGTTTGCAGGATTCGAAGCTTCGGGCCTGGCTCCCCTTCGAGCGTTCCTCCGTAGCGTCCGAGGAGCAAACCAAAAATGACCCCAGCCCTCCATTTCCGCAGGGTCACTAATCACGGCATTGCGTGCAGCCGCTTCAAAGTGGATCGGTTCGTTTCGGATTATGGAGCTATGCAAGGTCTGGCGTCGAAGGCACCTCCAACTTTCCATACTAAGCAATGTTACAGAGGCAACTAACTATGTACACCGTTGGCTAGTAGTAACTTAGTAAGTAACATCGTCTCGAGTCCTGGTCTCCACGGTTATACGAGCTGTACCCGTTGAGTTGCCATCTACAGAGTCTGTGGAAATCCTCTGCAACCGAAAGACTCTCGTTGCTACCTTGGGTACCCTCATTTCTTCACCAAGCCCACATGGTCGGTCGACGGTGTCCGAGTAACTTTTGGCGGCAGCTCGACCCGCTACTCCCCCACGCGCCGTCCTAGAGTCCGGCCAAGGTCGAGCGATCTTCACTTGATGATTGACATTTGACGGGCTGTCTGGCTGAAGTAACTTCGCGCCGAACTCTTTTTAGTATCATATCAGTCCGGACGGACCGCGGACGTGCATCGCCTAACACCTACTAGGCCACTATCCGCCCCCCGAATGACGCCCGTGTTCAGTGTTGGGATCAGGAACTTTGAGGGGGGAAGGGAGCCTAGGAGGATCGTGAGCCACTCCCTCCTACCCCCCCATCATTAGTACGGTAGTATTGCCCTGTGATTCACTGGGTGGTCTCAGTGATGGGGCTGATCATTTCACCGCTTCCCAGATTCCTGGGTCAAGCATGATGCATAAGATTTATTTTTGCTCCTGCATCCTACCCCCCTGTACTCCGTGGCTGACAGGCTCACCTCTCAAGTCCGTGTCCCTGTCCGTACCTGGTCTTTTCTTGTTTTCAGTCCTAGGTATTTTTGGTAATTTTTTTTACCTCTTCGATTCCAATTGTCTAGTTTTTCTTTTCAGATATACCAGCTATCTCCTCAGGTGTATGTATCCTTTTCTATGTGATCTGAGAAACAAACCTATCGGGCCTACCCATGGATTGACCGATCGACTAATAGTTGATTGGCCGGTTTAGTCCGTGATCTTGGAAGGATCCATAATTTCTAGAGTCCAGAGTCCATGCTGGATTTCATTTTCGGCGGTGAGGCATATTATCCTGGATGGGGAGCTACTACCAATGGGGTTATGCCTATTAAGGCACCTCGTACATAATCCTGGGTAGAAAATAGATTAATGCCCATATTTCGGCGCAGCTCTGCTGCGAAAATTTTACTTGAACCAGAAATCATGACGATGATGACGGTCAACCAACCAAACATATTTCCTCCCCTTAGATCTGGCCACGATATAAACCTCCTCATCCCTGTCCTCTAGCCCAGAGCCATTGGATGACAAGGTCCCCCGTTTTCTAGTCTACTGTGCAAGAGAAAGGGGCGAGAACTTACCTAATCCTCGTCCAAGGCAGTCAGTTAGTTAACTAGTACGGCACACGGTGTAGTTGGAGTTGGAGTTGGAGTCGATTTCTCCTCTTCTCGCTCTCAATCAACTATGATTTTCTACCTACCAGTATACTCCGTAATGGACATACCCGATAATGATCACTCCCCATTCTTCCTCGCGTCCGTCCTCTTACCAGCCCCCCTTTCCCTCTCCTCTCAAGAATGCCACCAAGGAATGGTTCCGTGGAACAAGTCCTGCAGCTGACCTGCGCCGCCCTTTCGCCTACCGATCCTTGCTTCTTGCTCTCTTCCGTACACAGTATGACTCGCTCCTATCAAGACCGGCTTCTCCACCGCGCTGACCTCGTCGGATATATCTACCGCACGACTGTTCCCCACTTTCGTTCACCCGGCGTCTCGCCAGTCCTGCTTTTCAAGTCCTCAACCATGGTCTTGCCTCTCCCTAGAGCGTCTCGGCCAGCTGATGAGATTAATTTTGAAGCGCCCCCTCTTCTCGCCAACATCCCCTTCAAGTTCGGTACCATATCATTGATCGTGGATAAGCGCTTTCTACCCAACGCCGCCCCTCCCATCCCGTTTCACCAGGTTGTTGACTGCCTGCCAGCACGACGTAAGACATCATGAGATGTCTAGACCTTACCTGACTCGCGGAGATTCATGGTTGATGTTTGGCACCGGCCCGAACCATAAAATACGGAGTATAACGAGGCACGCCATGCCGGTCCCTGGATGTGACGGCGCGATGACAAGTCACCAATAGAAACTTCCTCCAATTGAAGCTAATCGCACATCCACTTGATTTGCGATTGTCTCTCTAGTGTCCCGGAGAGTTTCTTTTTTTCCCAACAAAAGATTCCCTCTCGGACTGACACGTCGCACAACGCCTCTTTAAATCATTTGACAGAAAAATCCCACCCTCGAGATGAAAGATTGGGAGGAAAAAAGGTGGGGGGAGGCGTAATCAAACGATCATCACCGAGTAGATCATGCGAAACCTTCCAGGTTTTATATTCTTGGGGAAACCAACCTAGACTCCGATGCAGCCACTAAGTTTTGCCATGAGCAGGTACAGAGATGCTCCTGCGCTGGTCGCAGAAGGAGGAACCAATCCGCTGCCATCCCTGCGACAAAAATCCATTATTGGTCGCCTGAGCAGGAAGGATGCCACCGCTTCATCGGTGGACTAGGATGGTTCTCTAGGCTGCTATTGGCCATGGCTGCTTCGAATCCCTAGTAACAACGGTGCGTCCCTGGCTCCTCCTGGGAGAAACAGCCCCGGACCTTTTTGCGGCAGTGCTCATGCAACTAATTAGGTGCAGTTAGCCACTGAGGGGAGTCAACCCTGCGCTCCGTAGGCAGGTATCCCAGCTGCCAACTCGCCTGCTCCCTCTCTTTCTCTCTCTCTTTTCCAATTTTTCCCCCCAACGGGGCTCCACCTTGCTTATAACGCTGCGAATAGACTTCTGCGGCCATCGACCAATCCGGTGACCATTTCAGCCTCTGATCCATATTAGTCGTTAGTACTCCATTCAGAGGTCACCCTCTCACTTGGATCCTTTTTTTTTTTTTCGCCTTTTTTTTTAAAAAATTTCTTTTGCTTTTTCATTTTCTGGCGAGACCCCCTCCCTCCATCGGCTGATCGGACCAAGAAATGGAGACTCAACTATTTCTCTTGTCCAACCAAAGGTCAGGGGTCGAGTTGCCCTATCACCTGCAATACTCGGCTCATCCTGGTAAAATTCATCGTTTTAATATGGCAAAGCTTCGACCGAATTCTCTACCGGTTCTTTCGCGAGGCAACTAACAGCGAGCATCCGGTATATCATGTGCGATCCCCGCATCACGAGGGCGTCCTCGGCGATTGATAGGGGGGATGATATCAACAATCGGCAAGCCCCTGCAGTAAGGAATACACAGCTACCCATTCATCAATCATGACAAGGTAGATCTGCACAACGGGAGACGTCTCCTGGCGGTGCCTACGGAGTCCAAGCAACACCAGTAGTGTATATGTTGATCAAATCCAACGGCCTCCTGTCTCAGGCTAAAGTGGGGATGAGCGGAGGGAACCCACGGGTGCCCTGGCCAGAAGGTGAAAAAAGCCTTGAAAGGTTGCAGTTCCGAATTTTTTTTTCAAGGTCTAGACGGAAGCTCGGTCGGCCCTTATCGTCTCAAGGCGCGCACTCTTGGATCTATCCATCCTTGATCATCTGATGGGGGGGATTCCCTCCCCCCAAATGGCATGGATGGACTTGTGCATTCGTACGGTTGGGAATGGAAGAAACCAACAGTTTTGGATAGTAAGATAATATCGGCGTTTGCATAATTTGTTCCGCGTTGGTCTGTTGCAGCTAGTATTGCCTGATTTTCTTTTCGGTTTTTTATTTTTTTTTTTTTTTCCAATTAGTTGCTGTCATCCAAGGGAAAAGTACAGTAAAAGACTTTGGGGAAGGCAACTAACGGGTGGTGAGCCCCAAGAATCAGGCACCAAGGCCGCGGTAAGGCCTCAAAAGGGGAAAAAAAAAAGGAAAAGGAAATTCTTGGCTTCCGCCGCTCCGGGTATCTTGGAAGTATCAACTCCCTCCAAGGAAATAAGGACCAGAGAAAAAGAAAGAAAGAAACAAGAAAAAAAGAAAAGAGGAGGCGGCTCGGTTCGAGATCAGCGATTGTCTAGCATTTCTTGGAATCACACCGTGCCATCGTCTATCGTCCATCCCTATTGGAAACAGCCACGTCAAAAAGCACCAAAGCAAGAGACGCAAAAGATTGAGGCTACGGAGGTTTCCCGTGCACACCCACTTCGGCTTGATATCGAATTCCCCGTCAAGCCACAACACTGCAGCGACGACAAACAATTGTCAACTCGCCTTTCCACCAAGTAAATCTCGTATTAGACTGCCCCGGTGCAGGGGTTCTCTATCTATCTGAGGCTGAGACCTAGTTCTCTTGTCTTTTACCCTATCGGAGAGGGGTGTCCATCCACCACAGGAGTTTTTCCCTCTTTCCCCCATTTGCTTTTTCCTTGTCCTTTCTGGCCAGGCGATCACAGGCTAGTTAGTTAGCCATGCATACGCTAAAAGCTACGGCCTCCTCCTCGCTCTCCCTTGCGGAGGGCAGTTACATCTACTCCCTTGAGGCGTCATCTCCAGGTTCATTTGCTGCTATTTCGTCCGATGACTCTCTCCGCACCTTCGACGCTGCTAGTCTGAACCATGTGTCTCTAGTGGCTACAGACATCCACGAGGGAGTCACTGCATTGAAGTCCTATGATGACAACCAGCAGTTACTGGCCACCGGAGGAAGAGATGGAAAAGTGAAGCTCTGGGATTTACGAACGCGCAAGAAGGCGGCCGTGGCTGCGATGGAGACATGTAGGCATCCCTCTTTTTCCTTTTTTTTTTCTTTTTTCTTTCTCTTTTTGGAGTTGCTATTTTTCGGCGATGGCTATCATTATTTGGAGTCACCATCTCCAACCCCTCATTTCCACAATGTCGAAATCCGGGATGAATCTACTATCATGCATGTTTGTGATGAGTTGTTGTCCAACTCTCGAAGTTTATTTTCTTAGTTGAAATGCACGGCATCCGATGATTGCATGCTGACCTTTGACTGCCGCAGCAAACCAAGCGCCTGTTTTGTCCATCGCCTGCTGCGCCGCAACTAACAGTCTCGTTGCTGGAACCGAGCTAGCTTCGTCCCAGGCGGTTGTTGCTTTCTGGTACGTTCTGGGATTTCTTACCTGTTCATGATGAACCTGGTCAGATCGATTCGCTGTCAGGCGAAGATTTCATGGATGGGCATCGACATCCCGTCTTTTTTTTTATTTTTTTAATTCATTTTATTTTTTCCCCTTTCCTCCCCCTCTTCTGACTTCCTCCATTATTTGGATCCTGCGAGCTGCTAACTGACGCAACAGGGATGTCAGATCACCCGCCCAATACTCACTCCAATATGTTGAGAGCCACAACGACGACGTAACTGAGGTGCGTTGTACTTGCACCTCCTGATTTAGATTAACCCAGGATGAAAGGGAAACCCCTACAACACATGCCAGTTCATCAAACTAACGAGCGATCGACTGATTGGTAGCTTCAATATCATCCCACGCAAAAGAACCTCCTGCTGTCCGGAAGCACGGACGGCCTCGTCAATGTTTACAACACCACCATCGCCGATGAGGATGATGCCCTGGTGCAAGTCATCAACCATGGCTCCGTGCACCACGCCGGCTTCCTTACCGAGCGGGCGATCTACGCGCTCAGCCACGACGAGGTCTTTTCGATTCACCCGGCCACGGACCCAGATGAGCAGGCGCAGGAGCCGGAGCCCGTCCAGTTTGGGAACCTGAGAGAACCGCTTGGCTGCGAGTATGTCGCTCAGCTGTGCATTGGCAGTCAGGGTTCCTACGTCGCTGCTGGCAGTACGAGGTGCGTTCAGGCAGCTCATTTTATGGCCATCCCCCTACCCCCTCTCGCCCTGGCTCTTGGCCGTATGTTGTGTGCTAACGAACGACGTCAGCGAACAACGCCTGGACTTGGTTCCTCTGTCGGCTAGCCCGTCGTGGCAGTTCAACCGGGAGAACCTGTGGCGTCTTCCGGGTGGTCACGGCGAGGAGATTGTTCGTTCTGTGTATTTGGATGAGCAGGTGTGTTTCATTCTGCTGCTCTCACTTCAAGACCGCGCAGCCTAGCTAATGAATCACAGTCCCAATCGGTGTTCACCTGCGGTGAGGATGGATTCGTGCGTGCCTGGAAACCGCAAGGCGAGGGAATGGGCACGGAGGATTCTTCGACCAAGACGGCACGACCTAAGGGAAAGAGGGGTAAGGAGAAGGGGCGGTTTAACCCGTATTGAACGTTTGTCTATTGGTGATGTGGTGTGGTTGTTTATACATGAAAATCAAGTGTCAAGTACAGTTTCCAAAGAAAATATATTCCTCCGCGCTGAGATGCAAGAACATATGTATCTTGCTGTAGTGGAATGTCCGTGCCTTAATAGCGACCCGCATAGTCAGGACGTACACTTATTTCAAACGTAGTAGAAATGAAAACAGTAGTTAGAAGAACCGATGGATCAGTGGTTCGTGTTAGATGGTCGGTTGAGGGAGGGTACATACAGAAGCAAAAAAAGCCCAAAAGTAGTCGCCCGGGATCGAACCGACAACCTCAGAAACTGCTGCCGTCCCTCTGCAAAAGTAACACCAGAAAAATCTCTTCCTTTCTTATCTCCGCGGGAAATCAATTATTTCCATTCTCCAACTTTTTTTTTTTCCCTCCGGAAAGTGAATCCCTTCATTTCTTTCGTTTGTGATTTTGCTTGTGTTTGCGACGCGCCAGGCGTTCACTCACTCTTTCTTGTTTCCATCTTACATATAGATTACATGAGCGGATTGTGCGCGAGTGCTTAGTTTTTTTTTTTTTTTTTTCCTTCTCGGACTGACCACCACTGGCACTCAACGACTCCAAAAACGCCGACTCCATCCATCCCGGCGAGCCGCCGCAAAGAAAAGAAAAAGTCATCACATCGCACAGCGCGTACGCCTATCAGAAACTACATTCCTACCTAGTACCTAGTACCGACTGCGCGCCCTACACCTCCTCCGGATACTGAATTGATACATCAATCCGAAACGAACCGATCAATCGACCAACCAGATATCCAACAACCCCTCATCTTCACTCGAACCTACGAAGTTGAGAGAGAGAGAGAGAGAGAGAGAGAGAGAGAGAGAGAGCCATATCCAGGAAAACGAGACCCTTTTTGCGCCGATAGAATCCCTGCATACATACACACACATCATACCAGACATCAGACATCAAACCCGATCCGAACCACGAACCACGAACCAAACCCTTTGACCATACCTACAACCTCCTACCCCTACACCAGAACCCCGTCCGATCCCACACCCCCTCTCGCCAAAAAAAGACAAACAAAACACAAAGGAAAAAAAAAAATGGACCCCCAAGCCTACCTAATCCGCCACGGCTGGACCGGTCCAGGCAACCCCCTAAACCCAAACCGCCGACCGGGCACGCACGGCGGGCTGGGGCTCACGAAACCGCTTCTTGTGGCGCGGCGGCAGGGCAACGAGGGCGTCGGGAAGAAGACGACCAAGGATCCGACGAATCAGTGGTGGTTACGGGGGTTTGAGGATGCGTTGAAGGGCGTGGGGAGTGAGGCGTCGTCCGCTGGGGGCGGGAGTCAGCCGAATGCGTTGACGAGTGAGTTGTATCGGTTTTTTGTGAGGGGGGAGACGGTGCCGGGGACTATTGGTGGTAGTAAGAAGGATGAGGAGGGAGGGAAGGAGGAGGAGAAGGGGGTGAAGAGGAAGGTTGGAGAGGGAGAGGGAGAGTCGCGAGAGGCGAAGAAGGCGCGCAAAGAGGAGAAGAAGCAGAAGAAGGCCGCGAAGGAGGAGAGACGGGCTGCGAGACAGACGCGACGGGAGGAGAAGAAGGAGAAGAAAGAGGAGAAGGAGAAGAGGAAGGCGGAGCGGGCAGAGCGCAGGGAGCTGAAGCGTCAGAAGAAGGAGAAGGACCACAACCCCGAAGATGACTATCCCACGCCGGTGTCGATGGAACTGGATTCGGCTGAATCGAGCGGACGCGACGAGGCGGCTGTTCTGAAGGAGGAGAAGAAAAAGGCGAAGAAGGCCGAGAAAGAGAGCAAGAAGACTAAGAAGGAGGCGACATCCTCAGCCGACGAGAAACCCAAGTCCAAGTCGAAGTCGAAAAAGTCCAAGGACGGGAAGAAGACGCAAGATTGAACTTTTCTGAATTACCGGTGATGCGCGAAGGAAGCATACTCTGATGTCTGAGTATTTGTTGCCGTATGTACATTCTTAGCGGTTTGGCCGTTGATAGACTTTAGATACCCATTTGGCACGGCTACAGTGGTTGAGATTAAACAAAAAGTACTGTATAATCAATTCAAATATTAAATTCATAACGGATGCAGTCTAAACGTGAATCATGAATGCCTACCTAAACCCCTACCTCAGCAGGCAATTTCCCCGGCCTCCCCGATAGAATCCACGGCCTGCGCTCCCAGAACTCATCCTTGATGATATCGACATGATCAATAACCACCTGGGCCTTCCTCCGCAGTTTCCGAAGCTTCTCCTGCTGGGTCTTGGAGACCTGCTCCTGCACCGGTGCAGGTTCTTCCTCCGCGGACGTTTTCGCCTTGACGTCCTCTAATTGATACTGCGCTTTGGGTTAGTCGAGGAAATGTATAGAGAGATCTGCATGCAGCTTACCTGGCGATAAACCACACTCCCTTTCTTGTAGATGTCCTCTTCATTGTTATAGTTAATCCCGAACCTCTTAAACAGAATCTCGTTCTTGTCTGCTGAAACAGTACCCTGATCTCACGTTAGCTAGCACTGCCTATCAAGGAAGCAGTAGAACACGCACCTTCAACTCCTGTTCCGCATCTGTGTTACTCATCCCTCCCTGCAACACCATGGTCCAAAACGTCGTATTATAAAGATTGTTGATATGGCCTGCGTGCGCAGCAAAGTCGTCAGCTACCTGGCCCCTCAACAGCCTATCATGAACCGAGCCGAACACCGCAAGCAGAGGGGGACTTACAATCAACCTGTCTCCAACTCATGTAATCTCGTAGATTCCTCGTGCTAGGATATACGACCGCTCGGCCGTCGAATGAAGGCAGGTGTGGTGATTGGAGCGGCGTGTCGGGGAAATAAGTGTTCCAGAGATAGACATAGTGGGCTGTGAAGGTTGATACGATGGTGGTGACGAGTTTGCTGTTGCGGTCAGTTTTCCCTTGATTCTAAAGGTTCATGGGGAGGGGAGAGAGAGAACAAGGGACAAGGTCATTACCCATTACGCCGCTCGAAGAGCTGACAGGTAGGATGAAAGACAAAGCTGGAGGATATTTAGTAGTCTGAACTCGAACCCTCGACGACATGATATCCCATCAAAGGATGGGCACGAGGAGGCAGGAACACACCTAAACTCGTCGCTGACTCCATACGCAATACACAGATCTGGAAGATCTTTCATGACTTCCACGGCCGCGGCATTCATGAGATCCAGCGCGCGGCGATCATTGGGCTTCGTGAAGTTATAGCGATCGGTGAGTCTGATTGACGGTTAGTATTGGGGTTTCTATCAGAGGCTCATGACCATAGGAGTTTGAGAAAGTGAAAGGCCACGAAAAGGCAGCACACTCTGGGGAAAGAAGAATGAAAGAAGGATAACTAACTTGTGAAACCCCCTGCCATCGATACGGACGACGATCCAAGTATTGGGGAGCAGGACGTCCGGCTGCTCGAAGGCTTTCACATACTCATATCTAAGACCGGAGGTTAGCTATCAACGAATGGAAATTGATTGCATGGTGAGTTGGATTTATAGGAAGGATGATTACTTTGAGTTTGCCATGTTTGAATTAATATCTGCTACTGTGCTTTCTACAGGCCGGTTGGGTCCGAGAGGGGCGGAGAAGAGGCGATTCGTTCTGGAAGGGAGAAAGAAATCTAGAGTTGTGCGGCAGCCGCCTAACCGACTGCGGACACCAGAGGTTTTGCTCGAACGGCACCAAATTTTTATACGCTACAGTTGTCTCTATATGAATGGATAAATAAAATGTGGACTAGAATGGACAGAGCTGACCCTGAATAAATTATTTAAAAAGAGAATATGTGCTATCCTGGAACTTGAAACCGGTTGCTGTTCAACGCCGTAGAAAATATAGAAATGATCCAAGGAAAGACAGAAATGATAGTGAATGACTGTAGGAAACACCCCACAGCACGGATCTATCTATGATATAGACCTTAAAATCTATGAAATGTTCAATGAATGTGTATGGATTAAGAAGCATTGACTTCCTCCGGAATTTCATCATCACCGATTTCGCTGGCTCGTTCACTAGGTCGTTCGCTCGTCTCGCTGGCGGCCTTGTCCGATTTCCTCGACTTTCGACTAAAGAAACCCAGACTGCTTCGGGTGGACCTATCCGCAGATGGAGCACTGGAAATGGTACTGTCCATACTCTTGGCAAGCAATGACTCGCCGTTTCCATCCTCGTCAATGTCGCCCTGAGACGAATCGCCCTTCTTGAAGAATAAGCCCGAGCGGTCCTTCCACGAACTGAATTTCCCTGAACTACCCTTGCGCGTGATTTTCCGGATGAAGGATTCTTTCGAGCTGTTGTTATCCGCGGAAGCTGCAGACGGCATGCGCTCCAACGACTCGTGCGAGTCTCCGGTGAGGATCGACAGAGATCGCGAGTCCCGAGAGGCGCGAGATTCGGAGGGCGAGCCGTCATCCATTAAAAACTCAAACGATGTATCATGGTCCCTGTCCTTAGCCCTCTCTTTCTCCTTATCCTTATCGGAGCGTTTCCCGGTAAAAATGGTCTTGAAAGAAGGGGCCGCTGGATTTAGTTTCGGAGTAACGGGTCGATGGGAGGATGAGGGGCGTGTACCGATTGGGGCTTGAAGGGGCCGACCCTGTCTCTCGAAGGGGTCTTGTGGAAAATCAGGCTCCCCCGTAAGTCCGAGGGGGAGGTGACCGGAGGAGCCGTACTGCGTCGACGGTCGGCGCGAATGTACGCGCGACCATGTAGACGGTGAAGTCCAATCAAACCCGAGCAGGCTTCGGTGGTCCGACTTCTCGGTCGAGGGCCAGCCGAAGTGCCGATTGTCTGTGGAGGGATGCGGCAGCTGGTTGTCGAAAGAAAACGTCGACGATGGTCGTGGCGACAACGACCCGCGTCGAACAGTTCCAAGGATTGAGGACGGATCGATGGGGTCATGCCTGGGGCTGAACTGATTGTACCCAGTGTTGAGGTCCGACGGTTCGCTGGACTTGCCCAGGTTGCTGCCGCTGCCAAACCCGAATCGGCTGGGGGAAAAGATGCTTGAGAAAGCTGCTCGTCGGGATGGCAGATGGTCCGAAGAACTGTCATTCGTGACTCCGGTGGTATTGCTCCGGGGAAGTAACGAGATCGGGTTGGCCCAATTGCCGGTATAACTCAACCGACGACGTCTCGCTCCGATCGGGTCCATCTCGTCAAGATTCCGCGGGAAAGACTGGCTCTGACCTGGTTTCAAGGAGCCTAGCAAAGGAGGCTCATCTGCCAGGGTTTTCCCTCGAGGCCGGTGGAAATTGAACAGACCCGAAAGTCTTCGCGTTGCGCTCTTCGGGGCCTCCTCCGATTCTCCCAAATGCCCGGGCTGGGACTCGGTGTCTTGGTCCTGGCCGTCCCTTTCATGCGGACTGGCAAAGATACTTCCAGGTCGGCTCTCGGAGGAGTCCGGTGACGGCGGGCCGTGAGGGAAATTATCGAGCTGAGGACCCGAGGGCTCAAGATCCGGAAATCGAGGGCGTACAATTGGTCGTGGAAGTTCCGGAGATTCTTCATCCCCTAGAAGATCGGACGGTAGCAATGCATCGGCGCGAGGGCTCATTTGGGGGTTGCTGAAAGAGATATCCGACTCCAACCGTAGCGGGTCAGGTTGGCCCGAAAGGCCAGGAAGAGTCATTCCATTGTTGATATTGAAGAAGGCAGGAGTTGGACCAAACGTGGGCGAGTGGGTGGAGGGTGGATTGAAATTGATGCCACCTGGGAACGACGATTCTAGAGCGGGGAAGTTCATAGGAGATGAAACGTTGCTGGCAAGCGAACTGCGATGACGACGAGGACGGATGGTGGCATTGTTGGACAGATCGAGATCCAGAGAAGGAAGAGAGAACGGTGCGGTGCTTCCGGGTCGTTGGGTGGTCAACCACTTGAAACGCTCTTGCGCTTCTTGATACTGTTGCTGTGCCTGCGCATGAAGGCTTACAAGCGTAGCGTATCGTGCATGTAGATTGCTTAGTTTGATCTCCCACTGGCGAGCTCGGTCGTTGTCGATTCGGTCCAGTTCCCTACCATCTTCGCTGTCGGGCCCTTGGTGATCCTTTCTTTCTTCCTCCAGCTTCTTGACACGGCCACCCTTGTCCTGGATCTCATCGTCGACGACCTTCATCTCGGCTTGTTGTTGGGCGATTTTCTCTCGCACCTCATCGGCACGAGTCTTGCCGTCAGCCTCCAAGCGTTCCTTTTCCTCCTTTGCACTTTCGGCCTCTGCTGTCATGCGTGCCATCCGTTCCTGCCACCGCACGATATCATCCTTGCGCTTTTTACGCTCAGACTCCTTCTGCTGTAGGAGTCGCTGGCGCTTTGCCTTCTCGCTCTGCACCGTCCGATTGACACTTTCAAGCTTGTAGACATGCTTCTTTAGATCGCCGCTGGCTTCGTCCTTTTCCTTGACCCGTTTGCGTAGGTCATCACGCTGTTTTTCGAGTTCCTTCAGCAGCGCAACATGTTCCTCATCTTCATCGGTAGTCTGTTTTTCGACATTTTCGTTTTCTTGCTGTAAAGACTTCAGTCTGTCGGCGAGTTTCTCCAGGGTTTCATCACGATCGCCGCCGGCCATGTTCTTCTGCAGTTCCTCCAATTGACTATGGGAGGTCTCCGCTCCGCTGGCAGCGGGGGACTGTTTTCGCCCGGCCGAGGATCGTTTCGAGGCTATCTGACCTCCACTGTGCTCGCGAGACATGATCGGGGCCGAGGGAGCAGCGAGACCGGCAGTTGAGCGCGGGATCGATGCCCGGATAGTAGGACCGCCGACGGAAGCATTCTGTTGCGTCGAGGACAGAGGAAGAGACTTCGTCCGGACATGGATGATGGCACTAGGAGTCTGGAAGTTGGCCGCACTGACGGAGAGGACGCAAATATGGTAGATATTTCCGGGGATTAGATCTAGAATTTCGACTGCGGTCTCGGCTCGTTTCGATTCGCCCACTAAAAGCGGATGGTAAGCCATAGATCGGTAGCGGGAAAAATTCAAGCAAGATCGAACAGAGTTGGATAGTATCGGCCACATGTATTTGCTCACCTTTTGTGCCATTCACTTGTATGATATGTTTATGGATCGAATTGTGGAACTCGGGCTGTTTCCAAGCGATGCGAATCTCACGGGCAGTGATCTCCTCCAAAGTAACCTCTGGCGGCGGGGGAATATCCAAACCCAGTTTCTCAACCAAAACCTCGTTGGACGTCTGACAAACCTGCCATGCACGATATAACAGCCTAGATCGCCATGGCATTAGACGGACACCTGCCACCGGGGAGGGGAGAAAACTCACCAGATAAGGGCCCAAAGGATGGTGACGGCGAGGAAGAGAGCCATGACGCCTCGTACCCTCACACGGGGGACCACACTGGGGTAGGCGTCAAAGGAAAGATACAACGGCTCATACATCCCAGCGTTGGATACCCACACTCCAGCAGCAAGCAAGAGAGAGCGAGAGCGAGAGCGAGAGAGAGGCGCCCTTCGGCATCTCCAACTTGCAGCCCGCGGAAGTTCGCCGGTGGGGCCTGGAATCAGGTGACCTGCTGACTCAGTGTCATCCTGTTCCAGACTAGCGCCACTGCCGGAAGCCGAGGAAGGGAATCCAACGGTTTGCGCGGTTTGACTTGAAAGTTGGGCCCCGGAGAGTGTTGAGGAGCGCCGCTTCTTCCCAACCATCTCCTGCCCTCGTCTTTTCTCTCTCTCTCTCTCTCTCTCCCTCTTCTCTCGACGGACCTGTGTCTTGCTTCTATCTCTCTTACAGCTTTGCCTCCATCCCTTGCATACACTCGCTTGGTCTCGTGCCTGCACCGGTCAGCGCTCATTCTTTGTCGGCGCATTGTCTCCATTCGTTTCTGGGCATGTCTCGCATCGGGCTCTGTCACATGGGCCGTATGTAGGCGGCCACTCTCGCAACGTCCGACTTCTTGTCCTCCCACTTTATATTTTAGTTCCTTATTTTATCCCCCCCCCGCGTGGTTTCTTCCCCTGCATTTCGTCCTCCCTACCTCTCTCTATCGGCCTATTTCGGCCTCGTGCTATTTGCGGGATGCAGTACGTGCGAAGTATCAGCGGCTCCGTCTCGAAGACCTGGAACTCGATCAACCCGGCCACTTTGAGCGGAGCCATTGATGTGATCGTTATTGAACAGGAAGATGGTAAATACCTTGTCTTTTGCCTTTTCGTCCAACCGATAAATCGTGGCTGACTGGGTTTGACTGCAGGAACTCTTGCCTGCTCGCCGTTCCATGTTCGATTCGGCAAGTTCTCATTGCTCCGCCCGTATGAAAAGAAGGTACAGCAGATTACCTCCACGAGGAGCCCTCGAATCATACCACATGTCTGACTCTGTCTTCAGGTCGAGTTCAAGGTCAATGGAGTCAAACAAGACTACTCGATGAAGCTTGGGGAAGGCGGAGAGGCGTTCTTCATCTTCGAGACGACGGATGAGATCCCCGCCTCCTTGCAGACGTCACCGTTGGTCTCTCCGTCCACCAGCCCGAAGGTTCGCAGCGAAGAGAATCTTCCGGCCTCTCTACAAGAACCCGAGTACTTGGACCTCGAACGGTCGTCCACGATGGGTATTAATCAAGACTCGAAAGCGTCTTCGACCCTGCCTATAATGTCGAGGGTAACGCGGGCATCCAGTGACTTAGGTACGGTAGCTTAACGGCTCTCCTCGACTCTGGAAAACCATATACTCATGCATGTTAATCAGGCACACTTACCCCGCTGTCGCGATCGCCGGATGATTCACATCTAGGCAGGTCCCGCCATGGTTCATTTGGCGATGGACCGGGGAGCCTCGATAGCGCTGATGCGGCCAACATTCTGCTAGGCAAGACCGATAACCCGGGTGGTCCAAGCGTCGTTGATCAAGTTTTTGGCGAGCGAGATCTCAGTTCAACACCCCCCGGCGATGATTCTGGTGAGAACCGGCGTTCTCAAAGCCCCCCGCCTGTGTCGCCCGGCGAGGCAGTTTCGCGTGCCGAGTCTCTATCCAAGAAATTGACGGCCTCGAATATTCCTTCCCATGTCACCGATACGGGTGATCTTATGCTGGACATGACTGGGTACAAGAGCAACGAGGAAGACGCTTTACGTGCGGAAGTTCTTGCACGTAAGATCCTCGCGGAGGAACTGGAAGGGAATTACGATATCGGAGCCCTGATCGGTGCTGATGAGCACGGCAACTTGTGGATCTACAGCAGCGGAGAGGCCAAAGACGCAGCTGACCGCCGGGCTACGTTCAACTCCATGAGACCGAGCTCTGCGATGAGTGAAAATGCTATTTCCGACCCTGGCTATCACAGTGACAGCGACCGGTCTCTCCAGGCGACCCCGACAGCTGCTCGGCACTATCGCACTCAGTCCGATGTTCAGCCGGGATTTCCGACCCCTCCGCAGTCTCCAACTCCGGGCGAGACTACCCGCAACTACGCCAAAACCTTGCGTCTTACGAGCGACCAGCTGAAGGAGCTCAAACTGAAACCTGGCGCCAATGATATGTCCTTCAGCGTCAACAAAGCGACCTGCACGGCTACCATGTACTTATGGAATGGCAATACTCCGATTGTGATTTCGGATATTGACGGAACCATTACCAAGTAAGTTGCTACCGGGATGATGTATATGGACGTCTGGTGCTAATGCAAATGCAGATCTGATGCGCTGGGCCATGTGCTTAACATGATCGGCCGTGACTGGACACATGCCGGCGTGGCCAAGCTGTACACTGACATCGTGAACAACGGCTACAACATCATGTACCTGACCAGCCGATCCGTCGGTCAGGCGGATACTACGAGAGCGTACATCTACGGGGTAAACCAGGATGGTTATCGACTGCCCAAGGGTCCCACGATCATGAGTCCTGACCGTACGATGGCGGCGCTCCGACGAGAGATCTACCTGAGGAAGCCAGAAGTGTTCAAGATGGCCTGCCTGCGGGATATTCTAGGTCTTTTCAACGGAAAGGAGAACCCGTTCTACGCCGGTTTTGGCAATCGTCTCACCGATGCGCTCAGCTACCGATCGGTGAACATCCCGTCCAGTCGGATCTTCACGATCAACTCCAACGCCGAGGTGTCTCTGGATCTCCTCAGTCTGAACAAATACAAGAGTAGCTACGTGTCCATGGGCGAACTTCTGGACCACTTTTTCCCACCCACTAGCTTGCTGGTCCAAGCCGGTGGCGAGGAGTATACGGACTTCACCTATTGGCGGGAACCCCCACCGGATCTCGCGGACTTTTCTAGCACTGATAGCGAGGATGAAGATGACGACGACGACCAGCCGGATGACGAGGACGAGGATGTTGACGAAGACTATGATGGTGAATTGAGCGATGAAGAGGACAGCGATGTCGACGATGACGAAACGGCCGAGGAGGATCTCGGAGCTAGCTTTATCTCGCAGGTTTCCATCGATCCATCCAGCTTGGCGGATGGACAAGCCGATGATGAGGAGGACGAGGACGAGGACGAGCCAGGGGAGCCTGGCGAAGCGGTACAATTTTCCGAGGTTCCACGCTCGCCTCCAAAGAAGACCCGACGGTCTCCGGAACCTGGAGATCCCTGAACATGAGTGGACAGCGCGTTTTGCTGTTGATATAAATAAATACCCGCCATTTCGATGCCTTGCCTGATTGATGTCTCATTTGCATCGGTGACTTTCAAGGGGTTCCATTTCTTATGCATTCTCGGCGTTTAGAATGGGTTGCATAGCAATTTTGATTTTGTTTCGGCGATCAAGATCTGTACAGTCAATTGGGATAGACTGGTAGACAATCGGTATATACTACTATTATTATTATACACGATGAGCTTGCAGTGGTGAATTACATGGCAACACGAAGTAACTGTAGATTGAAGTTCCAAGGGGAATCAAGGAGATGTAGAAGATGCCCAAAAGGGTTAGCGCGGCCGGAAGAAAGCCCATCGACTTCATCATTTCATTTCACTTCCATTTCCATTCAACTCACCACCGATTCTTGATCCTGTCGCGCGACACAACCCCCGCCCGGTCTCATCTCTCAACGTGTCTCGCAGTCATATACCTTCGTCTGACCATGTTCAAATAAGAGAGCCGACCTCGCCGTGTCTACAACACAACGCATCATCCCTCGCAACGGTCATAACCTACTATCACCGCCGTCCATACCTCATCCACGCCATATAATCAACACCACCCCTTGAGCCAATCCTCTCACAATGGCCTCGCCAACCCAATCTCAACCAACTGGCGCACCATCCACCCAACCTCTCACTCCTCCCGCCGAACCCTCCTCCGCCAACACATCTCAGCAACAGCAGCAACAACCCCCGACCAGCGGCGGACAAACCACCAACAACCCACCCACCTCAACCGCCCTCCCCGCACAACCCTCCCAACCGACCCAAATTCCCTCCACCTCGCTCAAAGACTCCGGCAAGTCGCGCCGACCCCGCGATGTCCGACTCATCCACATGCTCCTTGCCTCTCTCGGGGTAACCTCCTACCAAGAGCGCGTCCCTCTCCAACTCCTCGACTTCGCATACCGCTACACCTCCAGCGTGCTACAGGACGCGGTGCACCTCGCCACAGAAGGCTACGCGGGGTCCATGGACGGGGGCACCTCGCGCGGCGGCGAGGTCAACGGCGTGTCGCTCCCGGCGCTGCGGTTGAGCATCGCATCGAGATTACATTACCAGTTCCAGACGGGCCTGCCGAAGGAGTTTCTGTTGGATGTCGCGGCGGAGAGGAATCGGGTTGCGTTGCCCGGTGCGACGAGGGGGTTTGATGCTGGGCAGCAGCAGGGGAATAAGCCGGCGGCGAATCAGAGTGTCTTAATGGGGGGGATGAGGTTGCCGCCGGAGAGGTTCTGTTTGACGGGGACCGGGTGGAATATGAAGGATGAGTGGGAGAGTGAGGGGGAGGAGGAGGTTGAGGTTGGTGGTGGTGCTGAGGGAGGAGGTGGAGCTGGGGAGGCGCAGAAGGGACAGCAGGAGGAGGGAGAGGGCGAGGATGAGGATGATGGAGAGGATGGGAAGATGGAGGATGTGTTTGGTGAAGATACGGCGATGGGGGAGGGTGATGATGGAGAGGATAAAACCATGACGGATGTTTGATTTGGGGGTATAGCATGTATTAACATATCACATATCACATATCGTTGTTCCCTGAGGATATCAGGGATGGGATACTTTTACCGGCGAACAGGGAGTTTGAGGCGCATCAGACCGGAATATCATTCTCTTACTACATAATCATCTTGATAAACGAGCTACCAAATGGGAAAAAAAAAAGGAAAATAATAAAGATGAGTGAGATGATCTACTGTACAATAAACAAGTTCCACCATGCAGACATACATGTACATACAGGATAAGAAGCCTGGAACCAATGAAAAAAGTACCCCATGCTAAGCAAAAGCTTGAAGACCAAGAATAACAAGAAAACGCCGTACCCAATCTTCAATATACATCTTCGTCACTATCAACCTGTCTTTCCTCCCTGGCCCGGTAGAAGGAAATAGCGATATATCCCCAAGACCAAGAGAAGACAGACCAAACTCCCCTCACCCTTCCCCCCTCGAGCAGAAAAAAAGAGAAAAAAGAGAAAAGAAAGAAGGGAGATCAATTCCCCGCCTTCCTCTTCCTCTCCTTCTCCTCATCCTCCCTCATCATCCGAATGACAACCGCCCTTCTCTTCTCGACCTGCGCGAGCTCTTCCTCCTTCGCGCGTTTCCGCTCCTCATGCGTCGCGAACCATTCCTCGCGCGCCCGATCCTCTTCTTCTGGTTTCGCGTGCGCCACCATGCAGGAGTTCATGGCGAGGCGTTGTGTTCGACATACCCATGTTGCTGTGACGGTGCGGTTGACGGCGCATTCGGCGAAGGCTATTAGGTTTTTGTGGTTAGCTTGGGGGATCTTGTGGGTTAGTTTTGCTTGTTGGTTTGGGATCCGGGAGTGGGTTTGTAGACGGGCATGCACATGGAATGGGACGGGGACATGTGCTGGTGGTGGTGGTGGGGGTAGGATAGAATAGCATGGGATAGCATGAGACAAGGTAGAGTAAACGAACCTTTAATCTCTGGGGCACAGAGGGCTCGCACGCGCTTATAGTATATTTGCTTGACTTCTGATTCTTGAGCGGCGGAGAGAGGTAGAGGGTTGCGGAGGTTGTATTTTTTGGGAACCTCTGGTGTTGAGGATGTTGATGTTGATGATGTTGACGGAGCGGACATTTTGGATCGGTGGGATTGGAGATGGATTATTAGGTCGGTCGGTCGGATTATTCGGTTGCAATTCAGAAGAGCAAAAAGTATCAGATCGGTAGGAGGATATAATCTCGGAGGTTGAGTGATGTTGGTGAGGTTAATCGCAAGGTGTCGATCGATCAATAATCAATCAGTCAATTGATCACGAGAGGTAGCAGAGCCGGGGGTGTAGTCTGTAGGGGGGCAATTCAAGAAGAAATCGAGCGAAATGGTTTCTTGGATATCCGTCAGCTCCGAATCCCCTGAGAAACCCAGTCAATGGAGCAATTGGCGGACGTGGTGGAAGGCTCTTCCCGTGGAGTGAACTGCAGATGAAGTTCTCCGCTCCGCCTGGCAAGTCGTGGGACGCTCTCGGTCGGTCTGTCCGTCCCTCTGTCGCTCTCCGCCTCCGAACTTTTTTTTCTTCCTCCGTCGGTTCTTTACACTTGACTTTGTCCAACGAGAGACTTTCTTCCACGCAGTTACTCTTGGTATTATCTGCTGGGATATCAAATACACTTCTCTGGATTTTGAAATCCCACGAAAATAAAAGAACACCATCTCCGACATCAAACCGAACGAAAAACCACCAGCAAAATGTCCTCCATGCGCAACGCCGTCCAACGGCGCAACCACCGCGAACGAGGACAACTCCAAGGCCGTGAAAAATGGGGTATTTTAGAAAAGCACAAGGTGCGCTTCCCCCCCTAATGACTCTTCACAATTCTCAACTGTTCCTCTCCCATCTCATCCTAGCGTGCTATACTAACTCGTAAAAACGAATCAATAGGACTACTCCCTCCGTGCGCGCGACTACAACGCCAAAAAAGCTAAACTGAAGCGCCTCGAAGAAAAAGTGCGCGACCGCAACCCCGATGAATTCGCCTTCGGCATGATGTCCTCGGGCAGCAACCGGGCGGGGAAACACGGCGCCACGAACCGGGCCTCAGCGGCGGGTATGAGCCACGATGCGGTGAAATTGCTGAAGACGCAGGACGCGGGCTACTTGCGGACCGTGGGGGAGCGGGTACGCCGGCAGCTGGAGAAGGTGGAGCAGGAGGTACGGTTGCAGGATGGGTTGCAGGAGATATTTGGGGGGAAGGAGAAAGAGGACGATGGGGAGGAGATGGATGAGGATGAGGATGAGTTCGGGTTTGATTTTGGGGATGAGGATGTGAAGAAGCCGAGGAAGATGGTGTTTGCGGATGATCAGGTGGAGCAGAGGTCGTTGCAGAAGAAGAAGTTGAGGGACGAGGAGGATGAAGATGAAGATGAAGATGACGAGGAGGATGATTCGTTTGGAGGAATGCAGAAACGCCAGCAGCAGAAGAAGTCAAGGAAAGAACTCGAGGCGGAACGTCAGGCCCTCGTAGAGGCCAGGCGCATGCGCAAGACGAAAAAACGAGCGGCCGAGGCGCGTCAGAACAAGTTGAAGGCGCTGCAGAAACAACATGCCGATATCACGGCGGCGTTGAACGAGTTGGACTGGCAACGAGCTCGCATGGAGAACTCGGTGGGAGGCACGAATAAGGATGGGATCAAGTGGAAGATCCGGGAGCGCAAGAAGTGATCTCGGGATCGCTATGATTCATGATGATTTTCTAATACTACTCTGTTTATTTCGTTTAATATGGCCGGGAAAAGTTGGACCTGTGATTTTTGTTTGTATAGAAGTTTACAGAAGGATACCACCATGAAAGAATCAAACTGGACTTTTGATTGCTACTCATCTATCGGTCGTAAAAACTCAAAAGAAACCATCTAGGTCGTCATATTAAAAGAAAATGCTCGCATATACAAGAATCCGAAATTACTGCTGCTGCTGCTTCATGTGCGCCACGCGGATGCTGACAGCCCGCTTGTGCGCATCCAATCCTTCAACACCAGCCAACTGCTCGACGGTGCGAGACAGTCCCAGCAGACCTTCCGCTGTCAGGTTGGAGCTGGTAATGTGCTTCAGGAAGGATCCCAGGTTCACGCCCGAGTATTGCTTGGCATAGCCGTACGTTGCTACCAGAAGTTAGTTGATTCTTGTTTCCCTTGGTCAATAGGGGATAACTTACGCAAAGAGTGGTTCACACCCGCCGAATAATCACCCACACTCTCAGGAGTCCACTGGCCGATGAAGACGCTGCCTGCGTTCTGCACCTGCTCCACCGCAGCCTCGGCGTTCTCGATCTGCAGGATCAGATGCTCCGGGGCGTATTCGTTGCTTAGGGCCATCGCTTCGTTGAGGTCTCGGACCACGAACGTGACCGAATGCTCCAAAGATCCTCTGACAATATCCATGCGAGGCAAGGCCCGAGCCTGCTTGTCAACCTCATCTTCGATAGCTTGGAGCTGCTGTTCGTTCAGGTTGATGGCGATGAGAATGACCTGCGAATCGACACCGTGCTCGGCCTGACTCAGGAGATCCGAGGCCACAAACGCCGGGTTGGCCTTCTCGTCGGCCACCACCAGCACCTCACTGGGTCCGGCGGGCATATCGATGCTGACACCGGCCGAGGTGTCGTTGGCGACCAGCATCTTGGCCGCTGTCACGAACTGGTTGCCAGGTCCCAGGATCTTGTCAACCTTGCTGATGCTTTCGGTTCCGTAAGCCATGGCGGCCACGGCCTGGGCACCACCCGCCAGCACGATGCTCTCGGCGCCCACCTTGTGCGCCACGTACACGATCTCGGGAGAAATGCTGCCGTCAGACCGGGGTGGCGAGGCAAGGACGATCTTCTTGCAGCCGGCCACCATGGCGGGAACACCCAACATCATGGCGGTCGAAGGCAGCACGGCAGTACCACCGGGAATGTAAAGACCAACTCGCTCAATGGGCCGAGAGAAACGAGAACAGACCACGCCGGGCATGGTCTCCATCTGGAGAGTGTCGTTGCTGCTTCCCTGAGCGGCGTGGAACTTGGAGATGTTGGAGATGCTGACATCGATGGCGTCCTGGGTTTCGGGAGACAGCTTCATCAATTCCGCGGGGTAAGGAGCGTGGAGGACAGGGGAGGTCAAGGATGTCGCCTTCTCAAACTTGTGGGTATACTTGAGAACGCCGGCGTCGCCGTTTTCACGGACATCTTGGATGATCGGGCGGACGAGACCAACGATGGCATCGTTGGACTTCTGCGACGGCCGCTTGAGGTGGTCCTTGACAACATCGACGGACGTCGAAGCAGTCACGACCCGCGTCATCTCAATTCGACTTTCATCTGCCTTAGGTTGGCTCTCCGGAGCCGGAGCCGGAGCCGGAGCCGGGGCAGCGGGAGCAGCGGGAGCAACGCCGGCCTTCTCCGCCCAAGGGCCCTTAGCATCACCCTTCCTTCGCTTCACCTTGAGGTTCTTCAGATCGAGGTTTCTCTCCACATCCTCCAGACTGACACCAGCAGCCACACAGCGTGTCAGCGCAAAGTAGAAAAGGTCGGCGGCTTCGAAGGCAATTTCTTCCTTGGTGTTGGCTCGGCACAGCTCGTCTGCTTCCTCCATGATCTTGGCTTGAGTGAGCTTGGGATCATTGAAAAGGCGGGCGGTATAGGAGCCCTCGGGTGCATCCGCCTTGCGTTCTTGCAGGGTCTTCTGCAGGCGAGAGAGACCGTTGTACGGACCGAAGCAGCTGGCAGTTCCCAGGTGGCAAAAACCTAATCGGAGTATGTGCATTAGCTATGCATTGTTTGGTGCATAATACCAAGAAAGAAGCTCCTTACCTCTACCGATCTGCTTGACGGTGAACACCAAGCAGTCGCTGTCGCAATCGAAACCCACCCGGATCAGCTCCTGCACATCGCCGCTCGACTGACCCTTGTACCACAGACCCCGCTTTCGGCTCTGGTAGACACCGGTGCCGGTGCGGAGGGCCTCGGAGATACTCTCGTCACTGCTCCAGACCAAACCCAGACAGGTGCCACGCTCGTCGGTCACCGTAGTGGCATAAAGACCGTTGCTCTGGTCGGCCACCGCTCGCGCTGCGATGAGAGAGGCGGCCATAACCTTGCCATCGGCCTGGCTGCGGTCAAAAGTCAGGGCGTCGGACGACAACACGCTGACCGCACCCTGCTTCACAGCTTCCTTCAAGGTCTCCTCCGACGGGGAACCGGAGAGCGTCTGATAGAGATTCTGAGCCTCCAGGTTCATGCCCAGCTTCTCAGCCAAGGCCTTGACGGCGGCCGACTCGGTGGCAAGGCCGGCCTCCCTGCGCTCGTATTTCTCAGACACCCACGATTGGAAGGCATCTATTTGGCCATCGGACGAGGCGTAGACGACAATGCGTGACGAGGGGACGGATTGTTCTTGAGTGAGGGCGGTCAATTGGTCGAGGGTGATGAAGATCTTGGCGGCTCCGGCGTTCAGGATGTCGACGAGGACACCGGAGGAGGCAACGGCGGTCGCATCGACGTAGACATCGAGGAGACGGAGGTTGGCGCGAAGGAACTCCTCGGCCTCAGCGAGACTGGAGGCCTTGATCAACACGCGACCGAAGTAGGCGATCTGGTCGAGGGCGAGGCCGGAATCGGAGGGGTTGGAGGGGTCGAACGAGACGAGGATGGGTGTGGCCATGATGAACAAGGCCGGGGTGGGGATAACCAGAGAGGGTTAGAAACCAATCTCGACTGATTCGAAGACAGACGAGAGAGAGAAGAATGAAGCGAACCCCCGATGAAGAGAATGGAGTTGAGGGGAAGCGAAGTGTGAATCATCGGGAAATTCTTTGCTGCCCCGCACGGAGGCACGTGGTTGGTGCCATGGCTCGATGCTTGCGGTTATCGGAAGAACACTTAGCAGGGAGAGGATGTTGGGTATTCCAGCTATGATGAGGGGGGTTATCTAATAGACTGGTATCTTTCTTTTTGCCCATTTGCACAAAATCATGCCTTACGAAGAGGATGTCATCGAGGACGGCGTGAGTGCCAATGATGGCCGTGAGAATGACAAGCACAGAGATGTCCCGTGATTGGCGGACATTGCTGATTCAGCCATCAATGCACAATTTATCCAGACATTATGTCGGGTTATGCTCAGGTACCAGGTACTTCAGGTCAACGCAAGGACACAGTACAAAAAAAAGTACTCGATACCTGCCATAGCTCGGTCTGTCACATGGTCTGGCTCGGCAGCCTTACAGACCTCCAGTCCATAAAGAGTAAGAGGGAGAAGCATGGATCAAGACCACCTGAGAGCTGGCCAAGATCGTCCAGCACGACCCTCCGTCTGCCAATGCTCTTTCATGTACTCTGATCCTCCTGAAAGACATGGAGATTGCCCCATTCGGCAACCGAGGGCAGGCAGTCAGGCGGACAGTCGGATGATACCTCGACGCGAAGGATAATAAATGCTCAATCACATTTGCATTTTTAGTACGGAGGAGTCACAGCACACTGGCTCCTTCGGGTCTGCAAATCTTCAGAAAAAGCAAGCAAGTCATCGCCGTCACTCCAGGCGATCTAGTCGATTGCCGAATCGTGTGGGTGGTCCATCGTCACTAGTCGGTGGGTCTTTCCCGGCTCCATTTTATGGATAGGTAATGGAGACTCGGACAGATTATTATTGAAATGTGATTCTGCATTCAATCGAGGATTGACTTTCGCTTCGTTCGCGAATGAATGCGGAATGCCGCTGGTTGACCTCCTTGCGTTCCCCTGCATCGCTCGGCCGTGGTGACTAAGGGATGAAGGGCAGTGGTTGCCAGCATAAAATCACCCCAATTTCCTTCCCCACGCGACATCTTCTGCTTCCCTGGATTTTTAGTTCGTTCCTTAGTGTCCCTCTTAGTCCCTGATCTTCCCCCCTCCTCTCCTTATTTATGTGCTTTCGTCTGCTCCGTCAGGCTGTCGCTCATTTGGATTGTTTTATTTTTTTTTTCTTAATTCCACCTGCCCATAGTATATAGTTCTATTCCCCGGCAGTTGTTTGGTGTTCGCGAAAGAGGACTTGAACAACCTACGATCCAGATAACACTCTCTTTTCGCCCCTTTTCAGTCGGTCGAGTATCACTCGTTCTTCCTCGACCATGCATTTGCCGTCTCTTCTTCCCCTGACGGCCTTGGCTCTCGTCACTCCTTCCCTCGCCTACCCTCAGCATCACGATGAGCAGCCTCTCGTGAAGCCCGAGGACTCCTCGTCGCGTGCCGATACCATTAAGGAGGCCTTCGTGCACGCCTGGGAGGGTTACTACAAGCATGCCTTCCCCAACGATGAATTGCACCCCGTCTCCAACGGATATGGCAACTCTCGCAACGGCTGGGGCGCGTCCGCTGTCGACGCTCTCTCTACCGCTGTCATCATGGGCAATGCCACCATCGTCGAGCAGATTCTCGACCACGTCGCCAGTCTCGACTATTCCAAGACCTCCAGCATGGTCAGTCTGTTCGAGACCACCATTCGGTACCTGGGTGGCATGATCTCCGGCTACGACTTGCTGAAGGGTCCTGCTGCGGGCCTGATCGAAGACGAAAGCAAGGTGGAGACTCTCCTGACCCAGTCCAAGAATCTGGCGGACATCCTAAAATTCGCCTTTGACACCCCGTCCGGCGTTCCCTACAACCAGATCAACATCACTTCGCATGAAAACGATCACGCCAAGACCAACGGATTGGCAGTGACCGGTACCTTGGTTCTGGAATGGACGCGTCTGTCGGATCTCACTGGCGACTCTGAGTATGCTAAACTCAGCCAGAAGGCCCAATCGTACCTTTTGGATCCCCAGCCCAAGGAAGCCGAGCCGTTCCCGGGATTAGTTGGCAGTCACATTGATATCAGGACTGGAAAATTCTCCGACGCCCAAGTCAGCTGGAACGGTGGCGCCGACTCGTTCTACGAGTATCTGATTAAGATGTATGTGTACGACCCTAAGCGGTTCGGAAAGTATAAGGAACGCTGGGTGGCCGCCGCCGAGTCCACCATCAAGCATCTCGCGTCACACCCGGAACCCCGCCCTGACCTGACCTTTTTGGCCTCGTACAACAACGGAAACCTGGGCCTCAGCTCGCAGCACCTGACCTGCTTCGATGGAGGAAGCTTCCTGTTGGGCGGAACCGTGCTGAACCGTGACGACTTCATCCAGTTCGGCTTGGACCTGGTCAACGGATGCCACACTACTTACAACGAGACCCTCACCGGCATCGGACCCGAGACCTTCAACTGGAATCCGAACAACGTGCCGGATAACCAGAAGGAGCTGTATGAGCGCGCGGGCTTCTACATCGGCAGCAGCGTTTACATCTTGCGACCGGAGGTTATTGAAAGTTTCTACTACGCTTGGCGTGTGACGGGCGAGGAGAAGGTAAGAGGCCCAACGTGGCCTGCCCGACAGGCCAACAGATGAAAAAGACATGGACTAAATTGAATGATTGTAGTACCGCGAATGGGTGTGGAACGCCTTCGTGTCGATCAACAAGTACTGTCGCACCGAATCCGGCTTCGCTGGCCTGAAGGACGTCAACGCGGAGAACGGTGGCGGCAAAGATGATAACCAGGAGAGTTTCATTTTCGCCGAGGTGCTGAAATATGTCTACCTAGCTCATTCGGACGGTAAGAGTTGGCCTCGCACAGTATCAGACCGTAATGCTGACCATCCGATCACAGACGAGGCGTGGCAAGTCCAGAAGGGCTCGGGCAACAAGTTTGTCTACAACACCGAAGCCCATCCGGTTCAGGTTGCATAGATGCTTAGAAAATACTGCTGTAGTACATATATACCGAGCATACCTTATTGATATGGATTATCGTTATCTCAGAGAATGCTGGCTGAATCGGCATGCTAGATTTATATAGATGCTGAAATCGGTTGTGTGCCGCCAGTCCGTAACAAAAGGAAACCCTATTGATGTCATTCAAGTTCTTGAACCGTATTTCCCGCCGCCTACTCTAAGTACGTAAACAGACTAACATGGAGTTCTACAGGGATTCTACCACCCAACCCAGTATGATTGAATGGGGATACCCCTCGGGGCGGTTAAACTGGAGTGGCGTCGAGCCCGTTATCCCCTCCATTTATTTAAGCAGCCTTTCCTGTTGGGATGCTGAACAGCACCGCAGGTTCGCCATCCCGGTATGCCCTGTCAACCCGAAAGAACCCAAGACGGTCAAATTGAATGATATCATCTTGCGCAAGGCTGGTGATGTTGCAATCAGCCCAAGCTTCGGTCAAAAATTCGGTCTTGGGTGTCAGGAACGAAAAGAGATCATCTTCTTTCTCAAGTTTGTCCTTGGTGATCAGGTAGTCGAAATCGAAAAGACGGACAGGGATCAAGTTAGCTGTTTCTTTTGCTAGCCAGGTCACTTTCTTCTCGGTATTTTTGAAATCGCCTTCAAGGTGGAGTTGTAGTTCTAATTCAGAGGTTATTCCGGACTTGTTTGCAGAGATCCGAGTGACGATCGCGTTGCCCCAGTTCATGAGGGTGATTTCCTCGTTCGGGTTGAAAGATCGAGCATCCTCCTGGCTGAGAAGAATCTCCCGGGAATAGAAGACCTTCTTTGTACCCAGGGCTGCATTCTTGTTGTGCTTTGGCCTCTCGGCAGTACTGGTCCCATCGACGCCATGGATAATTGCAGTAACAGCATTGTCTTTTGGAACGGCGGTATGTCGAGGCGCGACCGAATCGATATATTTCTTGTTGGTAGCCCAGAACAACGACCAGTCCAGATTGATTATATTCTGACTGGGTCCTTGCCTCAAGATGAACTCTCGCAGTGCGGGCACTTTCATTCCTCTACGCCTTATAGCACGAACGGTGGGCATTCGAGGATCGTCCCAGCCCCAGACAACGTTATTGTCAACTAAGACCGTAAGCTTTCGCTTCGAAAGCACCGTGCGAACGAAATTGAGACGGGAGAAATCCCAAATCTCAACAGGGCGGATTTCAAGAGCTTTCTGGATCCAGGAATATTGTGGGTTTCGATCACGATACTCGTTGGTCCGGAGCGCGTGAGTCACACCTTCCAAAGAGTCAAGGAAAGGAGCGCAGAAATCATATGTTGGGTAGATCTTCCAAGCTGCCCCTATCCGATGATGAGGCTGCGGGTTGCAGCGGTAGATGACTGGATCACGGAGACATTTCACTGGGTCATCGACAGAGATCTTGGTGCGAATACACCATTCAAGACCGGTACCAGCTTTCATCTTTTCAAAGTGGGCAAGGCTGTCCTCCACACTCATGTCCCGATTCACACTAGGGACTCCGTTCTTTCATGATGTCCTTTGGCGTGTTGTCTGCATACGCCTTGCCTGACTGAATGAGTCTGACGCAACCTTCATACATTTGTTGAAAGTAGTCGCTAGAATAGGAAATCCGATCAGGCTGAATCCCGAGCAATGACAGATCCTCTAAGATTGACTCTTGAAACTCCTGCGACTCTTTCGAAGGATTAGTATCATCAAAGCGACAAATAAGAACGCCTCGCGAATCAGGGCCAAGGTACTCGTGGGCGAAATAGTCGTTCAACAAAGCTGCCTTGGCGTGACCAATGTGAAGATACCCTGACGGTTCAGGGGGGAACCTCGTCACAATTCCATTCTCGGTGTTCTTCAGGCCAATGTTATAGTTTGCACCTGCAGCACTGGCTGCGGCCTTTTTCTGTCGTGCTGCATTGCTAAGCGCTGTAACAACATTGGTGACCCAAGGATTGGAGGCTTCGATGAAGTTGAACCAGCGATTGGTGTTTCTATAGGTTTGACGAAGCTTTATGGCCACCTTGTATCCACGGAGAGCACCCCAGACCATAATATCAGCCAAGGTCAATGAGTAGCCAACGAGATAAGAGCGCAGGCTGAGATGCGATTCCAGTTCCTTGATGGGTCCGTCCAATGATTGGAAATCAGGGACTGCGAGGGCTGCTGAGCGTTTCACCCATTCATCAACCTAGTAGAATCTTTGAGACATGTCAAAGTCCACTGGAAGAGAATGGCCGACAAACCTCTCTTTGGCCTGGTCTTTTCCGAACTTCAATCTGATCCATCAAGTATGGTACCACAGAGCCATCAACAATGGAGTCGCCATTACTAGTAGTAAGAATGACTTTCTCATTCTGTTTGCCGAGAGAGTCCACCTCCTTGTACTCGATATTGATCGTGTTTGGAGGACACTTTTGCGCGATGTACGTTGTCGCAAGAACGGTAGGAAGGACCAAGCCACTGTCGGCCTTGGAGGCAACTGTAAGGGCAGCCATGTAGATGGGACTGATGGTTCGAATGAAGAGCGTCTAACCTGGATGGATAGGAGTCGTGCCTTAAAAACGATATATCACCACGTTGTACGTAGGTTTCGATGCCGTCACCCGTTAATTTGCCTTCGATAGAGAGACGTGAGTCATAAGATAGGAGTCATTCATGGCTCGTTGCGGGGTCGACAGCGGCACGGAGGGATATTTATCCAATGGATGCATCATAAAAGCAAGACCTTCACCCGCCAGCCCTCCACACAGCGCAACCTGCCAGCTTGGAAGGCCTATGCGCTTCTTCCCTTGGTGTCGCAGTATCATTGCGACAAGGCTCTCCTACGTGACCAACCATACTCCGTACCCGTGAATCTCTCGTAGTACTATAGCGGCTTGTCCTCTGTAGATCCCTGCTATTCCAACATTGCGAGTAAACTTTACATGCAATCAAATGGGCCATTGTACAACTTGGCGAGGCTGAGGCTGGGTATGGAGTCTAATTAGCTGGAAAGGGGTGTCGATCGACATTGTGGTTAGTGGAAGTAGTAGTGGTTTTCGCAGAACAACAGCCTTTAGAACTGTTCGTGAGGACTAGTGGGTCAGATATGGGAGTTCTGAGAAAGGAGCAATTTTATTGAAGGTTCTAGCGTAAGAGTTAATTCCCAATGTCCTTCAGCATAGTCCTCCATTAATCCTCGTAAGCAAATAAGCAAAGTTAATCGGTTGTGTCACATGAAAGCAATCACAATCCCACCAATGCCAGTCATCTTGGAAATGTTGTTGTGTTTTTGTAGACTTAGAATAGAAAATCAAATTGCATGTCCATGGTTCCCACCGTCATAAGACCCTTTCTCCCATGGTTACCTGCTCCGATCTACATGACATGTTAGTAGAAACATCACAAAAACTCAAAGGCCAGATGGAATGGAAGTAGAAAAGGATAGAGAGGAGACGGGGGACAGATCACATACCACCGGCTTTGACTTTTTATCTCTTCCCCGCCACATTTCAAGTGTAGGACCTCCATGGCAGTTTCACAGTTTGGCACGGAATTCGTACGCGCCCTTGAACTTGTTCCATTTTCCCAGGAAATGCTCAAACTCCCGAAACAGACCCTCTATGATCTCATCGAACTCTTTGATCTCTTCGTAGAAGCTCGATCATTTTTCTTCCTTCTTCGATGCAGGCCAGATGATAGAATACTTCGTCTACAAGTTGCGCAATACTCATATTCTCGAAATCGTTGAGACTTTGTGGGCCCATTTTGTCTATGGAAGATTAGTCTGGATCATCTGGAGGAGAATTCTTGCACGGACCTTTAGTAGGGGCTTTGGTCGAAGGAGAGACCATTGTAGTTGAGGTGTCTTCTCAGAGACAAGGGACTTGTGTTGGAGAGAAAAGGAATGAAGAAATTGGAAGAGGATACAGAAGAGGTCTCAGGATCGCAAGTGTGGATTTGCTCGGTTCTGAAGAATCTGGCAATTGTGGAAGGTGGTGGTGGGGTGGAATCACCACTTGAACTGCAGGGAATATTTAAGCAGCCAATATTGAAAAGGTGAACAAAAGAAAGAATGCCACAGTCGATGAAGTTGGGTCAGGAAAGTGACTTGTGGGAGAGGAGTGAAAGAGTGAATGAAGCGAAGAATGTGAATGAAAGTGGGGGAGGCGAAGTTAAGAAATATCCACTTCTGTCACTCATCGGTAGTTCATGGTGACTTCTTAACTATTCCAGGTTATTTCTGTTATACCATCCTTCTATATAGCTACAACTTTCTCACCATGGGCCTAGTTTCAGAAGACATCAAGAAAGGTTTCTGGGAGGTAGTCTCGTCCGCGATGGACCCCTGGGGTCTAGTTCTTCCCCGACCCATACTACGGTATCATATGCACTGTATAGCTGGCTAACTATTGGCAAGGTCTCTTTTACTGGTTGTATCTGTCCTAGTGGTAAGTGTAAACCTCACTCTGTGTGTGAACTATGAACGCTGATCAGCATGCAGGCACCGATTGGTTTCTACAATCTTCAATTCAGGCTGAGGGACTATGGGAACTTCGAACCATACTGACTTCCCAGGGAAAATGGAGGAAATCACCAAGAGTTCAGGAATGAAACTAGAAAAAGTAGGCTTTGATTGCTTTCATAGCTCAGTTAAGTGACTATAGCGGGGCAGGCACGACTATAGTTACTGGTTGTCCATGTGATAATTAGGCACTCAAGCAAGGCCGTCGAACCATTGATAAGCTATCTCGAGGATTTATACGAGTAGACGACCAGGCATCTCGTATAGATAATTATCTCGGGGATCAGCCCACCGAGCGATCCATACCGGTTGAGAAAAGGGGAGGTGCTGCCTCAAAATAAACAATCATTATCAAACCCTATCGATACACTGCATGTGGGAACTGAGGGAATAGGAGGATTGTTCGGGCGATCTTTCTATTGAGACATACATGCACCGATCCGATCCCTTCATATTCATAACGGAGCTGGCCAGGAATCAGCATCGTTCATTTTCCCTTGTATTGGCTTACAATCTTGCGAGCCACGAGCATAAACCGACTACATGAGAGGAACGAGAACATCCGTGTCTATAAGCTGATAATTGAAAGTATAGAAGCTTACTGGCAACGTTTAAAGAATAGGGCCATGTTCCAAAAGTACTTGTTCATAGCGATCATTCTATCATCGCATCTCAGATACCACATGAAAAATGGGATATTGTGATCATTTCATATAAGCTCCAGGGTACAATGTCCGAGTATTCCAAAACACATGGGTAGGGAACGTCTCAAACGGGTACAAAGGTGGTGGCATAGAAATTGGTGCAGAAAGCAAGTCTCTTTCCGCCAAACACAAGCAATATATATACCGAACTTGTATAAGTAAATTCTTCATAGATAGCCCCGACCCCCCTCTACTCGGGAAATCTCCTGGGTAGGCGGCCAACCCTCCCATTTCCTATGGACACGCCTTAATCATCACATTTCTAAGCCGTGTCAAAATCGATCAACGAAGCCTTCGACCCTTGGACCAAGAAACTAAACCGATTCGTGTCGCCATGCTGAACTACTGAGACAATATCTTTATATAGGCCACGACGGCCTGGGTGTTTAACAAGCACGTCTCCGTGGCGCAATCGGTTAGCGCGTTCGACTGTTAATCGAGAGGTTGTCAGTTCAATCCTGACCGGGGACGTTTCTTTTTTCCTTTTTGTCGGCGCATCCGGGACAGTCTTCGGTGTTCTTAGTCAGTTTCGGGGCTAATTAGAATTCTTGAGGGTCTGGTTCGAATCCCTTCGCTGGCACCTTTTCTACCACTTCACGACCGGCTATACTGAGCCACGGCTTTATACCAATTCACTCCAAGGCTCTCGGCCACCAACACCACCTCAATCCCGGCCATAAGGAGGGCCAAAACCCATGCCAAGGCAAGGCTAAGCCATTATCAGGTATCCCTTGGGCACAGCTGACCATTATGGAACCAGGAGGGTATACTAGCAGTAAGCAACGACTCTAAAAAGCGGGGTCAGAATTTATATAGACTACATTCAAGCCTTCTTCTTTCCGTCTATCTTCTAGCTAGATAACTACACAATACCCATATCTCCTACCAACATAAGTCAGCCCACCTCCTTTATCACTTCCTCTAAAAAGCCATATCAGCTTCTACCATGGCCTACACCATCTTCCTCTCCCAGCCTCTCTACCGAAACGGTGAACAGCGCAAGAGATGTGCAGCCAAATATAGCGATGGCTCCCAGTGCTCATGTACGAGCTACAAATTCAAATACACCGACCCCAGTGGCTACGATGTTTGTCAGTGTGGACATAGGGAATTTGGGCATGGGTCTGAAAGTGATCGGTATTAGGGTTTCGAGTCTGCTGGGGGATATTCATAACTCCAGACTTCACATCATTGAATGAGTAGTCAATTTATGTTCCTAGAAATGTGTCTACAGGATCTCATGCATGGAATGGAATGAAAATAGGAATATATCCAACCCCGCTTCTCACATTATATTCAAATAGAAATATAATGACCACAGATATCACCTGAGACCTACAGGCCACAAAGATAGTCGATGTCCCTGCCATTCACCTAGTCTCAAACCGCTGACGCCCTCGCCCTCGCCAACAGTGTTTATGATAAGGCCAGTGCTACAACCATTCCAGCTACGTATAATGCTCACGGGCGAGAATAGGTTGAATTCTAAACGTGAAGAAGAAACCAAACTAATTACAGCGGTCGAAGAAATAAGTGTGGCTTAATCAGCCGCCGAGGAGTAATCTGCCTGAGGGCCTTGCGATTCGCCCGGAATGACGGGCGCTGAGGAGCTTGGCAGCGGCGGGTCCCGCTTTACTTGGGGGTACATGCTGCATCTTCCACCCTCCCATACAAACTTGTATGGCGAGCCAAAGTTGCAGATGTCTCCTTCTTCACTCTGAGTCAACAGGCAATAATCAGGCAGCTTTCACTCTAGGGTGTAGCCCTAGCCCCTTGAAAACCCACAACTTTCATTTCCCCCCTTCCTTCATCACCACTTCACCTCACTTTCCACTTTCCGAAGGCTTCATCTCATGTCAAGCTCTTTACCTAGGTATCTAGCAAAGGCTGATGCCTGCCACGATGGAGTCCGACACCCCCCCTGATGAGCATACATTTACAACTTCACCTACGCGACGAGGACGATCTGGCACCATCACCCCTGCTTACGACGAGAACTACAACGAAACATCTCCTCGCCGTATGAAGTCACTCCAGAAACTACACGACCTTATTCAAGAGCCGGTGCCAGCACCCTTTTGGGCGGTTCTTATGTTTTCCGACGTCGAAATGTTGGAAAGATTCGTGGAGCGAGTAATAACTGAAACGTTTCTGCTCCCGTTCTGCATGCATGCATGCGCTGCGATTCCACTTATTTGGAGACAAAAAGAGCCCAGGCCCCCAGGCAGTGCAAGTAGTTCAGCATCTTCTCTTCGATCCTCCTCCAATAATAGAAGCACTAGAATTCGGAATATGGTGGCCGATCGCGATGGCCAAGTGTGCGTTATAACCTCGAGAGAACCCTTCGATGTTGCGCACATCTATCCACATTTTCTGATAGCAGATCGAAACTCGAACATCACAAAGACATACCCGCCGTTCTGGAACATGCTCAAGTATTTTTGGTCGAGCGAAAGAATTGCAAGCTGGAAAGATAAAATCTTTATGAATCCAAACCAACCAGGAGTACAAGTTGATTCCGTTGAAAATCAAATATGCTTGTCAAAGGATATTCATGATTCATGGACTGCGGGCAAATTTGTTCTTCGACCCCTCGAATACAACGAAGATAAATCAACTCTCGATGTTGAATGGCACTGGCAGGCGAGAGCGGAACACAACGGCACAGTTTATCTCAACACCAAAGTCCAGTCTTCCCGAGGTTTAGATGACTACATAACCGCAAATAGGCCCAGTACAGTAATTAGACGCGAATTATCTGGCTTTCGGCAAATTTGTACTGGTGATATTATTCGGCTCACAACAAAAGATCCTGTTAACCTTCCACTACCGAGCAAGGAATTGCTCGATATGCAATTTGTCTTATCGCGAATAGTGAATCTGTCTGGAGCTGGTGAGAGTTCTGGTTTATTCGGATTTGACGATGATTCATACGGTAATGTTCCTGTTATACTGCCCGGAGAAGCCACAGAGACCATCATGGACTGGCTGTCAAGTGTGGGTAGTAAGTCGGATGACGAAGATGATGAGAGAACTCAACTTACCTCAGAGTTTCCGTCGCCTGCGAGCACGCGCAAAGCCCAGCCTCAGACTTATAAGGAGATATCTCAAGATGACTCTACCACCGCTTGAGAATTGATTTCGTTGTTATTAACGTTGCTATGTATTTCGGCTTTGTGTTTAATCTGAAAAAGTTTCTTTTGCCACCTAAACTTCCTCGTAGCCACCGTCTTCCTCGCCTGGATCGAGCCTTTCACTCGCAGAAAAGCGAACAAACCCCAGTATCCTCCAGTCAATGGCCCCAGCCACCTTCCAATTAACCCCATAGATTGCAACAGATTGAACAACTAGCAGAAAGAATTATTAGCACAATATTACTGCCACCAACACTGAGCAATCAAGATGGAGGAGGCATCTCACAGAAAATCAGCGGGATCGACAACAGCATCTTGAACCGTAGTTACAGCATATCCAGTTCCACGGACAGCAGCATCTATCTCCGTAACGGCAGGTGCATTGAAGATTAGAGTCGAGGACACCGGGATGAGCCATGCTGAAGCTCTCGCTGCTGAGCTCGAGGACATCCTGGTCTAGGACGGCTTTGGCATCGTTGTCGGCTGGCTGTGCGGTGACTGTCAACGCAGCTAGCAACAGGCTTGCGAGGATGTTTGAAGCTATCATGGTTAATTTGAAGCTTGATGAGGAAGGATAGATTGAAATCACGGAATTATGTAAGGTTGATTCTCAAGAGGGGGACTGTTGACCAATTTATGTCAGAAAGAGGACCCTTCTCATCGACGCATGTTATACAACTAATAACAACATGGGCTAATCTGACGGCATCGTAACTGTTAGATCCCAACTTGGCAATTACTTGGCCACCGAGACAATTGGCGATGTCTCAAAACACCGCACTGTATGTTGTACAGGGCAAAAGACATACACTTGATGGCTGCGGATAGCCACATTGTCGCTATCGAGGACTGTTGTCTGACCACCAAAAAGGTCGAATGGCCCTACCGTAACGCACATACCTACCCCATACCAAGACTCGCACAATGTAACTGTATACCCAGAGTAGTTTGATGTAGCTAGATCATTCAATCTTCGAGCTTACGCAGCCTGGCCCGTTTCCTAATCTGAAAAGCGGGGATTCTTAGCAAGTGCAGTACATGACAGACGCATACTACGTCGTCTGCCGTGAGACCCTATACAATGATGATGTAACTGCAGATTTGGTGGTGCAAAACTCGGAATATTAGGTATCTCGCCTCCAAATGTCTTCTAGTCATGCTTTTGGGCCAAATAATATTCACATCGCCGTAAGCGCAACATGAATCCTCGCTCCTTTCCGTCTGCAAGTATCCGACATTCGCAAAACGTTGCACAAATAATGATCATAAGATTAGGCCATATTGGGTAGATTCAGACCCCTAGCTGGTAGATGTGGCAATCATAGCTAGAGGTATGGTCAAACCCTTCTGGTAGAGTAAATGAAGAAGAAACTACCATACTCCCCCTCTTCGTCGCGTTCCGTATATTTCCAAGTCTTTGGTAACGAGCGGAATGTCAGGGTCTGCTTCATGGTGAGCTTTCCAGAATGTTGTTGCGCGACCTGCGATGCAAGGTGCTCGTTTTATCAAGCCATCGAGAACGAAACGCTCAGTCTGACCGTTGTGTTCTATTTCGATGATTTGCTGGCCGTCTCTTGTGATAATTTAAGGATCAAATCCACGTTATTCCTCGCCCATACATAATAAGCCTGGACACCATCCGCGTTTATGTCAAACCGGTCGGATGCGAACCCCCCGAGACCTTCAAAGGCCCATATCCTCATCTCAAGTTGATTGAATATACTTCACATACCCAAAGAAATACTAGGATTTAAGCTACTATTAAGGTTACAATGTGGGCTCTATATAGAGTATAAATGTGGATTTTGGGTACTTCAGAACCTGCTGCGAATAGTGTCCAATTTAGAGTTGACTCTGCGGGTCAATTCCCGGTTTTTATGCTGCTCCATTACCTCCTGGGGAATTGGCTTTTTCTTATTTCATCGACTCTCAGGTCATCATCATTTGGAATACGCATTACTTTGCTTTTAACTTTGCCGGGGGTTGAAGGTTTCCTGCAGGTCACAGTTTCTATCTATTGCAAGGGCATTTCTGTGCGTGAAAGAGACATTGCTATAAATACGACTATATTCGGATGATAGACAGGCAACTCTTCTCTTTTCTCAGCTAGTAGCACCTACACGTATAGAGTGGTTGAGTTCAGACTTTCACGGCGTCCTTACCACATATACTACGAAGAAATCATGTCGAAACCAACCATTCAGGTACTCCCCGTCACTCTCACAGGCAACTCCAACAACACAACTCTTACGAGTCTGGATACACTGTATGCGGTCGAAACAGCAGCCTTTCAAATCGGGAGAAGCGCGGAAGATACGACCTTTCATCAGCTCATGTTCGGACCTCCGTCCGTCGTTAGCGAGAACCAGCGCACAGAAGAGTTACGAATGAAGCTGAAGAACGAATCTACGATTAAAATCTACAAAGCAGTCCTCGCCGATGGAACACCTTCTAACCAAACGGAGGATGAGAAAGTTGTTGGTTTCGCGATCTGGAACTTTTATAAACCCAGGAACTGTTCTATCACACAGGGGAGCAGTGAACAAATATCCCCGCATCGTCCACGGATCTTCAACGATTTCTTCAGCGCATTGACTAGGAAGAGAGAGACTTTCATGGAAGGAGTCAGAATTGCCCGTATGTCTTCCCCAGAACTTACGTTGGGATTCTCGCTTGTGCGTGAAGCTGACTCGAGATTTGTGCAATTAGATCTCGAATTTCTCGCCGTCCTGCCGTCCTACCAAAAACTTGGTATTGGGCGGGATTTGCTCGGTGTAGGCCTTGAAGAAGCTGATCGAAGAGGAATAGCGGCGTGGGTAGAATCTACTTCGGAGGCTCGTGCGCTTTACCGATCTCGTGGATTTTCGGAGGTGGTTGAGGTCACCATGGACCTGAGGAAGTATGGTGCAGATGGAGTAGTGCCGACATACTGTATGTTGAGGCCGAAGTCCATGAGGCGGGATTGGAATTTGCAGGAGCAATCAGATAGAGAGTTCTAGAAGATCAGCGCCGAATGATAGAGTTTACTTCTAGGGATCTGGACAAGGCACATTGTAGGGAATTGGTAAGTAGGACTATCCCGGACATCGTTCGAATATGCCCTGTTTTTTGAACCGCCAACAAATATTATTCTCTTTTCTCATCTGGGGTACCTGTTAAGACCAGAAGAGCGAAATATTCGCTCCTTTGTATATATGCTGGTGATCTAGCTGTAGTCCATCTTCTTTCCCGTCATTCCATCTCCTCAACACCATGGCTTCATATGCAGTTCCAGCGCTGAATGCAACATCCCCAACTGTACCACTCCTCACAGAATTTTACCATTCGGGTATCCCGATTCGTCTATCTGGTGCAGCAGAAAATGCCAAGTTTAGGTACAGAAACAACAGCACGGTATCCGGAATCACGTCACGAGAGGAAGACCTTCCGGTGTTACCGCCAGGCGTTGATAGATCCCAGTTCAATGCAGCTATTACAGAGCTTGAGCGCCTAGTAGGCTCAAAGAATGTCGTGCTGAACAACAAGCCTTTAAATGATGGATGGTATATGGAACACCCGTACGTTCAAACCCTGGCCCTACCTAGTGACTCCTCGCTTTCTCTAACACAAAGGCAGAAACACCCACGACGCATTCCATCTTCTTGATCCAAGCAACACAGTCAGTTCCGCCGCGGTATACCCCAGTTCAACGGAAGAAGTAGCCTCGGTGGTCAAATGGGCCAACCGATTCGAAATCCCTCTGTGGCCGATCTCCATCGGACGGAATCTGGGATATGGAGGTGCAGCCCCGCGCGTGCGCGGAAGCGTCGTCGTCGATCTGGGTAGACGCATGAACAAAGTATTGAAGATCGATCCTGTGCAGTTTTGCTGTCTCGTCGAGCCGGGGGTGTCGTACTTTAAGCTGTACGAGGAGCTGCAGAAATCGGGATATCCGTTGTGGATCGACACGCCTGATATTGGCGGTGGATCGGTCTTGGGGAATGCAGTGGACCGGGGGATGGGATATACCCCGATGGCGGATCGTGAGTTCATTCGCCCTCTGGCTCTTGTATTTAAGCCTAACGAAGCCGCTAGATTTTGCAAATCATTGCGGATTAGAAGTAAGACAAGATTCCTCGCGATTCTTAAGATCTGGACTGACTCCCACCTAGGTAGTTCTTCCCAATGGGGAAGTCCTTCGAACCGGCATGGGTGCTCTGCCCGGTCCTAATGGCCAGGATAATCCGACCTGGCAGGCTTTCCAGTATGGATACGGGCCCTACATCGATGGCATCTTCACGCAATCCAACTTTGGCATCGTGACAAAGATGGGCATGTGGCTGATGCCGGAGACCCATCATCTTACTCTCCTAGTTACATTCGCCGAAGAGGATGATCTTGCCAACATAATCGAAGTCATACGGCGGTTAATGGCGCGGAAGATTATTGAGGGTTCCCCTCAACTCCGACATGTCATTCAGGAACTCACTGCGACGGGCAAGAATCGGAGTGAATTCTACGCCGGGGATGGACAAGTCCCACAGCAGGTGATCCGCCAACATGCGTCAATACTGCCATGTGGTGACTGCTCGTGGGTTCTCTACGGTATGAAATCATGATCTCTGCTCCATCGAGTCAGTAACTCAATCCCATAGCAATCATATACGGTACCCCCTCAACCATCGAAACCAGTTTATCCGCAGCCAAAGCAGCCTTCACTGAAATCCCAGGATCACGCCTTCGTCTCCCTTCTGATCTCCCCAAATCTCATTATATCCACTCGCGGGCCAATGTATCATCTGGAGTGCCTGAGATAAGCGACCTTGAATGCCTTAATTGGAAGCACAACGGCGCCCATCTCTTCTTCTCGCCAATCTGTCCGCCGGACCGAAACCATATCCGAACCATATATGGCATCGTATCTCGCATTCATGGAGACCACGGACTCGATCTGTTTCCTACATTCTGCATTGCTCTTTGCGAGATTCATCTGATTATCAACATAGTTTACGATCGGGCTAGTCAAGAAGAAAAGCGGAGGGCAGAGACGGTGATGACTGAGATGATCGACGAGTGTGCGGCGGCAGGGTATGGGGACTATCGCACCCATATCTTGCTGGCAGATCGAGTGGCGCGGACATACTCGTGGAACAACCATGTCTTGATGAGATTACACGAGAGCATAAAGGATATATTGGATGAGAAGGGGATTCTGGCGCCGGGGCGGAATGGAATCTGGCCACGGAGGTACCGAGAAGGGTTTCATAGTGGATGAAGTTATGAACTAAAATGTAATTTCGGACTGAACGATAACACGTGGAGTCGAGGAGACAACTGTGCCTGTCAGACATTGCTCTACTCTTTCTTCCCACTTGATTTCTACTTCTATCAGAGCTCTCAGAATGCCTGAGGCAACACTGAGGCAGTGAAACGAGGCAAATGCTCAATGAAGCTGCTGTCAAAAGTTCTACACCTCCCCTGCCCCTTCTCCCAATGATCATAATGAAACATCAATCAATCTCCGCTTAGAAATACATCCCACTTTGCAATCACCACTCCTCTGGGATTGACATCATCTCCATCTCGAGCCAATAAGACGGCCAGAAATGTGCTCAATTGCGCGCATCCAAGGTCCTCTTCTTCCCCTCCTGCGCTCCTAATCGATAAGCGAAGTACCTTGGGAGAGGATATTTCTTAGTCTCTAGTCTTCCCCTCTTCGTTCTCAGTATCCAATTTATTTCTCATCTTCTATCACAGTCCAACCGGTCCATCCAGGCAATCAAACTAACCACCACCCAACATGGCCCACCAATTCTCTCTTCCTCCCCTTCCCTACGCCTACGATGTAAGTCAATCTATCCCCTCTTATTCTAACAAAAAAACTAAATTCTACAAATAAAAGGCCCTCGAACCCGCCATCTCCTCCCAAATCATGCAAATCCACCACCAAAAGCACCACCAAACCTACATCACAAACCTAAACGGGGCGCTCGCCGCGCTCGAGAAAGCCCAGTCCGCCAGCGACGTCCCCCAGCTCATCTCTCTGCAGCAGAAGATCAAGTTCAACGGCGGTGGACACATCAACCACTCGCTGTTCTGGCAGAACCTGGCGCCCTACGGGTCCGCGGAGACCGAGATCGAGAAGGCCGCGCCTTCGTTGAAGGCGGCGATTGAAGCGCAGTGGGGATCCTTGGGGGCGTTCCGGGAAGCGTTTGCGGGTCTCTTGTTGACGCTGCAGGGCAGTGGATGGGGATGGTTGGTCAAGGTGAAGAGTGCAGGCGAGGAGAGGTTGGAGATTGTCTCGACGAAGGATCAGGATCCTGTGAGTGAGGGGACGCCGGTGTTTGGGGTGGATATGTGGGAGCATGCGTATTACCTTCAGGTATGTTTTTTCATTTTTTTTTTATTCCTCTTCCTGCTGGTTTGGGACTGCTGGGTGCTGATGATCTATGGCAGTATCTCAATAATAAGGCCTCGTATGTCGAGGGTATCTGGAAGGTCATTAACTGGAAGACGGCGGAGGATCGGTTCAAGAACGGAGTCCGCGGAGATTTGCTGTTGAAGTTGTAGATGAATCCGCCTCGTGAATGCCGGACTTGGGTCTAATATTCAGTAGTAAATGACACGATCTTACCATAAATCATAACACAAATCACCATGACGCCCGCATTTCCCACATGCCAAAACACACGAATCAAAGCAATCCTATAGAAACTTTCTAGTCAAAGCCTACAATACCCATCCCCATCCTTTGTCCCCCAACCGACACCGTAACCTTTCTCCCCACAATGCCGACATCCGACACGTCTAGATCCACCCTCTCCGGCAATTGTACCTCGAGGTCCGTACCTTGCAATCCTGTTCTCGATCCGGGGCTGACAAGAAACTGGTGCAGAGGAGGTGTAGTCATATTTGACGTGGATGTGAGATCGCCGTGTTTTCTAATGGCAGTCGTTAGTACGAGCCAAAGATGGCAATGTAGATGATTGCAAAAGACCTACTCAATTCTTATATCCATGTCTTTAGACTCGCGGAATAACCGTAACGTGGATGCATCATCGATGCGAAAAACAGCTGTCGTGCCGGACTCGTGTCCGATGTCCTTGAAGAAAAGAGAGTAGGGGGCCATGCTCCTGGTAGGGCCGTCTGTTGAAGAAGGGAACATGATGGCGATGCGATGGCCAGAGCTAGGTCTGGGAGGTCCACACATCTTGACTGGGTCTTCTCCTATTCTGCTTCCTCGATTTCAGGAGTGAATTCAACTTGTGGACAGCTGATATTGTACGTTGGAGTTAGGGTTATGGTCAGATGTGGCAGAATAAAGGTGATAGACAGCCGATATGTTCGAACAAAGTGATCGCAAGATCACAAAGAAAGTGGTAAGGGTCTTTATCTGTCTACCGCAATTAACTGCAACTCAGACTTCTTTCTTACAAATAATCTTCTCTTTGTCCGCAAGGTAGTCTGCACTCTCAAGGTGCTCAAATCAGCGCAAATCCACGCATCCCTTCACCGCCTGCTGCGTTGGGTGGTGATCATTGCCCAATCTGTAGGTATTTGATGCCTGAGGCAAAGGCCAAGCATTTCGCCGTTTGCTTAAGGCATCCGTTTGGATAGGCAACACCGCGTCCTACATCGATCGATCAGTTTATCATAAGTGTTGATCAAGGAGTCTCCTACTAATTTATTTTATTGATATGACTACCGCGGTAAGCCCGGTTCCTGAAACGTCAACAAAATCCGATAAGGATGGAGAGAGAATCGCATTCAGAAGGGCTGTTCACGTTGGCTTTATCTTTGGCAAGAGCATAAAGTGAAAGGTTATTACTGATCCCCAACATCTCAGCTTCCAGATACACACGGGCGTGGACAGGTTGGGGTCTCTGAAAGGGCGGTTGAATTCGTCCAAGGGACAGACTGAAAGAGCACCCTCAGTCAGCCTCGAGACTGCCACCAAGTCAAACAATCGTCCTGTCAGCCTACAAAGATGGCTCCCAGGATCCACGTTCCCACGGTGGAGTGGGCATTGTTTGACTCGGCAGGGGCGTATTGGCACGAATATACCATCATCCTCAAACTCTGTGTGCTCTTTCACCTCCTCGGCTTCCTCGTCCAACTGCACTGGCTCCAACTTCCTGGTCCTCAAAGCTCTATCCCCTTTTGTGGAAATTGTGTGTAAAAGTTCCTCTGTAAAATGTTAAGTCTTGTAATTAGAAAGATATTATCAATTATATAACCTCGTTAATAGTAATTCTTGTCCAACCTAAAAATAAAGTACTTCATTTGAAGCTTTTTATAAAGAATCTGTGAACCCGTGCGCTTTATGATAAAACTCAAGCTCATTAAATCGCTTATCCAATTATTTGAAACTTGATTGGCCCAGACAACGCGTCAGTCAGACACCATGACTGTAGAATTGTAATGTGGGATTTGACTTACTGGGATCGTCATGAGGGAGATGATAGAATTCTTGTCAGGGTGGTGATAAAGACGTATGGGGATGGCGTGGGGCGATGATCAAAAAATCAAAAGTCCATTAACCTGGCAAAGCCTATCTATGCAGGCAGGGCGATGAGGGAAGGTGCAGGAGGTGACAAAGTGAGAGGTTGCCTCCCCGTGACATGATGTGATGATGGTGATGGAAATGACTGTTGCTAGAGAAATCTGACATCCACCTTAATCAGAAACTGCTGTACTTGGATTCAAATCCTTCACTCTTGGGATGGACAGCCCATATAGAATTGTACGCTCAGTCATAGTGGTGAATATCATTTTCATCACTGTAGATCATGGTAACAAACAGGCGATCTTCACTCCAAGGCTTGGTCCTATTCTCCCCAAGCACCCAAAGCGCTGACTCTTGATCCTTCTGAAACCTTTCAACTTTCCGCAATCCTCGGTTTCAGAGACGGAGGTTGGGGGGAGGCCCTATTATGGTCAGTGCAATGGCTATCGATGTCTCCGCAGCCTCACCTACCCGGCGAGGACAACGAATCCTACCCTCGTCCAATGAAGTACCTACAAAACTCCATAATCTCACAAAAAAAGCGGTGCTGACCCCAGTTCAGGGCCAATCTCATGTCTTCTGACATCGAGATGTTAGAGCCGTTTGTGGAGATAGCAAAGGGGTGCAAATGCCTGCTACCCTTATGCACGCACGGGTACACTGCAATTCCACTCATCTGGAAACATAGAGAATCTATATCTAGAGGAAGTGCGAGCAGCTCATGTCAAAGCTTTCAAAATCAAGCCATAAACGAAGCAAAAGGATGTGGAAAGTGGGGGCGGATACGCTAACTGTTATGGCAACTCGTGCATCTTGAAGACTGATGGCACATCGAAATTAAGAAGTGTCAAAGAAATACCCACAAATTTTGGGGAATGTTGGAATTCTTTTGGAGTCCCGCAATCCGGAAACGATTCAAATCCCTTCAACATCTCCTGCCTTTGTGACGGTGCCAAGACGAAAATCCTTATTAACGGAGACTTTTCATTTCGATATTCTCATCGTCTATGACCTTTCTGATTGCTTAGTTGGTTATATCTATCGTTGTTCGATTGCTCTTATCAAGGCTTGAGACCAAAATGAGTGGGAATCAGTCAGATGCAGAGTCCGATTTCTGGGAAGGTGAATTCTCCAAATCTAGGGCCCATAAGGCATTTCCAGAACTCTCTTATCTAACTTAAATAGGTGAGGATGACACAGTCATATCAGTAGCCAAAGCTGCTGAGCTCCCAAGCACTCTGGAGCTGGGCAAGGGCCGAAAGGGCCTCCAGAAGGCATTGCAGCTTCAAGATGCCGGAGAGTAGCGAAATTGGCTTACTTCAGACCAAGTGAAACTATTTTGGCCTGAATTTTGGGAGAGTTGATTAAAAGAGAAAGAGAACGAAATTGAGCATAAAGTCTGAGACATATGACCCGGCAGAGCCATTCTGGCAGATGGTAAAAATCAACCAAGCGCTTTTTTTTTTGGCTCAAGTCAAGAATCTGCAAGAAGCAGAAGAAAGTGTCGTTGCAGCAGACCTGGTTCCCGCAATTGCTCGCGACATGGACAACAACATCTTCCAATAGGACACCTATAATGATCTCGCAGATTTTGACTTTCCGGATGAGATTGAGCAGGAATACCCACTCATCAATATGACGAAAGACGACATCAAGTCACTCCGCGAGCAACAGGTCTGGTTAGATAATGAGACATTACAGCGGGACAACTATGGCGAAGCATGTGAAAGGTTGGGGATTACTGGCCCAGCAAACCAGAGGATGCCAGGCATGGTTAGGGGAGTGGTTTTGAAATTTTGGCAACCGCTCGCCATCTGGCGATTAGTGGAGATTTACAGACTTCGTGCTGTTATCGGAGCTATCCTTGCGGATTCGGTGGGTCTTGGGAAAACTTATGAGGCCATAGCGTCCCTGCTGGCAGTAAGTGAGCGTATACGTGGGATACCTGAAGATAAGGTCCCAGTGCAACAACCAAGTGCTGCAAGAAAGCAAGCACGCAAGACACAATCCAGCAGGATGAAGGCAAAATCCCCAGTCACTGGACCTCCACCAAAGAAGCCGGTTATGTTAATTGTCCCACCTCACCTGTTGGATCAATGGACCCAGGCCACACCAAATTGAGGTAAACCGTCGACATAACGAGAGCGTTTAGATCTGTAAAGTGAGTTTGTTCTGCCTCCCACCGCCCATCATGTCACGGGGATGCAACCAGACTACGTCCTCTCACTTCGTCAACTCCCGCACCTCCCCTCTCGCCCCACGCCATCCCCATACATCTTGATCAACACCCTGACAAGGAATCTAGCATCTCCATCATGACGATCCCAGTAAGTTAAAACCTATATTACAATTCTACAGTTATGGTGTCTGATGGACTTTCTAGGCCGATCAAGTCCCAGACGGTTGGACGGGCGATCCTGATGAGCTTGAGTTTTATCTCTTTCCACACTCAGTGGTGGACGATATCGCAAAAGCGCACGGACTGACAGAGCCCAATCTGGTTATTCACAGAAAGCCTGAAAGTGGAGAAATGTGTCTCATCCTTGAATCGGGCAATAATTACTATTGGGGTGATTATATATGTGACGACATCTTTCTGATCACGAAGCCCAAGACGTTGAAGGGGATTTTACACACACTTGCCACGAAAGGGGATGGAGCTTTTAAGACGAGGAAAGTGGAGCCAGTGGAATTGGACGAGGAGGAAACCGAGAGGGGGAATGTGCAGAAACAGTGTGAGGATGTTGCCATATTCGTGCCAATAGACTGAGAAGTTCCTGCCGGTTTGGGCAATGTCGAACAATCGAATCACCTACAGCCTCCGCCGTGATCTTGATATTGGAAGGCCTTGAACATGTCTCTAAACTCTCCCACCTGTGACTATCTACCAGGCCGGGTGTCTTGATGGTAGGCCTGGTATGTTCTCTCTTGCTTCAAGTGGCAAACCCGTTCATTGGATGAATACCAGATGCCTACGAATACTACATTTATCTGACTATGGTTCGTATAGAGATGCTAAGGGTTGTCTGTATTTTCTGCATTTGGATCTCACTGCATAGATCTCCGATTCTATAATTGCCGATAAACTTTTCAAAGAAATCGAGGGTAAGCAGAAGACGGTTCTTTTCACCTTCACGTGCTTCGGTTGAAATGAATGGCTTGAAACAGAACTTTCCGAGTATCTAGCGAAAAATTGCAATACATTAATTTTCCAGCAACATGGACTCCAACCTCTCAAGAGGTTCATCAGACGACACCGACAAAAGACAGATAATCCGACAAAGCCTATCCACAACCCAATCTGCATTCTCCTGATTCAGAATCCCACTCAAAGTATCCAGTGTAATCTGTAACCCTCCATCCTCGACAGGCCGTGACTCGATAAGTATCTCGTCCGGTGGACGGGGCCACTCGTAGGAGCAAGTCACCTGGGCCTGTGCCTCGCCAAAAGCAAACGGGAGATCCGGCTCGATGTTCTGATGGACGAGGTTGCTTTGATGAGTTGTTCCATTTGGCCAACTTGTAGAGCGTTCCACAATCTGACGGAAATCCAACAGTTCGTGGTCAAGGCTTTCCTGGTGTTGGTGCTGTAGAAATTGCATTAGGTCAAGAGCTGTCCATGAGGATTGAAGCTTTGCTCTGACAGGAATGAAATTCAGGCATGGTCCGACGACATCCTGAGTCGATGGAGTTGCGTTGCTGCGGCCGTTGGAAGTCTGCGCGAACACGATATCCTCGGTGTTTAACAACCGTGAAAGCAAAAACGACCATGCGGCTTTGACTACCGTCGCTGTAGTCACTTTGTGGGGAGGTTTCTCAGGGTAGATGCGCTGGGTAGATGTGATGAACTGTGTCTCGGTCTGCTGTGAAGTACTCGTCCCCTTGAACATGGTGTTATCAATTCGCGAGACGATGGATGCCTCTAGCGTCTTTCTCCAGAAGGTAAAAGTAATTTCGGTCTGACTGCTTATCCACTGCTTCATGTGTGCAGAGTACTCTCCCGGAGGCGGTAAACTGATACCTTCGTATAATTGCTTCAGATCCTTGCACAAAATATGTAGGCAATATCCATCAAACTGAGCGTGGCTTAGTCTCACTATAAGAACCATCTTGCCGTGAGGATCTTTTGCAAATGCGAATCGAGTGACAGGATTGTTCAGTGTTGGTACGGAAATGTCATCGTCCCGACGATACTGCTCCACAAATTCGGGAAGGCTTGGAGTCGTTCCATAATCATGCATGTGGGTATTGATACCAGACAAGACGATCTGAAGGAGAGCAGGCCCATGTGAAATGAATATAGTACGCAGAACTGCGTGTCGCTCGACTAACGCAGTGCACGCGGACTGAAGCTGACCTCGATCCACAGGACCTTCCAGATTCAGAACCCAATATTCAGGAGGCTGCAGCAAATACCGTTCAGCCGATTGACTGACAGGAAGGACATCCATGATCTCATCCGGAGAGAAAGAATAATTTTTCTCGGAAGCCAGCGTCTGTATGAGGTCTTCTTTCCGCGAAAAGCCGAGGTATTCGCTGAAAGCGATCTCTGAATCCTCATGCTTAATCTTGCTCTCCTCAACGAATAACGCTAGATCGGAGAGTTTCGGTGATTTGAAGACATCGGTCACCTTGAACGTAAACCCAGACATACGCGCTCTGGCGACAAACCGAATTGCGATGATTGAATCACCTCCAAGCCTGAAGAAATCGTCATCGAGTCCGACTTCCGAGGCCTCGATATGAAGGACCTCAGCCATGACCGTTTGTATGGATCTTTCCGCAAGAGTTCTTGGAGAGCGTTTGGCAACATGTCCAACGGTATAGGCCTCAATTTGACCTCTTGACAGTTCTGCAGCCTTTTTACGAAGGAGTCGTCGATCGGCCTTGCCACTGGGTGATATGGGCATGTGAAGAAGCGGGATAAAAATGGCTGGTACCATGTAGGATGGAAGCCGTTTTTGTAGCATCAGCATTGCTTCCTGACACCACTCCCGATGAGCGGGATCAGATGGAAGAAACAATGCTGAATGACGGTCTCCCTCATGTTCACTCGCTGCTCCTGTCTTGTCAAAGACAAAAGCTGCCAAGACCGACCCTGCTCTCTGTGTTGGCTCAATCAGTTCCACCACCACATCTTGCACCGTTGGGCTTGTTTGCATGATTTGATATTCGATCTCTCCTAATTCTACCCTTTGCCCACGGATCTTCACCTGCGTATCTTTCCGACCAATATAGCGGAGTGTTCCATCAGCGTTGTACTGCACTAGATCTCCAGTTTTGTAAAGCCGAGAACTCGGCCTCAGTCCTTGGAGCCACGAGGGCGACGACTCAATAAAAGCAGCTGCTGTTTTCTCAGGGTCATTTAGATACCCCCGCGCTAAGGGATGGCCTTCAAGCACGAGTTCGCCAACTGCTCCAATTGGAACAAGTTTATCATGGTCGTCCTTGTCCACGATCCACGACAAAACTCCATACGTCTTCCCTATATGTGATGGATCTGAATCCGGATTAACATCGGCAAGTACACAGCCAACAGAGCATTCGGAGGGCCCATAGCCATTGACGAGCTGGACCTTGCCAGCCCAGGTTTTCACGTCATGTTTCGATAACGACTCGCCGCCCAGCAGTATTGTTTTGAGGGTTGGAATCTCGTCAGGAGATAGCACGCGCGCAACGGAGGGAGTCAGATCCGCGCGATTGACTCTAAACTCTCTCATCACGCCGGGTAAGTCATTTCTCAAACTACTTTGTGAGGCAACGCATACACAGCCTCCGGTGAGGAATGTCCATAAATAGTCCGCAACGCTGACATCGAACATGTGGGAAGCAAACTGGAGTGTTCTTGCGTTTGGATCAAGATACAGTGCCTTTTGCTGCGCGTGCCCACTGGTATAGAACGCAGCATGCTCAGTCACGATGCCTTTTGGCTTTCCTGTTGATCCCGACGTAAAGATGACATACAATGCGTTGTGCGGCGTGACTTTCTCGACGAGGGTAGATGCGATGCTGTCTTCATGCAAAATATCCTGGCTAACTGTCACAACTGTCGGGGCTAGCTGACGGGCGACATCTGCGCATGCGATCGAAGACACGACAGTAAGAGCACTAACGTCCTGAAACATGGTCTGTAGACGCTGGAATGGAACTGACGGGTCAATGAGTATAAATGCTCCACCAGCTCTGACCACCCCCAGAATTGCAATAGATACCCAGCGCGTTTTTTCAGCCAGGATAGGGACAAAGGCCTCTGGTCCAACCCCTTGGGCTTGAAGATCCACTGCAAGTTTCAGTGACAAACGATCCAATTCTTTGTAAGTAAAATCGCCATCCCATGCACATACAGCCAACTTGTCTGGTGATTCCAGGCACTGTTGTTTGATACCTTCGTGTACGCAGCGCTCCACCGCCTCCGGTAGCACCCTGTTCCAGTTCATGATTTCGGTATGTGCGCTAGGATCCAGTGACTTGGCATCGGAGACGCTTGCTCCAGGGTTGTTCTGAATAATCTGCACAAGGTGGACGAATTGAGATAATATCCGTTCCGTCTGTTGTAACCCCAGAACCCGTTGATCAAAGTCAAAGCTAATAGTCGTCTCAGTATCAGAGAGGTCACAGGTGACCTCTAAGGCATATGTACTGAAATATCCGGAATTCGTTGCTCTTTCAACCGGGACCCAGAACTCACCAGTACCTTTGGCCACAGATGGTTGGATTAAAAGCAGATTTTGGAATTGACAGGCTGCCTCGGCATCACCTCCTAAGCGACGGATGTTCTGTAAGCCGAACTGCTCAAAAGATGTCATCCCTACTACCTGTTCCTGCATTCGCAGTAATACTTGCAAAACGGACTCCGTCGACTTGAACTGGAATCGTAACGGCACGGTTGTTATGGTTGGGCCTGTCACAGATTCAATTCCTTCCAGGCTGGCGTTTCTTCCCGAAAGAGTCAGCCCGAAAACGACATCAGTCGAGTCCGAGTACTGTGAGATCAACAGAGCCCATGCCAACTGAAGAATAGTGGAATTTGTCAAGCCAGGAAGGGACTTGAGCCTGACCGTCTTGCGAACAGTCATATCTGTGAAAGGCTTGTAATCGGCCGATGGAAGTGAGGGGAAAGTTGCTTTGTTAGAGCCCTGCAACTGTGTACGCCAGTACTCCCGGGTTTTCTCCCCATCAGACTGTGCGATATAGTCAATAAACCTGCTGAATTGACTAAAGGGCACTGAAAACCCTTCGTACGCTTGTTTGACCTGGTCCAATATGATCGGTAGTGACCATCCATCATACAGAACATGATGGATTGCTAGAACAAATTCCCTAGCGCCGTCGGGAGTCGGTTCAGTGGTTGCTAACTGGAGAAGTGGCTCGCCTAAATGCATCTCTTTGTTTGAGAGATCGGAAATATAGTTGTCGACGCTATCAATCGAAATCCATGACAACTCTTCGCGCAATACAACTTGGAATAATGAGGCAGCCTGCATGATTCGTGTTCGCAAAATTGGATTCGCATTGGCAACCTCTTGCCACGCCTTTCGGAACCCAGCAATGTCAACATTCTTGTCGAGCCTGTAACTGAAATGAGCAAGATATGCGCCAGGCGTTCTTATAGAGAGCGATACGAGCCCCTCCTGTAGCGGGGTGCATGGGTATGCATCTTCTATAGACTCTCTTTCAATTGAGCACTGATGCCCAACAGCCTCAAGAATGTCTTCCGTGCTCTCTTTGTGTAGTGAAAATGGCTGCTGAAAGTAGGCTTGGAGGTCGGGGTCAGCTTTCGCTGTGTGAAAAGCCATGTCCGACAGAACTGGGTGAGAAAATATTGTAGGAACCGTTAAACGTAACCCTCGCCGACGTGCAATTGCCGTCAATCGCATGGCCAAAACCGAGTCACCACCGATATGAAGGAAGTTGTCACTGGCGCTAATCTCTTTCACAGACACTTCTAGCAATTCGGCCCAAAGGCCGATCAATATGGTCTCTATTTCAGTGCTTGGAGGTTGTAATGGCTGTGCATGAGATGATAAGCCATCGAGTTGATTGCTGTCTAGAGAAGCGGCCAGTTCACACAATAAACGTCTGTTCGTTTTTCCGGTGCCAGTGAATGGGACAAAATTCAGCGGAATATATGTCTCGGGGACCATATATCGTGGAAGCGAAAGTGACAATTGCTGCTTAGCCTTTTGACTCAGGCTGTGGAAGGCTGCATCTGGGGAAGCTAGGATGGAGTCATCATCTGATATGCTTGAGAAATTTGATCGATTTCCTGTCATACAGATGAGCGCACAAAGCTGTTGCGACCGAGTATTAGCTAGTCGAGGAACAAACAATTCGACTATGACATCAGCATGTGGCGGGAAGCAGGTTCTTAAATGGCTTTCAATTTCCTCAAGCTCAATCCTTTGCCCGTTGAGTTTGACCTGTCTGTCCTTGCGCCCGACATATTTGATTAGGCCATCATCGGTGTATTGGACCAAATCGCCGGTGCGATACAAGCGTGTTTCGCCGGGGCCACGGAAGTGAGAAATCCATGGTGGGCTGTGAACAAAGCTGGCAGCTGTCTTCTCTGGATCGGCGATGTATTCTCTGCTCAAAATGGGGCCCTCGATCAACAACTCTCCGATAGCCCCCCAAGCTGCTAGTTTGTCTGGATCGGAAGGAGTAGTGATCCAACCAGTCCCGTTGACCATGGGGCCTATAGTGCCCGGAAGCCAGCCAGTCTCTGGGATCTTCCCCACAGCAACAGCAAATGTGCATTCAGCTGGACCATAAACGTTAATCAGCGATGTTTCTCTTGACCACCGATTAACGATGGTTGATGTGAGAGGCTCCCCTCCCAGGGCAAATGTTTTGAGAGAAGGCACTTCTGATGGAAGCAAGAGACTAGACGCAGATGGTGTCATAAACGCCCAATTGATTTGGCGTTCATTGATAAATCCAGCCAATCTAGAATTCCGATCGTCATCAGAAGGTATAAACATGGTGCTTCCAGATGTTAAACTGCCGAATATCTCCATTAAGCTGGCGTCGAAGGCATATGACGAGAATTGAAGTACCCTTGACGGCTTTTCGAGATTTAGACATGCGCGAAGGTTCTTCAAACCTGTGGCTATGCTTCGATGCTCTAGGACAATACCCTTTGGAGTTCCTGTGCTGCCAGAGGTGAAAATGACAAAGGCGGGATCCGTTGGATATGGCATTTGTGCAGTTAGGGGATCTGCAAGTTCTGCAGTATCTAGAACGGACTCAGATACTGTAACAACGCTCTCACAAATAGAATCCATCAAGTGCTTTGTTGTAGGCGAAACCACTGCATGCTTTGCATTGGACTGGTCAATTATTGATTGCATTCGTGAACGAGGATGTGAAGCATCGATCAGTGCACAAGCTGAACCCGTTTGAAGAACTGCAAGAATAGCCGACACTGTCCAACGGGACTTCGCCATGCATATCACCGTTACTGGGTGGGCCCCAATACCAACAGAAAGAAAATGTTGAGCCAGGCGTGAGCTTGCTTTGTACAGTTCCGCATACGAAAATGAACCATCCCACGAGTCGATGGCAACCTTCGCTGGTTGCGTACGGCAACTTTCAAATACCAAGTCATGAACCAGTCGATCCACTTGCTGAGGCGCCGTCATGTTGGCGCCAGACAGTCTAGCCAGGTCTTCGGGGCTGATGACATCTACCTCTTTGATGGCGAGATTCTGATCTCTGATGATCTGCTGGAGGACATGATCTAGCTGATGGGAAAACGCTTTTGTTTCGACGCAGCTCAAGTACGACAGGTCGAAGTTACTTGTAAGTCTCAAGTTCTTCTTGTCAGCGGAGAGTGTATATATTAGCACAAGGGGGGAGCTAGCAAAGTTTGAATAAATATCCTCTTCAAGTGGAGGCTCCTTGAAAAGCTCATCCTCCAATTCCAACCTTTCATCAGTTGGTTGGATGACAATGTGGCATCGAAAATCGCAGGCTGCTGCAGCCTCATGGTTAATTTGTCGTATGTGCTGCAGACCGGTCTGCTCATATGGTATCATCCGAATGAGACGATGTTGTATTTGAGAGAGACATTCCTTCGTGGTACATGCAGCCGGCAGCTGAGTTCGAAAAGGCACTGTTGCAATTGTCGGTCCCGTGAGATCCTCAATTCCTGCTACAGGGGCATTTCGCCCTGACAAGGTAAGTCCATAGACTATGTCGTCACTCGCTGTATAGTGACCAAGCACAATACTGCATGCAAGATGAATGAAAGTTGACAAGGTGAAGTCTAATTCGACGGCTTGCTGGAGAGCAATGTTGTGAGAAACGCTCTTTCTTGAGGACGGAATGTTAGGCCTCTTCTGCGACGGGAACATGGTAGCATTCAAATTTTGAAACTCGTCTGCCCAAAACATTTTACTGGGAACAGCATCAGTTCTTCGCACATACTCTGCAAATGCATTGAATGGACGAGGTCTTAATTCTTCTCCCCTGTATGCTTCGTCCGCCTGCTTTAAAAGGATTGATAGCGATGATCCATCGTACAGTGAATGATGAAGCCATAGATGCAGTTGAACGCGTTTATCATTTTGAGAAATGCTGATCTTGCAGAGTGGTTGACCATCCGCAACCAACAGCGGAGCAAGGTCGGAAGAAAGCTGAAGCTCCTCACGGAGTACGACTTGGAAGGAGTCATTTGAACCCAAACCCACCGCAATGATACGAGTGCGAAGGATGGGGTTCGCATTGAAAACAGCACTCCAAGCGGATTTAAGGCGACCAAGGTCGATGTTTGTCGGAAGGTCAAAGGCCATTTTGAGCACGTAAGCCTCTTGTTGCTTTATACTCAATGCCATAAGTGCCTCCTGCATTGGAGTACATGGGTACATGTCCTCTATGTCATCTCGATCGACGCCACATTCACGAGCTGCAGTGGCAATGAGGTCCATGTGCTTATAGCCCCCAAGAAGAGAAAAGGGAGCAATGGGAGCTGGAAGCAAGCTACTGGCCTCATGATGAACCATCAAAGCGAGGTCAACAAGGCGGGGATAGCTGAATATTTCTCCAACTGTGATGGTAAATGCGGATTCACGAAGAAGACCCACTAACCTCATCGCCGAAATGGAGTCTCCTCCGAGATGGAAGAAGTTGTCATCCATTCCAATGTCGTCTAATGGTAACTGTAGGACACAAGAAACGGCTTTCTGCAACACTGACTCCTCCGTTGAGGAAGCATGGCGTTTTGCTGCCTCCGAAAAGCTATATGCCCGCAGGTCTTTCCTAGAAAAGGCGGATAAACTTTCACGAAGTTGAAGTCGATCTGTCTTTCCAGATGGGCTGAGTGGGATCTTGCTCACGGGCAAAAATAACGCTGGAATCATAAAGTTTGGAAGGCGTGATTTTAGGGCACATTCGGCAGATTCGGCCTGCAGCCGGAACGAGGCGCTCGCCCTTACGATGATGCTGTCTTCGCTGTATGGAACATCATTCAGCAGAATAAAGGCAGCCAGAGCAGGGTGTGCACCTGGATCTGCCGGTGTGACTAGATCAACAACGATCTGCTTTGCTTCGGTAAAGCAATCAAAAAGATGTTGCTCCACTTCTCCTAGTTCGATTCGCTGTCCGCGTAGCTTGACCTGGTTGTCTATGCGTCCAAGATACCGCAAGGAGCCATCGGCTTGTGCGCTATACTGCACCAGGTCACCCGTTCTGTAAAGTCGGCCCTCTCTGCCGTGTCGAAGACGACGCAACCATTTCGGATATTGGATAAATGCGGATGAAGTCTTTTCTGGGTCTCGGAGATAGCCTTTGGCAAGGATAGGGCCTTCAACAAGCAGCTCCCCAGGGGCGCTAATTGGCCTGAGCCTCTCAGGGTTGTTTGGGTCCACGATCCAGGGTACAGCAGCAGCCCCTCGGCCGATATTTGCAGGATCAGAGTCGCGATTAATAGACGGTTGAATGATCGCATCAACAGAGCATTCGGCGGGTCCATAGCCATTGACCAACTGAACTCGGTCCGCCCACATAGTTACGTCCAACTTGGTCATAGCTTCACCCCCTAGAGCCAGAGTGCGAAGAGTACTCACTTTCTTTGGATCCAATACTCGTGCTAAAGAAGGTGTCAACGTCGCCCAAGTGATTTCGAAGTCGTTGATTGCTTGGTCAAGGTTATTGCGACTGTCTGACTCCGAAGGGATACAAACACATCCTCCGTGGACAAGAGGGTACAAAATCTCCGCAATCGACGCATCAAATGTAAAAGATGCCAGTTGCAGCACTCGAGAGTGATTATTTATGTGTTGTTTGCTACCATTCACTATGGCACTAGTGATGAAAGCATGATGCTGAATGGCCACTCCTTTGGGTCTACCGGTTGACCCTGAGGTGAATACCGCGTAAACGACATTGTCTGGGGAAACCGCGGGTCCTTTCAAATGCATGCCACCAGATTCCCAGTTATACCCTCTGTCAATTTCAACAACCTGGAGATTGAGTTCAATTGCTTTTGACATGTATTGCCCCGATGTGATCACAATCCTGGTTTGAGTATCTTCGCAGATCTTCCGCAATCGCATCAAGGGCTGTGCAGGGTCAACAAGCACAAAAGCACCTCCTGCTTTCATCACTGCTAGCATCGCAACTACTGTCCACAGAGACTTGCCAACATATACCATTACATAGGTGTCAGAATGGACGTTCAGCCTCTGGAGGTGCGCTGCGAGCATGGTGGAATATCTTTCCAGCTCCTCGTAAGATAACTTTCCATCCCATGCAATGACGGCAGGAGCTTGAGGCTGGGACCAGCATTTCCGGTTGATTATATCATGAACACAGCAGTTGATTGCGTCTGGCACATGGTTGTTCCACATCAAGAGCGTCTGGAAGTCAGTGTGATTAATGGAGTCTAGCTCCGAGAGTGACTTATTGCCGCTTTGAACGACAGCATTCAGGTTGTGATAGAACTGTTCGAGAATCCTGCTCATGAGCAAATCTGTGATAGTCTCCGCATCGTATTCCACTTCCAGTCTAACATCATATTCTTTTCCAAGCTTTACCTCTAGCGTGAGGATGTAATTGTCCACGGTTTCCGTAGAAAGCTCTTCCATACAGTTGTTGAAAATGGTCGATGCATGCTCGTCATAAAAAGGCTGGATAATCAGTAGGCTTTGGAGCCTACAGGCAGTAGCAGGTCCAGCTCCAAGGGCAGCGATTTTCTGGAGACCCAAGTAGCCGAAATTTAGGTACTCGACATTTCGCTCTTGCATCAAGCGCAGGGTGTCTTCAAGTTGCATTGAACGATCTAGTTTTATCCGCCGAGGAATGGTAGTGATAGTTGGTCCAAGGATCTCGTCGATACCGCTAACGGCGACATTGCGGCCGGCAAGTGTGCTGCCAAACACTATGTCGTCAGTGCCAGAGTATTGGGACAGGGTGAGAGCCCAGGAGAGCTCTATCATAGTTGCAAGCGGATACCGCAGTGCCTTTGTTGCCTGCGATATGGATATCAAACGGCTCATCTTATGTAGTGTAGCCGGCTTGTAAGTGTGGTCTCCCGGCGGAGGTTGGGGGAACAACGGCCCTGAAAAGCTTTCCAACTCGTTTCGCCAGAATTCTTTCATTCGATCCATGTTCATTTTTAAAAAGTAGTCCACGAATGTTCTGAATGGTTGCGACCGAGGTGTTATCCCATAATAAGCCTCCTCCACCTGTTGAAAGGTCCGAGGGAGTGACCAGCCATCGTATAACGAATGATGAATTGTCAGTACCATGTACGTGCGACCATTATTCTGGATCAGTGCGAAGCGGGTCAAGGGGCTTCCTAATTGTATCGCTTTTCTCTCATCCTGCTCGATGTAAGACTTTAGGTTATCTGCGTGGTGCCACAAATTGTTATGTCGGACAACAACCTGGAGTGCTACATCATATCCAGTCTGAATGATCCGTGTGCGTAAAACCGGATTGCTGTTGAAGACCATTGTCCATGCGCATTTCAAGCTCTCTATATCGATTGCGCGTGGGATCTGAAAAACGGACCGAGTGACATATTTAGCCACGGGGCTGGTGATGGAAAGGGCCATTATTCCCTCTTGCAGTGGGGTGCAAGGGTAAACATCCTCAATGTCCTCAGCTGATGATAAATTGCAGGACCTTAATGCTATTTGTATAATGTGTTCTTTTGGTTCAGGGCTCGCGAGTAAAGAGAAAGGCGCCACTTTTGCTGCACTCTTACTGCCTCTCATGAGCTTTGCTAGGTCCGAAAGGATGGGTGCTCTGAAGATCATTTCTCCTGGAAGGTCGACTCCGGCATCGTCCCTGGCAATCTTTGTCAAATGCATAGCTAGGATTGAGTCTCCACCAAGGGCGAAAAAGTTATCGTTCATTCCGAAATCTTTCACGTGTAGAACATCTTCGATTAACCGATGGAGCAACTTTTCCATTTGGGAGATTGGAGCCCGTTTCTCTACCACAACCCCACTAAATTCCTCAAGTTGGGCTCTAGTATACTTCGAAGCCTCGGTGCGCAATTGTGCTCGATCGGTCTTGCCAGTTCTGGTGGTGGGGAAGGTCTTTGTTGGAATCATGACGGAAGGGACCATGTATCCTGGTAGCCGGTCAGACAGCTTGGTGATGGCTGCCTGGGCTAACACTCGGAAACTCTGAGACGGAGAAGCAAAGATACCCTCATGAGTGGGTGCATTCCTATCATCGGTGTTTAAGATAAAACCGACTAGGATAGGGATACCTCCACTTTCTGCGGGGTTCACTAAGCCAGCTACTGTCTGTTTGACAGCAAAAGCATCGCGCATATGGTGCTCAACCTCACTCAGCTCTAATCTCTGGCCGTGAAGCTTCACTTGCTCATCCCTGCGGCCAATGATTCTGAATTTTCCGTGTGACACGTACTGAGCTAGGTCTCCCGTGCGATACATCCTTCCGTATATATTATCTGGAAAGGCCGATCGCCAGCGAGGACTAGGGACGAAGGAAGCATTTGTCTTGCCCTGGTCACCTATATATCCTCTTCCCACAATCGGACCCTCTATGAGGAGCTCACCAACTGCGCCGATAGGGGCCAGCTTCTGGTAGTCTTGAGCGTCAGTGATCCAGCACGTTGCTCCGACGCCTGATCCCACTATCCCAGATTCCCGCTCGCCACGCGTAATGATGTGGCATGTGGTAGACACGCAGCATTCTGCTGGGCCGTACATATTGGCCAGACGCACATGATATTGCCATGTTGCTATGTCAGACGGTAGCACAGGTTCTCCAGCTAACACGAGGGTCTTCACGGATGGTATGTCGGAAGGCTGTACAAGTCGAGCCACTGTGGGAGTCAATATGAGATAATCAGCTCTCAATTGGGCCACTGCCAGCGGAGGATTCCAGCGCATTGTTTCAGATGGCACACATATACATCCACCAACAATAAGCGTCGTTAAGCCTTCTTGGACGCTAACATCGAAAGCATACGACGCAAATTGCAAGACACGACTGGTAGCATTCAATCCAACATGATGCGCAAAAGCAATCTGTCCAGAGCAATAAGATGAATGATTGATCACGACTCCTTTCGGAATACCGGTTGAGCCCGAGGTAAACTGGGCAAAGAGGGCATTGTGTGGGTTGGCAAGCAGGCTGGGTTGTTGTGAAGGATCCGGAGATGACGGGGTCAAGTCAAGTTGTTCGTTGTCGACGGGAACAACCTGAGGAGCCATCCCCGTGACATCGGCAGTCAGGTGTCTTGACGACAAAACCACGACAACATTGAGCTCCTTGCACATTCCTTGTATGCGGGTTTGCGGGAGGGATATGTCAAGAAACGCAAAAGCCCCTCCTGCTCTCATGACGGCTAACATAGCCACTATAGCCCACTTGGACTTTTCAAAGTAGAGACCAACAAATCTTTCTGGGCCCACACCATGGCGTGTCAATTGAACAGCTAGCTGACGAGAGAAGTCATCAAGATCATGATACGTGAGCTCCCCGTCCCAGGCAAAGACTGCTGGTGCTTCGGGCTGTGTTTTGCACTTCTCCAGGATAAGGTCATGGACACAGCTTTCTATGTTCACAGGTGGCTCGGAACTCCATTGGCCCAGTTGTCTAATGGTCTCCGCTGTGCACAGATCCATGGAACTCAACCTGGGCTGCTTTACTAACTCCACGGCAGTTTGACTAAAAATGCTCGCTACATGAAGTGCTTGCTCTTCTGATAGGATTGAAGTCCAATAATGCAGAGAGATGTTGCATGCATCACCCTGAGACTGAGCCTCAATACAAACACTAGACTATTGAGGTTGTGAGCGTAAGGTTCTGATGTTTAAACGAGTTGACATACCGAGTGAGTGACATTGAGGCAGTTCCAGATTACTGCAGTATCCATTCGCTTGACTTCATTCCGCGGCAAAGGATCATTCCAGCAAACAATGCTCCGAGCCAGGTGCACAATTTCCTTGTCATCTTCCAGATCTATGGTGCAGAGAACCCCATGACTTTCTGGGAATGGATGTTTCCCAGTGAAGTATCTAAACAGTGGTCGGTCTGTCCCTATGTAAGACCTAAGCAGAAAGGCCCATGCCATCTGGAGAAGCTGAGGCAGGTCGATACCATTTTTTTCGACAAATTCGGCGATTTCATGGTGTGAGGTGAGCTCAATTGGGGTTGACTTGTGACTATCCTCTCCATCAAAAGCAGTGTTGAATATGGGGAACGAACAGGCCTCATTGACGACTGGTGCCCAATTAGATTCCTGCGCCTCCCCCATTTTGCTTAGATTGTACCTTAGTCAAGCCAGGTGATTTTGGAAGCAATTGAAACACAGAAATGGATGTTGCGATGTTATTGTGATGCACTAGATATCTCTCTTCCGACTCGTTCTTCTACTTTGCGAAGTGCACAATGTCAGCATTATGTCGTGCGAAGCCCGATGACTATCCCTACGAATTGCTTTTTCTGATGGACTAAAATGTTTTACCCCCGCCTTCCTTCTTTTGAGATGTTTGTTGATTACACTGCATGATCTGCGTTTGGCCTGCATGAGCTGTAGAGCTCTCCATCCAATGGTATGTTTTTACAGACGTGTGGTGCCAATAATTTGAAACCATTGGCACCTTACGCATATGTATGAGTGTTACATCGGCCGATTTGTGGAGACTTACATCTCATATTGCAGATATACCAACAAGATCCCATTGCATACTTGAATCGGTTGGTCCATCTCTTTCATTTGCGAAGTACATCTATGCGTCATTTATGCGCGGATACGGGAGTAACCCCAACTAGTATTCCAGGTCCTCGCTGCGGCAATGGAAGCAAGGGCGACAACGTAGAGCGAAGGTGGCAGGCAGAAATGTGGCTTACAGTATGCAGTCAAAGCGAACACAATCTTACACTACGCATGGTCTTTGAACTCAGCTCCATTCTACTTGCTTTTAGTCAACCAAAAAAAATGACCCAAGTCAAATATTACTAGAAAGATTACCAAGCAGTCTGCAAAAAGATTTAGTCATGTGCCATGCAATCCTTTTTGGCTTCAGGCTCAGCTGAAGAGCTGATTCCATGCACTCAAGAATCCCGGAAGGGCTGAAATGCGTCATGCATGTTTGGTCACATCCCTAAGTACATACACTCTAATACGTAATTGAATCATCTCTCCCTCTTGTTGTCAGCTTCAAGGTATTAATTCGAGGTGACCGTCGTATCTGCTACTTCCTTTCTAGAAATACTCAAAGTCTAAGTTTCTAGATACTGGCTGTCAATCAAACCCAATCATGTCTGAATTCACTCCATTCTGGGAACAGCCCAGTCACCCTGATCGCCTTCAAGTGGTGAAAGGCGACCAGCCCTACAAGTCGGCTGCCTACTCCCTCATTTCTCTTCCAGCGGGAGCATTCTTCGCCAAAATCAGCACCGCTACCTTTGTCGACCATACGACCTACACCTCAGTCGCCAACGGAAAAGACTCACGCATCGAGCTCAACTCCGACCTCGTCTATTGCAATCATTCCTGCAATCCGAGCCTGGTATTCGACATGACCCGATTCGAGGTTCGGGTCTCAGAGGACCGACCCCTGGCTGTGGGTGACGAGCTGAGCTTCTTCTATCCGAGCACCGAATGGGAGATGGTGCAGCCGTTTCGGTGCGAGTGCAGCGCTGGTCCCGATAAATGTCTTGGCTTTATTGCTGGGTCGTCGAGAATTGAACCTTCTGTCCTCGCAAAGTTTTGGCTGAACGAACATATTCGGCAGCTCCTAGAGGTCTCAGCAGAAGCCGACAAACAGCCTTCTTCGTACGCAATGGAGGCGCCGGTAGTCGATAGCCCAGGGGCTTAATGGGACTTGTCTTTGAGTTGGCATGTAACTAGACAATACAACCAGAAACTATACGAGTAGTCATAACATACAAGGGGTTGCCCTCTTCATCTCCTGTAGGCTGGACCGATGAAATTGTAACCCTACTGATTGTTATCGAGCTTTACAATATGTCTGGGGTTTTGATAATAGACCCGACCTGGATGACGCATTTTACAACCAACGGTCGTCCCTGAAAAGTGGAAAGAACAGTGGCAAGGATAGATGTAATCGAGGAGGAAGGGTTCGGGGCTTCCTAGCATAGTATATCAAAGACAGGAATTCAGAGAGTAGATTGAGGATTGCAATATCTCTGAAGATTCGATATTTAATGCAGGAAGAAAAATAGGGGCCATGTCGCTCTGTAACTGAACAGCCTTGCGCAAAAGCCAAGTCATTGGTCTTGGGAACGACTTCAGTGCGTCCGGCTTAGTTAGAGACAGCGTATCTAAGTCGATGGACGGTTCAACCACACCTCTTCACCGCGACTGCAAACACCTAAAGTGGAAGTTATCGATCGCGACGAACTTTATTGTATTCAGGGTTCCTTCTGAGAAGAACAAATCATGCGATCGTTTCGATGGTGACATCGGCCATGCGGATGGAGCAACCAGAGGTGAGTTTAGTGACAGAAGGGAAATCGCTGAAGCGGGGGTTGGTGGTTCCGAGTGAAGACACAGTGATCGACGAGGTAGGGGAAACTGTGCAGGGTAGACCTGGACATAACGAGAATACGTGGCATGTCAAATGTTAGAAATGTGACGAATTGAACCTAGAGTAGGAATGGTAACAAATATGTGGTCAGCTTGCTGGACATCATAGTCACAGTACATATTTGCAGGGCAACAAAGGTAAGCAGCTTATTTCCAATCGGCCTGATGTTATGTTTGTTGTAACTTTTAGCTCTGTCATCGTGGCACACTGCAGATGATGTAAAGCAGTTGTGACAGAAACCGTAAACTCAATCGAGGATGTTTTCACCATTTTCGATGACGCAAATTGTGACACCGCTGGTCAATCCAGAGTGATATGTCCTTGATCTTGGAAGGCCAAGGGGCTGCGTGATGGCGCAATGATTTCGGGCCAGATTCATACTCGCGATGCTAACAAATGCTAGCCTTAGTTCAAATTTAGTGCTACTGCAATCTTACTAGTATCTAAGGAAAGTGTTGAGTTTGCATGGCTAATGCGACATGCAGAGTAAGCTTGTTGAATTCTCGACGTCTGCCAAGGGCCTGCTGAGTGTTGAAAAGAAAAACAAAAACGGGAGAAACTTGAACAGGCCAAGGTCAAGCATATCTAGAATAATCCAATACAGGCAAAACGAAGATTACGTCCTTCAGGGTTCTTCTCAGGGAGAGGACCCGCAACGCGACTGATCTGATGCCATGTTTCTCCGAGATAATGCCACTCAACCGTTCCCGAAAGACGGATGTTTCTTGGCAGTTTCAATCGGTCGTGCAGGATTCGGGTGCCACCATGGAATAAGCCCAACAGATATTTAGTGTCGGGGTCACCGGATTGCAATCACGGGCAGTCTTCAAATTCAGGGCCAGGCACGAAATATTCGGAGACAGACATATATTTGAACATCGCACGCTCTGCTGGTTCAGAAACCGACCTGCAGGGAGTAAAAATTGAGTGTCTGAGACAAATCTCGTAGTGCGCCGTCATTTGAGACCGGCGGATCAAGATAAGATTGCGACGCCACGATCACTGAGATTTTCTAGTCTAACGAGCCTTAAGGAGACCCGACAAAGGGGCGGGAAATGATGCGATCCATTAATTAAGGGTCTGTCGGGTCTGGAATCCGTCTCGTTCTCGTTCCTTCCCTTCTTTGACGATAACTGTTTCATCCGGAATGAGGCCGGAGTCCGGTGGGCACCAATTGCGTTCTTTTAGGGTTTGCGACGTCGTGGATTTACCTCAACGCCGCCACGTTGTGCACTTGGGACTTGGGAGTATCACCAAGTGGCGCCAAGTCTGCGCGATATTAAACTCTTGCTTGGCATGCAGAACGGAGATAAGCCCGGTTGCCGTCTGAAGCTGACTGAAGGCTTCTCCGTAACTAATAAGGTCGACAGTGTCATCTGGGATATATTAACCCGTCCCCACTTGGCGATAACGTTGAGGCCATTTGCAACCATTCAGTCATGCTCTAACGCTCTTAGGCCGTGACTAGACCTCTAGTTTCTATATTTCTCTTCCTTTCCTTCCTTAGTGACATCGTTCCGGAACCATTCCGCCTTAATAATGAAGACTCTTTGTCATCATTATCAAGCAGCCCTCGCGACTACTTGCGACATTGAGCAGATTTCTTGGGTTTACCTGCCAAGCGAAACCAACAGGATGCCAATATTCCACCGGGAGAAGCCTGTTGGTGATGTTTCACGCCGGCAGATGAGAATGGACCCCGAAATTAAACAATTGGGGGGCCTATCTTGAGGTAACTGAGAACTAGAGTGCATTTAATTACTGCTTCTTTCCCGGCTACCGTTCTTCTATGAGGTAGAGATCACCACATAACGTTCCTTACGATATATCTAGTCACTCATTTGACCATGCGTTCCACATTCTTTCTGCTGCCGCTGATTCAGGCGGCTTTTGCCACTCGGCCTTTCCTCAACGAGCCCGATACTGGGTAGGCCGACCTTGCTCTCTGTTCATGATGCCCATACATCTAACCACGTTCTAGTATCGAGGCTGCCCTTGGCAACACCCCCGAGGGTGAACTACCCGACCTGGAGCAGATCTGGGGTCTTCCCGACTTTGAGTGGGCCGCCAGACGGCACATGAACGACTCTGCCTACACCTACTATCGTAACGGTGCGGCTGGCGAGTGGTCCTACCGCAACAACCTGGAAGTGTACGGCCGATTCCGCTTCAGACCCAGGTTCCTTGTCGATGTGACCAATGTCGAATCTACCCTCCCTACCTCCATCCTGGGCCACAACTTCTCTGCTCCCTTCTACATCAGCCCTTGTGCGTCGGCCGGTCTTGCCCACCCCAAGGCCGAGGCCAACTTGGTGAAGGCTGCCTACAAGGAGAACATCCTATACATTCCTTCGCACTACGCCACCCTTGGCTTCGACGAGATCGCGGCAGCCAAACCCTCCAACGGCTCGCAGACCATCTTCCAGCAACTCTACCTCAACTCCAACGATACCCGGACCCAGGAGTTGTTCGACACCGCTAAGAAGCTCGGCTCCAAGGCCATCGTCTTCACCGTGGACTCGGCCTCCACTGGAAACCGCCTCCGTGCTAACCGCTATGGTGTTGGCTCCCAAAACACCGACTACACCTACATCACCTGGGACTACTACAAGAAGATCCAGAACTTCACCACCCTCCCCATCGTTTTGAAGGGTCTACAGACTGTCGATGACGTGCGTCTTGCCGTGAAGCACGGCGCTCCCGCCGTCATTCTCTCCAATCACGGCGGTCGTCAGATCGACGGCTCCCCTTCGCCTCTCGAGGTTGCGCTCGAGATCCACCAGGAAGACCCCGACCTCTTCAACCAGATCGATATCTTCGCCGACGGCGGTGTTCGCTACGGTGTGGATGCTCTTAAGCTTCTTGCTCTGGGCGTCAAGGCTATCGGTGTCGGTCGTCCTTTCATGTACGCCAACGCCTACGGTGAGGACGGCGTCCGCCGCGCCATCCAGCTCCTCAAGAAGGAGATTGCCATTGACGCCGGAAACCTGGGTGTGGGTGACTTGAAGAAGATCGATGCTTCTTACGTATGTGCCCACAAGTCTTATGCGTTTCTGTGGTTTGAGCTAATGTTTTTCTTTAGGTCAAATGGACGAACAACGGCTGGTACAGCTAAACAGTTCCACGAGACTTATTCCAATCCGACCTCACCTTGCCAACTCTTCCTTTTGAGAAATACCTGAACGTAAATTGTAATTAGCAATAGAGTATTAGCTAAGGATTATGTTCATTCTTATCCTCATAATTCCTGTACGCATCCATTAAATGACCGCAAAACTCGAGCTTTCTTCTATACTTCATCTATCTTAAACGTGCAATGCAAAACATTATGACTGGCCTCCTCACAGAAAGGTATATGATATCGCATAAAGATAGATCAAGGCAGCAATGTCTCACCTGGTCAAGTGTTGTTAAACTGGAAGTGCTAAAGTGAAACATCTTTCAAATAGTGACTAAATAGGGAAATCCGTAACGGTTAGGGTTAAAATCTATGACATCATAACCATCTGAACCCATCAAGTTGATGTTGGGGGAATAGCAATCCATTCTGAAATATCAACGCCAGTCTTCTTATAACTGTGTTCCCTATCAAAACATTACATGTGCACAAAACATAATTCCAATTTCAACTGATGCCAATAAAAAGAATAATCTAATCAAAAATGCGGGGTTAGCGCGGTTTACCCCTTTGGTCGGACCTCGGTACCTTCCCCTCTCAGCTTTAGCTTAGCTTGCATTGCTTTCTTTTCCTTTTAACAAACCATCCCTTCTATCGCTCTCCCCCTACTGAACACCATCTTCATTCACCCGAAAACTCACGGGGAGAAGCAAGAAATTGATAGACGCCATGTCCGCCGAAGAACAAGTCCAGCTCTCCAACTTCAATACCCTCTTCTCGCTCGATGGTAAAGTCGCCGTCGTGACAGGTGGTTCGCGCGGTTTGGGCTTGCATGCTGCCAGTGGGTAGGTTATTCTTTTTCATTCTTATTTTCTTGCTTTCGAGTCATATCCACCCTCTATTCTAGCAGTGTTTAGTCTATCACAACACACAATTCCATTCAAAGCATCCAGCTCCGTCCCCCACCCATCATCAACAACCCCCTCGCTAACAAATTATGATAAATCAAACAGACTCCTTCAAGCCGGCTGCTCAAAAGTCTACATCACGTCTCGCAAAGCAGCTGCCTGCGACGAGGCCGTCCGCGCGCTGAACGCTCTTCCCAACAAACGCCCCGGCGCGGTCGCCATCGCCGTCCCCGCCGATAACAGCCGCATGGCAGAGCTCGATCGACTCGTCGAGGAAGTCAAGAAGACGACAGACCATGTTGATATTCTTTTTGCGAATGCGGGCGCGACGTGGGGTGAGAAGTTTGAGACGCATCCGGAAGCGATGTTCTCGAAGGTGATGGATTTGAATGTTAAGTCGGTGTTTTATACCATTCAAAAGTAGGTTTTTATTTACTGCAAATGGCTATGGTTCGTTAGGTTGGGGATGACTGGCTAACTTGGGTTGGGACTGTATAGGTTCGCGCCGCTCTTGTCTGTGAAGGCGACCAAGGAGGATTCCTCGCGCGTGCTCATCACGGGGTCCGTGGCTGGTTTGATCCCCGGTACTCTGGGCGAGAACGCCACGTTCAGTTATTCGGCGTCGAAATCGGCAGTGCTTCATTTGGCGAAGAACCTGGCGCTGGAGTTGGGGCCCCGGTACATTTCGGTCAATGCGATTGCACCGGGATTCTACCCCTCGAAGATGGCGAACGGGTTGATTGAGAAGCAGGGCGGCTTGAGTGCGCTGGAGGACCAGTCGCCGAACAAGAGGTTGGGGAGACCCGAGGACATTGCCGGGTTGGTGGTGTTTTTGGCCAGTCGGGCTGGTGCACACTTGAATGGTGCCGTGGTGGCGACTGATGGGGGCAGTCATTTGAAGGGGAGATTGTGAGGTAATTAATTCCCTTTGAGAGAGAAACCGCGTGTACATAGGTAGTTAAGTTTACGTCCAATGCCCTACCATGCAGACTATCTAGGTCAATTGGATATGGTAAAGTAATTTACAGCTTCGAGGCCGGCCTAACGTTCCTTTCTGCTTGCACCACACGATCGATGATCTCCATGGCTCGGAAGAGTTCGTAGTCACGCTGCTTCGATGTGACGACTTGAACACTCAGCGCTGAGTCCAGATATACCCGACGATCAACGGTTCTCTCGTCCCCTGTGCTAGTTAGCTTTGTCACGAGAGGTGTACAGCATTGGGACATACATAGCTTCCGATTGGCTTTATCCCAGCTCCCAATCACAGGGGTCTTCATCTCCTTCCCTTTCTCGAGATCGCCTTCGTTGAATGGCCGCACGGGAATGACTCCAGCCGGGTAGTCTAAGAGCACAAAGCTGGATGTGTACCCGACAGCGTTGTACCGGTCAAGCTCGGGAACTGGATGTGGTGCCACGGGGTGAATAATTGCATCGATACGGCGACCTTTTTGCGTCCACATCTTCAGCAGTTCCCGCTCCACGATCGATCGTTGCTCCTGAAGCTGGCCTAATTGGGTCACGGTTAGTTCTTTTCCGCGCTTGGTACGTCCCTGGAGCCAGGGAATCAGCGGTTCTCCTGTCTTCTCCAGCAGGTCCATCATAGGATTGCCCCCGTCAACCCCCATCAGTCTCCCTACCAGGGTCTGACATTTCGCTAGAGCCGGCGGCACTGGGATCTCGACCACCTCAACACCAGGGGTGCGATCCAGCGCCCGAGCCACCTCATCCAGAACCTTGGCGATAGGAGGCAACGGCTCAACCAGCCCATCCGATCGCAGAACACCGATCGTCACATTCTGTGGTCTCAAATCCGGCATCTGCACAGGGAACTCGCCCCTCCATTGTCCAGGGATACAGTCCTCCCCGAAGAGCTCCGCGCGAGGAACAATCTCCTCCATAACCGCTCCAAGATCCGCGACTGACCGCGCCAACGGTCCTGCCACGGCCTGCAGCGATACACGCATTTTCCCAGGCATCTGGCCCGCGTCTTGGCTTTGGTATGGTATTCTCCCTACGCTGGGCTTGAATCCATAGATCCCATTGCACATGGCCGGAATACGGATACTACCTCCAATATCGGTGCCGAAGCCGACCATCGACCCGCGCATGGCCACCAGCACTCCTTCGCCACCGGAACTCCCTCCCGCTGTGAGTTTCCGGTTCAGTGGGTTCAAGGTACGTCCGAAGAGGTGATTGCAGCTGTCCAGGGTGCCTAAAGTCTGCGGTACGTTGGTCTTAGCGATGATCACGGCACCTAGCGACTCGAGGAGGTCGACGAAAGGGGAGTTTTCCGTGGCGGGCTGGAACGCTAGGGCGGCAATGCCAAGAGACGAATCGACTCCTTTAATGTGAAAGGAGTCCTTAACAGAGACAGGGAGGCCGTGCAGTGGGCCGATCGGTTTGCCGGTTCGTTGAAAGTGCAGGTCGAGTTGTTTGGCTTGGGCGAGCGCGCGGTCGAAGAGCGGCTCGGTCAAGCAGCGCGTAAGTTGGTGAGAAATAGCCGCTCTCTATAAGACTCTTTGTTTAGCTGACAATGGGGATGTTGGGTCGGTGGGCTTGAGATGAACTATGCACCTTACTAAATGCCCTAATAACCTCCTCGCTAGAAAGCTTCCCTTCCGCAATTATTGACAGAAGAGCCCGAATATCGTAGTTCTCAGTTATGGCCAGCTCCTGATGTGTAAGAAGCCCACAAGCCCTTGGAATGTTCATCACGTTAACGGATTGATATTCTTTCACATTGGTAATAGAGTCCGTGATGGAGAGCATCCCTTCGGGGATAATCGATGAGGGGAGCTTCCATTCTGCTGGAATTTGGGCATCAAGATGCGATTGTTTGCGCTCAGCGACCTGTGGGTATGTTGTATTCGAGGCCATTGTGATCGTGAAGACGGAGCTGGATCGATATGATAAGTGATACAGAATCAAGATGAAAGGAGCTGTTGGGGTCAACCGCATTTTGCGGGGAAATCAGATGCCGAGGCAATCGGTCGCTGACTCATCGATCCTATATTCAGTGAATGCCTGAGGCAGTTGTTTGGTCTACTCCGTGCACAGTACAAAAGGATGTGAGGATTGAATTGCCTGTCGAATGTAGTTTAGACGCCGTAATGGATCAAAACGTTATTTGATCCAGTCTCCAGAATCGTGCACTTCGGCTACTAGTGCCACAGGAACATGATATATTCATTCACTCCTCCAACCGTGGGAAAGTATTTCCGGCTAGGTCTTCTCTTCCGCTCCCGTGCCCTGTAGTCATATGCATCCCGTACTTGCTTTCTTGAACACTTCATCCAATTCATTCGTCTTGTTTGAATCGATCTCTCGTAGAATTCAAAAATTGGCAGATATTGGTGTAACCGCTTTGGGAACTATCTAAACCTATCTTAGACTATCTTAAATTGTCTAATTTACTGAGATCAATTAGTAAATGATCTTTGACGGTCATTTGAGCACCGAAGTTGGCCAGGCACGGCTCTACTTGGGTATTTGCCCAGGGTTTGCCAAGTCCTCTTCGACGTCTATCTACCTGTAGACCTCAGTGCTCTATCTCCTCGATTTCCTCCTGTTGTGCGGTTCCAAATTCCCCAAGGACCCTAAAAGGGGGCATATATCAGCTAACAACAGCGGTCGGTCAAAGCGATAACCCGTGTTATAACATCATAATATATATAAATGTGGAAGGTCTAAAACTATAGACTTACGACTTGAATGATCTTGTTACAGGAGGTATGATATATAGTAAAGAAATAGAAATAATTACTCGAGGAATATCTCACAAATGACTATTCCCTTTCTTTATATTCCAGCTTTTTAGGCCAGTATAAGACTAGTATGCTACGGCTAACACCACCAATCAACAAATCTATAGTGTCTCGTTCCTTTTCATAAAACCTTCTCGTGCAGATTCCGCTAACTAATATAAGAAAAATTACTCCTCGTGAGAAGCTACTCGAATAATCTTCTTAAAAGGCACAATTGGCCTTATAGCCCTGACTGAGACCCTTCGCAATCAGCGTAGCTTGGTTATATCCTCACCTAACAGCTCCCAGTAGAGTTGCACATTAGCAGACTACCGGGTTATAAAACTCGCATCTGGTTTAGCGTCCCAGTAACCCGCGAGTAATCTAGCCAGAAAAGCCTAGATAATCTTCAGCGCCTACAATCCAACCCCCTAGGGGTTTCGTCTGACTCCGACCCTGAGGGTGGCCCCGATCCCTTCATTGGTGCGAGAGACCCCACTATCCTTTCATTCATGATCGGTTTCCAAAGGCTTTGCCGGTAGAATGCCGTAGCTGCCGCCGGCTGCCACCAACGCCCCGAGGCAGCGAAAGACCAGGAGTGGTAGGCCTTTTATATGTACCACGCTGCATCTCGGTAGATGGCCAGCCAGCGCCTAGACTCGCTTTGGCGGCGACAGAAGGATAGATACTATACAGCAGATGGATATCGCCAACCTCACCTCAGTGAGAGTTACAGATTTTTGGAGGGAAGATGTGTGCCCTCATTTGGCTGGAATGGGCCTAGAAATTGACCTTCTTATGCTATCGATGCCCTGGTCTTTTAACTTAATTCGTAGAGCTCTTTTGAGATATATTATACAGTTTTCCATTGGTTCATTTCGATCAAACGGAAATTTCTCGCTAGTATCGTCTACCCCCGAGAGGAAATTGCTCACTGTTTTATCCCGAAGACAAAAAAAAAAAAAAAAAAAAAAAAAAAAAAAAAAAACCAGAAAAAAGGGCCCCATATGAGGAATCCCTTACAGATCGCCAAGGTCCTGGTCCATGGTTTCAGCCATGCGTGTGAGTAGCATTTTGTGTATGGCCCCGCTTTGGCCTTGATCCTTGTATGTGTCAGGTCGATATCTAGGAAGCCCATAATGCATTCGATGGCGGGGGATGCTTCTTCAATCGCCATGGGATGAAGAAACAAGGCCTCTAAGGGCTCATCAATTCGATCGATGTCTACGTGTAGGCCTTCTCGGAGGAGCAATGTGGCAAATTCCGTCAATTCGGCCATGGCGGTCTTCCATTCTGTCTATATTGTTATAATTAGTGATTTGTCCTTGAATTTCCGGGAAAAGATTACCTTGTCCAAGATGAAGTTTGCCCTATCGGCCTTGCGCTTTTCGCCACCACCATATCCATGCTCCAGCGTGTTCAACATGACTTTCTTCAACTCTTTGTAGCAGAATTTTGCTGAGAATACTTCTGATTGGTGGCTGTAGCGTACTCGTATCGCTGGTGTCCCAAATACTCTTACCGACCGCCATTTGGGATTCTCACTGGATTGTACTTTCAAATTCAGCGGGCCCCATGAATTGAATGGCCGTGACCTAGCATCCTGTTAAATTTTCTCTCAGGTCAGTACATAGTTCGAATATTCCATTGAAGAGAGAGCTATGAGAAACCCACGAGAGCGGCAACATCATTAAACTGTTTGAATGGCCCCGTAAGAACTGGTCCGGCGTGTTGCACAACGAGTTTCACAACATCTGCCCAGTTCTTTTGCTCAAAACGATGCATATAATGTGTCATCATGTCTAACATGACGCTGTCTTTGGACACCATGGATATTTCATCAGGTGGATTCAACTTCGTTCTGTTTGTTAGCAGTCTTCTTATATCATTGGGTACCATTGTTTCCTATCCATACCTGTCTGTCCGTAACTATCGGATCCCTCCACAAAGGCTCATTTGCGATGTAATTGCAGATCTTACTCATAAAGTCTCCGATATGCTGTGTAAGATCCGGGACCCTAGGCCTTTGTGCGTTGGGTTTGAACACATAGCGCTCGAGCTCCGCAACCCAGTCCCAAGTCTTGAGGAGGTTCGACGATGATTTGGAATCTGAAAATGACTGATCCACCCAGTAGATTATATGTTGCAGTACCTTCTTGGCGGGCTGCGCGACAAGGCGATTGGTTTGCCCAAAATCCTTCCTTTTTTATTCTATTAGCTGCAACCTGGAGAGTCATTGAGGAGAGAAGCACATATCATGAAGGACAGACGACACCCGGGTTTTTCTTCACGTTCGTATAAACTTTGCAGTATTCTGTGCCGGAAAGATGGATCAAGAACCCTGGTCTCTTCGTGTTAACAGACTCAGTGCCGGTAGAGAACTCTCGGCCGATCTCAGGCAAAGCCCATTCGCTGAACCATTTCTCATTCATCGCAAGAGCCCCCTTCAGCAGAAGACTCAGGGAAGTTATTGATGCGGAAACTGAGCCCCTCCTTAAACCATGCATTAAAGTCCACAGTAAGCTGTTCATGATACCGATCATGCAAATAGGTCCGGAACATCCGTCTTGCTAACATGCATCTTTCCAAGTCAAATCCATTGATAGTCAATATCCTTAAGCCGCCTGTCGGCCTGGGCCACGATCCTACAGGAACCGCTGGATCATATTCCACCACCAGACTGCTGAGATGAAAGACCCTTTTCAATTCCTGGAGAGTAGATCGGTGTATGGATGGTGAAAGATACGCATACTTCTCATCAACAAACAGAGGCACGCTGTACGCCGTTTTCCCACTTGTCTGCGGCCCCGTCCAACCGTTGCCACCGTAAAGGCTCACCAAAGCGGGGAAGAACCAGCATCCATACAGATCCGGCCATTGGGAAGTGAACCGCAAGTGGACTTCGATAATCTTCCCTCCGATAGACTCCACGTTCAACATACCAGTATATTTACCCAGGTGGGTCTCGATGAACTCGGCGACGTTTCGCTGCACATTCTCCTTATCCGTGGCATTGACCTCCCAGTAGTCGAACGTTTGGTCTATGCCCGGAACACCCATCGTGTGGCTAAACCAGACCGGTTTACCAGCGACAACCGCAATGTCCGTGCTATAGTGCGTCCCCGTCAATAAAGTACACCACATATGGCCCGGCGTTATGGACTGCCAGTATTCCTCCCGGGTACTGATAGTCCGTGCGCCTGTCCCCATTCCCCGGAGACTCAACAAGGGTTTGCTGAATATTGGATAAAGATCCTCATCTGGCTCAGTCGCGTGTGGCCCGCACTTGATCCCTTGTAACTCGGCGACTGTAAGCTTGTTATAGACCCAGCGGAACTCCGGGTAGAGCTGGTACGCTTGAGAGTTGGTGGTCGGAATTATACATTCAGGTGGACAATGCACTGATTCAGCAAATTGGTTGCGCTCCGGGGGGTAAAATTGTATCGGCATATTAATTGATTATGTATCAACCAGAGATTGATAGGCACCAAGAAAAGAAAGAAAGAATTGCCGTGGGTTCGATTACAGTCAACAAGGGAGGCTTTCTTGCCGTAGGCAGGCGTTAGCCAAACACTAATGCCTGTAGTTAAGGGCAAGCATATTTATTTTAAGCTAAACATGGCTTAGGACATAGCATGTAACAGTAGCAACCGACTTCCTCAAGTAACGCTGTCATTGAGTATGCGCCAAGGGAACCTTTCCACTGGGTGTGTAGCATAAAGAATGATTGGTGTAAGAATATAATTTGCGTCATGACGTAGAGGAAGGAGAAAGTTTAATAAATTGCACTTATTAAGCAGGAGTGTCGCATAGGTTAACACTAGACCATTGTTTTGACCGGATGTGGCCATCTGTCAGGGCCATTCCGCAAACGGATGATGTCAACGGTCTGGGCTAACCCTAACCATTTTAACACATCGCAAGGGCACGGGAATTTCTGGACATCAAAAGCTATTCCTGCATTAGAGCGTAGTGAGCGGCTACGCAGGATTATCCAGGGTAGTCGTGAATGGGTTACAATTATTGAAACCGTCAGTTCAAAAGGTATATATATATATATACTATTAATCATTATACTCAAAGCAGGCAATCAACAGAGCCCATGGTTTAAGGATTTAAGCTTGCTAGAGACTGGTGGATTGTACATAACTACTAGCTAAAATGGCTGGACTACTAATGAAATAGGTCTTTTTTGGCTAATGAATGTAGGCGCTTTATGACTGGTGCTAAGTAGTTACTTATTTTTAATAGTTATAGTAGTTATTTAACTGCTGAATTGGATGATTTTTGTAATAATATATCTTTGTATACCTACTCATTTTTCGTGTCTTCTTCAGCCGCTTGATATGGGTGCTTTTAGCCCGCTTAAACGCGCATACGGAAAGCTGCTTGAAGGGTGTATAGTTGCAGGTAAAAACTACTAGACACACGGGCTTGAAATTTTACTTCTATTTATATCTATAATCGCTTCGCAGGGGCGGAGATTAAGCTATTGGATTGAGAATATTCTCTTTTGAACTTATCTTATAACTACGTACGCCCACACCTACATCCGTACTATTGTTAGTTTGTCACCGGGCGCTTTTGGAGTCGCAGCGGGTGAGCTCGCCCCAACGCAGTATGGCACTATATATGGCAGAATTCCATGTTAGTCTTTTGGCTCATGTGGGAGAGTAGACCATCCACTACCCCCCTTACAAGTACTAAATAAAAGCTTTCTAGTAGTCTAGTTACTTCTATTTAATATCTTAAAAAGGCTGCTTAAATAGCGATACAAACCAATCTTCTTTTACAACCAGAAATTGCGGCAGTACCTTGTTATTCCTATTCAGGCTTAGCCTGTTCAAATTCTGCTTAGCGAAGGTCAGGCGGGTAAGGTGAGGACCCTCCTCCGCTCTAAGACTGTCTGACAGTCTTGCACCTACCTTCGATTTAGAGATCACTCGATCGACTGATCACAATCGCACCGGACAAGAGGAGTCCCGACCAGGCCTTTCCTCGGTTGAGCCTCATGGAATCGGCTCAACTATGATAGAAACTCTTGGAACGCGAACGACAGGCCGAATCGCCGAGCCGAGACCTCCAGCGGCCCTTCATCCCACTCATCAGACTACTAGTAGTTAGGCAGTTGTTTAGTGCGGGACAAGAGCACAGTCCCCGCCGAAGCAATGACTACAATACGGAGTAAGGCGCGGAGGACAGCATTCCTGTTCCCCATTCAAGTGGATCTTGCTGTTGGCAATGCATCCACTGTTTCAATGCGGCATTTTCAACGATTTCAACTCCATATGTGGCTTGATGCTGTGTCGTGACTGGGCGAATTGTGCGCGTGGTTGTATGCTGGCGTCATGACCATCGTGAGGTTGGACTCGGGTCTATAGGAAAACCGAGTACGATGACTATCCACTTCAGCGTCTCAGCGAGACTTTCTCGTCCGAAAGACGACATCTAAGGAATCGCGAAGATCCCCCGCCTCTATCCCCATGCTCCGAGCCCGTCGGTCCGTGGATCGGTATAAATTGGGCAGACTCCCTCGTCTATAGCATCCTATCCGTCTTTCCTGATACCAATCTACCCTGATCTCATACCCTTCTTACGGTTAATTCTCGGCGAAACTACCCATCATGGCCGCCAGTCCCATCCAAAACGGCCATTTCGTTCACAACAACACTACGGCCCCCGAGCCCTCTGGCCTACTGAGCTTGTTCTCCCTGAAAGGCAAAACCGCCATTATCACTGGTGCCGGTGCCGGAATTGGCCTTGCCGTGGCTCAGGGTCTCGCGGAAGCCGGAGCCAACGTGGCGTTGTGGTACAACACCAATGACAAATGCCACGAGCGTGCTGCTGAAATTGCTGCTAAATATGGTGTACAGGGTACGTTGTCTGGATTTTTTGCGCTTCTAGCTAGCACACAGCAGTCCAATTCTAACCCAAAGAACTATAGCCAAGGCCTACAAAGTCAACACGACCGACCCCGCAGCCGTTGAATCTGCCGTCAACACCTGCGCAAAGGACCTCAACGGTCGTCTCGACATCCTCATTGCCAATGCCGGTGTCCCCTGGACTAAGGGACCTATGGTGGACGGCCCTCTCGACCACTACAGCCAGGTCGTCGACATCAACCTGAACAGCACCTTCTACTGCGCCAAATACGCTGCTGCCCACTGGCGCCGACAGAAGGAGGAAGGCACTGACCTTAACGGCAACCCACTCACAAACTTCACTTACGGCAGCTTCGTGGCCACTGCCTCGATGAGTGGACATATTGTCAACTTCCCCCAGCTGCAGAGTGCCTACAATGCTGCGAAGAGCGGAGTGATTCACCTGTGCAAGTCGCTGGCCGTGGAGTGGGTCCGATATGCCAGAGCGAACTCAGTATCACCGGGATACATTGTCACTGAAATCTCCAATTTCGTGCCGCAGGAGACCAAGGATATCTGGAAGGATAAGATTCCGATGGGCAGAGAGGGTGAGGTGGGTGAGTTGAAGGGAGCGTACTTGTACCTGGCATCGGATGCGTCGAGCTATACTACTGGAGCGGATCTGGTGGTTGATGGAGGATACACTTTGCCATAGATAAATCATTGATGAATGACGAATGAATTCCACTATACTTTGTGGCGTGCCGATAGAGCTGATTTGGGATTTGTTTATTGTAATCCATTTTGATTGAATTCAGTACTTCGGTAAGAAACGAGAATCAATACAGTATTCACCGTCTCACTGGCTGATACGGAAACTAGTCCCGATCCCTAGAGACCACTACACGGCGTACGGTGTAGTTCCGGTCTATCTTACTTCGTTCTAGATCCGAAGTAAACCCGCAGATTCAATCTGAGAACATGACATCATATCGTTCTTCGACCTTCCCCCTTCACTCCGAGGGCCGTGCACGACGAGCCTAAGCCCAATATGGCTAGATCACCCGTGTCAGGCTCGGTCCTCGGAGATTCGGCGGTACCGCCTCGCACTTCCGCATTTGGTGCGAATTGGCGCTGCTTTTGCCCGCTCACAAACTCGAGGACACTCCGTTCGGATTGGTAATCCCCGCTGTCATTCTCCCCTGGAGACCCAGACCCAATCTATCCTCTTTCGGCTTCTTGCTCTCGTGATATCATCCTCTTCTTGCTGGCATTTTACCTGCATGTTAATTTACGCGCAGTTCCGCTCTTCACCACTATTATGATCTGACCGACAACTACCTCGCCATGTCTTCGTGCCGTGGGCTCATTCGAGTCCTGTTTGTTGTCGCCCTCTTTGCGATCCTAGCCTCCTCCGAACACACCTCGAACTGGGCCGTTCTCGTCTCAACTTCACGATTCTGGTTTAACTATCGCCACCTCGCCAATGTCCTCTCCTTGTACCGTACCGTGAAGCGCCTCGGGATTCCCGACTCCCAGATCATCCTCATGCTGCCCGACGACATGGCCTGCAACCCGCGAAACGCCTTCCCGGGAACGGTCTACAGCAACGCCGACCGCGCGGTGGACCTATATGGAGACAATATCGAGGTGGACTATCGCGGCTACGAAGTGACGGTGGAGAACTTCATCCGTCTTCTGACCGACCGGCTGGACGAGGACGTGCCGCGCAGCAAACGCCTCGGGTCCGATGCCGGCAGTAACGTGCTCGTCTACATGACCGGGCACGGCGGCGACCAGTTCCTGAAGTTCCAGGACTCGGAGGAAATTGGGGCGTGGGATCTGGCGGACGCTTTTGGTCAGATGTGGGAGAAGAAACGCTACCACGAACTGCTGTTCATGATCGATACCTGCCAGGCCAATACCATGTACACGCATTTCTACTCGCCCAACATCGTGGCGACCGGTTCCAGCGAGCTGGATCAATCGTCGTACTCGCACCACGCTGATAACGATGTGGGCGTTGCTGTCATCGATCGCTGGACGTACTACGTGCTCGAGTTCCTCGAGACCCAGGTGACCAGCGCCAACTCTAAACTCAATCTGGGTGATCTGTTCGACTCGTATGACGAATCCAAGATCCATTCGCAGCCTGGTGTGCGGTGGGACCTCTTCCCTGGTGGTGAGCAGGAAGGTCGTCTACGGACCGTGGTGGATTTCTTCGGCAACGTTCAGAATGTCGAGGTGGAGAATACCAATTCGAACGACCCGGGGTCCTTGAAGGAGGATCTTATCGAAATCGCACGACTCGTCGAGAAATGGCGGTCACGGGATCGGGAATATCTCGCCCAGCGCAACGAGAGCAACACTGAAGTACCGTCGTCTGACTCTGAACCGCCGTCTGCCTCTGTGCAACTCCAGAAGAAGAACGTTACGCCCGCGAAAATGACCGAAGAAACGATCTGGGAGAAGCGATTCATCGGGGCTTCAGTTTTGGGTGTTTGTGCTGCTGTCTGGCTGACCGGGTCGTTCTTGGGTGGATCGGCCTGATCATTGCCCGATCATGCATTATATATAGTCTTCGTTTCTTCCTGTGTTGGCATTTACATGATTTGCACCTGTAGTTGTTTCTTTTCTACCATGCGTGTACATCAACTGCAGCCTTGTCTGATGCATTACAAGTCAGGATCGGGTTAGAGTTTGGCGTTGGCGTTCGATACCATTTGGTTTTGTCTTGATATATCTCTCTACAACACTTCCCTTAGAAATTTCCACAATGCACTAATAGGCTAAACAATCAATTGATAGACAATAGACCAACAATATAAGGTTGGGCTGGTGCGCGATTCAGGCTAGATCTGAATCTCTAGGTTCTTCCTTGTGTATAGCCATAGCCACAGGTAGTTCCCTGACCATTGCGCTGATGGTGAATTCCTTCTCTATACCCCAAGTCCCCGGTCCATACCGCTTCTCCACCACAGTGACGAATCCCTTCTTTGCCCAATACGAGGCAGTGATCTCTTTGACTACCTTGACCATGATCTTGATCGGCCTGGGGGGTGAGGTTTTCTCCGCAATTGCCGATCCTGCTTCTGGCTGAAGTGACAAGTACTCTCCAGCAATCCACTTCTGAAGAATGGCCTGCTCACAAGCGTCCACCAGTTTATCCGCAATCCCTCTCCCTCTAAACTCATCGCTTGGCTTCACAGCAACAATCGCGGCCTCGAAGTCCCCGTCAACGGATAGCTCATCATCTGCGCTCGGATCTAGATCCGACTCGGTACTGTGTCGAACAGGGTTCCAGATTTTACCACCCTCCCAGGCCTTGATACTGGCCGTGCCGATCGCCTGTCCTGGTGTCCTCGTTGCATCGGTGGTAGTTTCGTCTGCATTGCCGGGGTGATGAAAGTACACAGCCGTTAGACTTGACGGGCCTAGTTCGTCGATCAATTGACCCGGCTGCTCCAGGCGGAGGCCGGTCCGGCCCAGTGGGTGACTTGCCTGGACCAGGAAGCTTTCGTTGATGAGTTCACTGAGCTCGTCCACTAGGGCCGGTTGCTGGCTGAGTTGGGAGGATGTGTAGATTTTGATTGTATAGGGGGTTGTTGTTGGGGGTGGAGGAGGGGCCATCGTTAGATGTTTGTATCAATCTTTCGTGTTTTGAGAGAATTCAAGAATGAAAAGAGGGTTCTGTTGATATTTTCACCGTTAAGTGCAATATCCACAGGTGTGAGTCATGGCGACATATGGGCCTTTATAGTTAGTCCATGTTCCGTGTTCCGACGAGCAGGACTGGGCCATTTTGGCTGTGTTGTTGAAAGGGCGTAGACTAAGAGCTACTAGTCTAGTTCTGTTGTATTGGAGATTAGCAGGAGACAACTATAGGATGTTGCCCTTTTTAACCGCTAATTAACATCTTTTCGCCGAGAGATATGTTCGCTGTCTGTGGGGGTTCCGTGAACTGACGACTGCTGCGATAGGCCTATAATTTCAGTAATTTGACAGGCTTTGTGATATCATAAAAATTTATCTTCTCTCTAACAATTTCGGACATTGATGTAGATTTAGTAGTAGTTATACTCAATCTTAGAGTGTCCGACGAAATGAAGTCTGGTTCGCGACAGGCTGTGAGAGGCTCCACATCGACAGGACCTGTCACAAAAGGTTCTGCAGAACATGTCGCCGCGCAGAGACCTCAGATAATCCCTATTTGGTATCTGCAAATCTTCAAAAATCTCCATCGAACAGATCGCGAGGAGTTTTGCAAGCAAAAAGCAAAAAGACGAGTAATCGCGAGTGGATGATTCGAGGCTTGGCACGGGACTCCGCACGTGCCTGGACGCGTCGGGGAAGCGCGACGGAATTGGTTACTTTTGCTCTCTCTCCACCATCACCGACTCGATCATCGCGGGCTTGCTTTGTTTTTACGCTGCGGAGTAGGGCCTCGCGGAGGGCTTGCCTTGTCTGATTTGTTTGCTATCATTCGAAAATCTAGTTATCTCCTCGGTCCCTCTCCGTTTTGTTCGCCCTTTCTGCCTTCATCCCTGCGTTGGCCGGCCATGTATCTACCGCGCCAGCTAATATCGCATCTCTACCTCCAACTTCTCCAATCGCACCATCCACTGTCGCCACCCGTTCTGATTCTCGTGGCCCTCGAACCAGACGCCCTCTGCGCCTGTCGCATCCTCACGGCCCTTCTCAAACGCGACTATATCCCGCATAAGATCCAGCCAGTAGCCGGATATGGAGATCTCGCCCGCGCGGGGGAGGAGCTGGTCAAACCCATGCAGACCACTCACGGTGGGAGCGGCGGCGTGGTGATCTGCCTTGGTGCTGGAGGTCTGGTAGACCTCAGTGAGATCTTGTGTCTCGGGAACCCCGAGGATGAGGTCGAAGATATGGGAGGGGTAGAGGTGTGGGTGTTTGACGCGCGACGGCCGTGGAACTTGGCCAATGTATTCGGCGGCGAGACCAGTGGAGGACAGAATGGGAATGATACGGCTACTTTGCGGCGGAATACGCGCGGTGTGGACAAAGGCCGCATCACCCCTTCGTTTCGCGCGGGGAAGGGCGGCATTGTCGTTTACGACGATGGGGATATTGAAGATGAAATGGCCAAGGAGCGGGAAGCGTATTGCGCGCTGCTGGAAATGCCGGAAGTGGACGATGACGAGGAGGATCTTGACGAGTCGGCGAGTGAAGACGAGACCGAACGTCTGTCTAGCTCGGGTTCGAAAAAGCGCAAGTCGTGGCAAAGGGAGGACGATGACGACGAGTCCGAAGATGAGGATGGGCCGCCTCGACAGCGGAGGAGGAGCAATTCGGTGGGTTCCATTTAACCTCTACAAAATGGCATGCTAATCATACTATTCTAGGGTTCCTCCATGGTCTTCTCTCCCCACAAACGAAGGATCGGCCACGACTCCTCTAACTCGTCACGCTCCGTCACTCCAACCTCGCAATCCCCGTCACCCAAACAGCCGAAGCAGCCTTCGGCACGATCATTGAAGCGGCGACTGCTCCAGATGAAGCGAAAGCACGAGGGCGTGCTGCGGGAATATTATTCCTCGGGTACGTCATACGCGGAACCTATATCCTCTTTGGTGTACTCCCTTGCATCCGAACTAGGCCGGGAAGACAACGACCTACTTTGGCTAGCCATCATTGGCGCTTCTAGCTTGGAGCTGAGTGGTCGTACAATGTCCGGTGTTGGCATCTCGAACGCATCAGAAACGGGGGGGTTAGCCGGCTGGGGCGGAGAAAGGGGTGAACAGATCCGCCAAATACTCCGAGATGAGGTTCACCGATTGAATCCTCCTGATCCTTACGAACGAGATCGCGATATACGGGGTGAGATCAACGGCGTCATCCCTACCACTGCCAGGTCACCGACAGACAAAGCCATTCGACTATCGCCGGAGCCTCGGTTCATCCTCATCAGACACTGGTCTCTTTATGAGAGTATGCTTCACAGTCCGTACCTGGCCTCACGACTACATGTGTGGACCGAGAACGGCCGGAAACGACTCCACAAGCTGCTAGCAAAGATGGGAATCAGTCTCAGCCAGTGCCACCAGAACTACACGCATATGGATATGGAATTGAAGAGGGTGCTGCGACAACGACTGCTCAAATATGCGCCTATGTACGGATTGAACGGATTGGTCCCTGCCGAGGCATCTGGACATGCCGCTTCCCGGGAGGGATGGGGTTTTGTGCGGTGCTGGGGCTGGAAGGCCTGCCTCTCTGCCACAGATGTTGGCGTTATCGTGAGCGCTATACTGGAGGTTGGGCCCGAGGAGGCCCCTGGATCGTGGGACTCGAAGCGCATACGATCCCGAAGCGCAGCCGAGTCCAATCATGCCGACGGAACGACCGAGTCAGACCTAGCGAGTCTCTTGCCCCGATTTTGGAGCGCATATGATGCCCTTTCCCTCACGTCCGAGTCCCCGACGCTTCTGCTAGAATCGCTTCCGCTAGCTCAGCATCTTCATCGGGCTATCCTGCGCACTGGCACGTCACTCCTCTCGAAGTATCAGATCCGCCATCTGCGGGCTTTCCGCATCGCTGTCGTCAAAGACGGACCCGATGTGAAACTTTTCACCAACCCCGGAGCATTGACCAAATTGGCCTTGTGGATTGCCGAGGCTATCAAGGTTCAGGAGCGCGAGCGAGGTGATACCGTCAAAGTCGGGCGGAAGAGGGCTACCGGCACGCCTCTCGTCCTGGCCGGACTGGACGAAGACCGCGGGCTTTATGTCGTAGTGGGCACCGGTGGAGGTGGCGGCGTGATCGACTACGCTGCCTTGAACAAACGCCGCGAAGAGCGCAAGAAGAAGAAGGAAGAGAAAGAGAAGAAGCGGAAGGAAAAGGAAGAGCGACGGGCGAAACGTGCAGCTGAGAAAGCCGCACGAGAGGAGGATGAGGACGAAGAAGAAGAAACCGAAGAAGAGGATTCGTCTGAATCCGAATCTGAGTCGGAAGACGAGCAAGAGGCCCGCAGTAATTCTTATCTCCTCCGCAATCGATTTGGAATCGCCTTCCAAGAGGTTGTGCAGGAGACCAACACTCGAGTCCGGATTGATAGCTTCGAGCACTGTGTGGTCGAGGTGCAAAAGGAGGATCTTGGCGCATTTCTCGAAGCCCTGAGTTTCCGCAGCGTGGTGGGTTGATTCTTCTTTTGGATTGTGCAAAGGTATACAAACACACGTCCGTCGATACTTTTCCGTTTGTTTCCGTGGACGATGTCTAATCATTTTTCTCTTTTGTCTGCTTTTTCCCACCCTAAAAGACTTGATCAGGGGTGGGTGGATATAAGTGGTTCATCTTTCCAGTTTTCTTTGTCTTTCCCCATTTTTATTCATTCTCTTGAGCAATGCGTGGTATGAGGCTTGAGGAGTGCAAGGAACCGGCTTTTGCTTTTTGTTATTCACCGAGGGCTTCTCAAAAGGGAGGGTATGCGTAACGACAGCTTGGGATCTACTGTGGTCATTCTCTTTTTCTTTCCTTTTCTTCGTCTGATTTTTGTTTGGATTTGTCTGAGCTCCAGCATCTACACACTTGACCTTGAACCATAATGACCGGGTTGCATTATATTTCCCCACACATGTCACGGCGCTTGAGGTGTTTCTTTCATGGATTGTGTTTGCTGTTAGACATGTGGATAGCATGAGTTTTGCATTGGATAATCGAACTTGATTTGCACTGATTCTATACATTCGCTGTTCCCCCAGAGGGCTGATCTTTAGGGCTCGGCTTTCTCTCCGAAGCTCCCCGCATCTTCGGCTTCTCTTCGCGCTCTTCCTACTTAACCTCTTCTTCTCCCCTATTTGTCTTGAACATCAAGAGACACGAATCTATGAACAAACATCATGGCTTCTCAAGATTATCCGACTCTCCCCCGCCAACCCACACTCTCTCAACTGCCTCCCGAATACCCCACCGACGCTCAGGACCAAATCTCCCACGTCCTCTCCAACTCCAAGCTCAACCGTCTCGTCGTGCTCGACGACGACCCCACTGGCACGCAGACATGTCATGATATCTCCGTCCTCACCGTCTGGGACATCCCCACCCTAATCGACGAGTTCCGCCAGCCCTCCGCCGGCTTCTTCATCCTCACCAACTCGCGCGCCCTGTCCCCCGCGGACGCCGAGGTCCTGATCCGCACCATCTGCGAGAACGTCTCTCAAGCCGCCACAGCCACCAACCAGACGGTCGACATCGTCCTCCGCGGCGATAGTACCTTGCGCGGCCACTTCCCACTCGAGGCTGACGTCGCCACCACCGTCTTCGGCGCAACCGACGCCTGGGTCCTCGCGCCCTTCTTCTTCCAGGGCGGCCGCTTCACCATCAACGACGTGCACTACGTCGCGGAGGGCGAGAACTTGGTTCCCGCTGGTAAGACGCAGTTTGCGCAGGATGCTACCTTCGGCTACAAGAGCTCGAATTTACGGGACTATGTCCTTGAAAAGGCTCCCGGACGGTTCGACCCCAAACAGCAGCTCCATTCTGTCACTATCGACGAGATCCGCACGGGTGGTCCAGACGCGGTGTTTCGGAAACTGATGGCCCTGCCGAAGGGAGGCGTCGTGGTCGTCAATGCTGCTGCGGAGTCAGATATGCATGTTTTCGTGGCGGGCTTGCTACTAGGTATGTCTCCCTTTTCCTCCTCTCGACTTACCCACATATCTACCCCCTAAGACACGCCTAAACTAACGGGATACTTGAACCAAAAAAGCCGAAGCTCAAGGAAAACACTATCTCTACCGCACAGGCGCCGCCTTCGTCTCGACCCGTCTCGGCATCCGCTCCAAACCCCCTATCTCAGCCAGAGACCTGCACCTCCCCAACCCGCGCACAACAGGCGGCCTAATCCTCGCAGGCTCCTACGTGCCCAAGACAACCGCGCAACTGAAGGAGCTGGTAGACCGACGTGGTGCTTCTGATCTCGCCATCATCGAAATCAACGTCGAAGATCTAATCGCGGCTTCGACGTCTTCGAACAGTACCGCAACAGCAGAAATTATAAACCAGGTCGTGCGCGACACAGAGCGAAATCTATCCGCGGGAAGAGATACGTTGGTCATGACGAGTCGGAAGCTGATTACCGGCGAGGACGAGCTTTCGTCGTTGCGTGTGGGCTCGAAAGTCGCGGAGGCGTTGGTGGATGTGTTACGGGGGGTGGAGGTGAGGCCGAGATATGTTATTGCGAAGGTTTGTCTATTGGCTCTACTCAGTCCTCTTATACTTCTTCAATTGCTTCACCGTGTTCTTGGTGTTGCTGTTACTTGCATTGAACAGATGGACTTGATACTAACCAGCATGATCACTAGGGCGGAATCACCTCCTCCGACGCAGCCACGAAAGGCCTAAACGTGAAACGAGCTCTAATAGTCGGACAAGCCGCGCCCGGCGTCCCTCTATGGCGATGCGACGAGCCGACCTCGCGCCATCGCGGGGTTCCCTTCGTAGTGTTTCCGGGAAATGTAGGTGGCGAGACGACATTACGTGATTTGGTGGAGGCGTGGAGTTAAGGTATCTTTCAACGGTCATTATGTATACTCAAGGAGGTGGACCACGATAGATAGATAGCGATGCGATGTGATGTTTTTTACGTGAGATCAATTCTGGTGACCCGTAGGCCACGGAAATGAGTACCTTCATTCGACTAATCCTAACTGGCACATACACCAGACTAAAAACTGGACAAGCCAGATGGGGGAGATGATATGTACACCTGCGTACAGTGTAGACCAAAAACCCACCCGCGCAAAAAAAAGCGATAAAGCAGGGGGAGATAAAAAAAAAAGGAAAAGAATAACTAACGAGGGAGAGCCACAGGTGCGGTGCATGTGCCTCCTGGACGATTATCATGGACGCCTCTAAATAGATCCGTTTGTCCCGGGAAGAAAAACTAAAAGAAAATGCAAAGAACGATGTAATGGTCGCATATGAGAATCGAAAAGACGGCATAAGAAGAGAGGAAAAAGAATAAGTGAGAAAGAATGAGGGGAATAGAAACCAACCTTGAAGTCCTGACCATAGTTGTATAGTTTCATCGCATATTGGGCGAGTTCGCTAGATCACAACAGTATGTTCAGTCAGAATCAGCGGAAGGAATTTTTTGTTCTTTTTTTCTCTTATCATTACTACATGTTTTTCGTCCGGTCGGAGATATCTGGGACTTCGACGGCGTATTTGTTTGTCGGGCATCTCCGCTCACGACAAGGATGGGGACCGGCCCCGACACGGTTTGTTGGTACAGCTTCGTTCGAAAGCTCGATTCTCAGGCAGGGGTGACCTGGTTGTTCACTCCGTTGACAGGGACCTGTCGCTTCGCAGCTGGTTGCGAGGAATCCTGTGAAATAGTTGATATCAGTTATACCCAGACCCTAGGACTCGGAAAAGTATCACGCCGCATATGCAGTTTCGAATTCCGTCTGGGGTGGTTCGCTGCTTCGTGATTTCTTGGTTATCTTGCAAGTACTTACGTCTAGTTGTTCAATGCCGCGCTTCTGGGCGGTTGCTTCGGATTTCTTGATGACCTTCTTTTTGGGCCGGGTAGGTCGGGTCTCCCCGGGTTCGAAAACATCATCTGGCAGGTCAAAGCTGGGAGATAGTTAGAATGCTCCTATCTTAATAAATAGGAGAGAAACTTACTTGCGGACGTGGGTGATCGCCAGGTCGTTGATGCCGGGCTGATATCCGGGCCACGAAGTGCACATTGATTTGAAGATCTGGGCGTCGGTGGAAATATCCAATGACCGAGACGAACCTGCCAAAGTCAGACGAATCATGACGGGAAGGCGACTAACATACCTGGCTCCAACGGCTTCAGCTCCAGTCCAATGTAATAGGTCGTGGTGTAGATGGTCGAGGAAAATCCGGGCGTCTTCTCGACGGTTTCGACCACCTCTTTCTTCTCCAGGCCATTTTCTGCGGCGACCTGGTGGGCAGGATCTTTGATTTCATCGGTAGTCTCTGTTTTGGTGCCTTTATCCTGGTACTTTGTGGATCCATTCTTGACGGCCTCCGCCTCCTGTTCATTGCTAACAATGTGAACTCTCTCAAATCCCTTGGGGAACGGGTGGGACACTGCGATGGTTTGTTTCCGGTCCAGAGCTCCAACCATATGTCGAATCTTGGATTCAACCAGACCAGACCAGACGGACTCCGTTTCCTTCGTTTTGCTGGATGCGGTGATGCTGAGGTAATACTTGTAGTCGCGCGTAAAAAAAGAATGCCGGGTAAACAAGTCATTCCAGGTTGCTTGTTTCAAAAATATCTTGTCGACAATATCACCTCCACGCTGAAGTTCGCGGAGAATGACTGCCTTGGTGGACAACGAGATGTTGTGAGTCGCGCACATGGATGGGTAGGCGGGCGTGATGATGGGCATCAAATGGAATCGATCGCCATGGTAGATCTGCATTCAATTAATCCAAGTCCTGGGGTCGTGGTATCCGCGTATGTCCTACTTTGGGGTTCCAAACTTTCATCTGGAGAGGTCCATCTTCGATCGGTTTCAATAGCACGGGCTGCGGCCAGGCCCACTTGTTCATGATCCGGAAGAATTTCCCGACAATGACCGAGCCGGTCGCTTGGGGATAGAGCTGGCACACTCTTGCAACCAGCATTGCCCAAGCGACACCACCGGGGAAACCAACAATGTTGGCATAGATAGCTCGCCCTGTTTATACCGCAGCGTTAGCTTCTACCACGGTCGTTGAGGAACATCAAGAGGATGCTTACGTTGCGCCCACAACTTGATAGCACGTAGCGCGAAACGGAAAGTCTTCTGCTGGGGAACCAGCTCCAGAATTTCGTCTGTGACACGGGTTCCGTTCAGCGATCGGACCTCCTTCTCATCCAGGCCCCTCAGGTAGTCATTGTTCTTCAGGTCCAGGTTGAGAGGTATCGATGGGACGATAAGACGGGCGAAAATCAAATCGATACTAATGCCGGACAGTTCTAGCTTGATGAGCGGGACAAAGGCATCTGGCACGGGGGTTATCTTCTCGATGGCCCCTTGCGGGGCCAGTCTTTCAAGAACGGGAGGGAAGTCCGCAAAGAAATCCTCGATCACGACGTGCTTCGGTCCAAGAACAAGGGTATCGATATCGGATCCTGTCGCACAAAGCCTTCGTTAGCGTCGCAGCCCCAGCCATCGGATTGAGGAGTCGCGGGCGACCTACCCGGTCCGTACACGCCCAGCCGATAACTTCCATATGTGAAGATCTTTCCACCCGCGGCCTCGACCGCGGCAGGCGATAATCCCTTTTTGCGACTGACAAGCTTGACAAATTCGAGGGCGCACCGCTGTAGGAGCTGAAGGACTTGCTTTCTAAATTATCGGTGCATTAGCGCTCGCAAGGAGAAGAAAAGGGGTGGAATAGAGGAAGAGGCTGGGATAGGTCCAACAACCGCCCTCACCTTTGTTCCGTCTCCGTCGGGCTTTCGAAGTTGTTCTGAAGCTTCAGTTCTGCGATCAAATCATCATTTGCGGCGAGCTCATCTTGGGTAGGTAGAGCAGCAGATATGGGGGGCGTGACTCCCCACTGTCGAGCTGTAGAAGCGGCCATTATCTATCGTCGGGCTGGAAGATCGGTTACAGGAAGGATCATGCGGTTGCGCAAGCAGCGGCTAGATAAATCGACAGGGAAGCTGGCAACGAGTGACAAAGGAAACAACAAGGAAACACCAAACTAGAATCAAAGAACAATGAAAGGCCCGACAAGTCAAACAAAAGAAGAAGAAAAGAAAATGCCAGGAGAAAGGAAAGGAGCAGATGGAGAGGCTACGAAGAGCTTGAGTGAAGTGGAGGACGATTGATAACTGGCGATGGCCGATCGGAGTCTTGGCTGGCTGACTCAGCCACAGTCACCTGACCCTTCTCTCACTCTACCAGAGTATTCAGTATCGATTCATTCATGGATTCATTCTTCCTTATTCATTCATCCATTACTCCGTACATCAATTCACTTTTCCGCTCTCAAGTTTTCAGGTCCTTGCCTGCCTGTACCATCTCCTCCACGGAAGAGCCCAGCTCATTTGCCTCAAAGAATTCCCGTAATCGCTCATCAATCCACTTCACGTCCACCTTGCTATCTCCGGGGCCTCCAGCCCAGTCTGTAATGATGTCAATTAGTACAAACTCACTGACAAAACTATCATGATACTTACGGCCCCAAACGGAGGGAATGACACGAAGTGTACCGATTCCTGGTTTCATGCACGCCACCTCATTTTCGGAGTCCTCCGGACTGTCATCACCCGTTAGCTACCAGGGATGAAGCAGCGCAGATGGGATCTGACTCACGGAAAATAAAGATCGGTCTTTGCAGGCATGACAAGTATTTTGGCTCGGATTGAAGCCATGGCCTTTTCAAAGTCACCATTGTAGGGCGCTTGTCGAGATACGTCCCCATTCTGCCATGTCTGCAGCATGGTCAAAAGATTCTCCGGATCTGCAAACGTCTCCATCAGTCAGGATCTATGATCACGTCTTTTCTGCGGTGCTGAGGTCCTACCTTTACTCAGGGCCCAAGCTTCCCAGAAGTTTTGTAGAAAGTTCTCCAACCCCTTGAAACCCAATACGGTTTCGTACAGCTTTTGCCGATAAAAGGTCTGACTGAAACCCCTGCGATGAGGTTAGTCTCTCATGTTCGACCTCTGGATGGGCTCAAGTCAATCCTCACCAGCCTGCATATCCCCTAGCGAATGCTTTCAATCCAATTTGTCTCTCGTTATCACTCCAAGCTGTCAAAGTCTGGGTCTCCTCCAACAAACGCCCCTTTCCCGAGCCAGCAGACGAGAGATGCTTAGCCGCCAATAGAGCGGTTTTCTCGCCCTCCAAGAAGACCTGGTTATGTAACGCGGTGCGAGCAGAACCGCAGAACGGGACCACCAGATCCATCATGTCGGGATACTGGGTAGCCCATTGGTAGCTCTGGGCGGCGCCCATGGACCATCCTATCACGGCGCGGAGGTGGCCGATGCGCAGATGCTGCGTGACTAGGGCATGCTGGGCCCGAACGTTGTCGTAGAAGGATACTGTCGGGAAGGGACGGGGACCGGGGTAGTTCGAGGGGGAGGTGGACTGACCGTTGCCGAACAGTGCGGGGATGACGATAAAGTACTTCTGCGGGTTCAGCGTCTTGTCCTCCCCCACCAGCCAGTAGTTGTCGGAGATCACTGCGTCGTGTCACCTATTAGTTTCTCTCGCTCGTATGATGGTCTCGAGAAAACGTACAGCCCGAGAACCAGGTCGGATAGACAATGGCGGGGAATTTGGGGTCTCCAAAGGTCTTGAAAGCGATATGCGCGTCGGTGATGGTCTCTCCGCTTTGGAGCTCCCAGTCTCCAAGCTTGAAGATCTCATAGTCGGGCTGGGCCATGGTAGTGCTGGAATGGGACAACTGAGACTGCGGCTTGATGTCGGGGAGATAAGAAAGCAGCATTGAACCCCCGCTCGTATTTATAAGATTCCATGATCGCTCTCAGGTGATTGCGCAAGTCGAGGCTAGTCGAACAGAAGGACTGGTCCAGCCCGCTCATGTGATCGTAACCTTAAAAAAAAGCGACAGATCCAAGAAGTGCTTCATCCATCGGTTGGACCATGAATAGTAAATCAATGATCTCCGCCCGAGCATCAACCTGTACGGAGTAGAGATCATCCATCAGCATCTCTCCGAGCAGTATCTCCATCCCAAAGAGGAAACTAGGGCAGGCTTCTAGGGCACCGTCTCCGCCCATCACCGCCCGCATCACGTGGTCTTCCCAGGCGGTGAGATACTGCCTTGTGGCCCAACGCATGACATAACGACCGGCCGACAGCGAATCCACCATGTGATGTGATGCCCAAGTTCTTCTTAAACTCATCCCATCCGGTTTTCGTTCTCTTTGAAGAGGCACTGTCATCTTTCGCATTCTATCAACTTCGTTCCTCATAGCTTCATCTGCTACACTGTACGGAGCACATCTATTACCTATAGTCTCTACCTATCGATCCATCCATCTATACCGCCCGATCGCGTGATCATTCGTCATCGGCATCGAAAGCGATTGCTCAATCTTTCTTGTACCTACTTCTATTTTATCCTCAGAACAATTTCTTTCCATTGAGCCTGCTATTGTGATCCTCTCAACCACCGCCAACACCAAAACACAACACAAACACCATGTGTATCGCATTAATATCCACCGCTCATCCATCCTACCCATTAATCGTCATCAACAACAGAGATGTATGTCCCTCCATCCACCTATCTCTCCCCCTCCCGTCAATCACCCGTCCAACTAACCCAAACAAAACAAAACAGGAATACCTCCACCGCCCAACCTCCCCGGCAAACTACTGGCCCCCGCCACACACCCACATCCTCGGCGGCCGCGACCTGGCACGAGCCACCCACGGCACATGGATGGGCGTGAGCACAGACGGCAAGATCGCCGTGCTAACCAACTACCGCGAAAAGACCTCCGACGAAGCCACAGGCAGCAAGTCCCGCGGGACGATCGTGAACAATTGGCTAACTCTACCTCCCGGGGAGCGGACCCCGACGCGCGACTTCGTCTCCGGGATGGTGAATAGTCCCGAGGCGAGGAATGTCGGTGGGTTTAGTCTTGTGTGTGGGTATGTGGGCGAGCCGTTGGCCATCGTGTCGAATCGGAGCGAGGATGTCGAGAGCGTGAGTTGGGTGGCGAATGGGAGGGGCGAGACGAGGGGACTGAGTAATACGACGTTTGAGGATCGGTCGTGGCCGAAGATCTTGGATGGGGAGAGGTTGATGGAGGAGGTTATTGGGAGGCATTCTGGTGCTGCTGGGGAGGAGGACAAATTGATCGATGGGTTTTTGGACCTGCTAAGCAAAAATACCCTGCCGGAGCTTGGGGAGGATGCGACGGCGGAGGATTATCTGCCGTTCTTCCGGCAGAGTATCTTCATTCCGTTGCTGGGGAGGAAGGAGGACGAGGCGAGGGCGGCTGCGCGGGGGTCGGAGGTCGGTGGCGATGACTCGTTGGATCGGAGTTATTTGCACGGGTCGTATGGGACGCAGAAGCAAACGGTGATCCTGGTGCGGCAAGATGGCACGGTGAAGTATTTCGAGCGGACGCTATATGACAATGATGCGAAGCCCGTGCCGACTGGGGAGGGGGATCGGTCATTCGAATTCGAGGTGTCGAAATCGGGGTGAAATTGTCCTGTCTATAACCTGACCTTTATCTTTTGGAACTACGGGATGTGATACCAACGAAAGTGATGTTTCTTATGAATGATATGGATTCTATGATCAAGTTATCCTTGATAAAAGGGATCAGTAGAGCGGAACTATATACAACGGTCTTTTGATCCGCTCCTGCGTCTTAACGATGCAAAGTACACTGCATTGAATCTGACTCTGCACAGTCACCCCAATCTTCCCCGTGGTCTATAATCTAAACACACTGGTGGTAGTAGGGGTTCTGCTTAACGCAGGTGTAAGGGCTCTCACACTGCGTGCTGCCGGTCCAGTTGATACCGCCGCACTGGTAGTAGTGAGCCACCACGCCGGCAGAGCCACTAGGAGCAGCGCTGCTGCTGGTAGCGGCGCCGCAGCTGCCGGGAACAACGGAAGAGGTGCTGGCGGGGAGAGTCTGGAACGAGGAGGGGGCGCTGCTCACGGGGACGGCGGCAGCATCGGAGGACTGAGCGGACTGAGCGGTCGAGGCCGTGGGGGCAGGGGCCTTGTACTGAGCAGTCGGAGCCGAGAACGAGACGGGAGCGGTGGTCTTGACGGGGGCAGCGGCGGTGGTGGTCGAGGGCGCGGAGCTGACGCTGGTGGTGGCACTGGCGTCGGACGAAGCAGAGGCGGTAGCGGAGGCAGAGGCAGAGGCCGACGAGGAGGCACTGCCATTGACGAAGTACTTCTTCAGGATGGGCAGGTAGGTGTCATGCGCGGGGCCAGTCTCGGGCTCCAGGCTGTACATGTAGCTTCCCCACCAGGGACCGGCGGACCACCATTCGGCGCCGGTCCAGACGTCCGTGTTCTCCGACATGTAGGAGAGCAGGCCCTCGACGGCGGACTCGCAGTCGGCGTTAACACCGCCGGCGAACTCACCCAGGAAACCCTTCTTCTTGTTGGATTGCAGCCACTCGGTGGCGGTCTGCAGACGCTCCTTGCCGATGGTAGAGCTGGAGCAGGTCTCCGAGGTACCGGATCCGTCGGAGTCCAGGTACTGGTGCATCTCGTAGACGATCTTGTCCTGGGGATCGGTCAGGTCCTTGAGGTTGTCGTTGGTGGAGGCCCACTTCCAGGCGCCGCTGTACGAGTTGCCCTCGACGAAGATGTACTGGGTTTTGGCACCGGCGGCACGGATGCCATTGATGGCGGCTTGGTTGAGGCTCAGCACGAGGTCCTGATCCATGTCGTGGAACTCGTTGTCTGGGTATCCATTAGCACCATGCCTACTGAAGCTCACTGAGGATGTTGGCATACTGGTATCAAAGATGACCTTCTCGTTGGAGGCAAACTCTCCGGCAACGGTCTGCCAGAAAGCTTTAAAGTCCGAGGTGGAGGTAATGATACTTCCGGAGCTAGACTGCCTGTTAGCATTCCGCCCATCCAGGGCACTGGAGCAGAACATACTATCTTCCATAGTTATGAGGATCAAGAACCGCATAGGCACCGCTGTCGGTGATGGCAGCAACGGTCTACATCATTAGCCACTGCACACATAGTAATAACACCCTTAATATGCGACCGACTCACCGTCTTCAAGTCCTTCAGGTAGGTCGAGTCCGGAGTTCCGGTCATCTTGCTCGGAACCAGACGCTCCATGAGGAACGGGACACGGAAGATGTTCATGCCCTCCTTCCGCAGAGACTGGATCTTGGAGGTCTCGGGCCAGGTGTAGTCGGTGCCCAGGGTACCGGGGATGTTGGACTCGCCGAACTCAGCTCCGGATTCGCTAACACCGAACCCTGTCTCGAGTTAATACGGAGGCAAATAGCGGAAAGGATCGGAGAACATACAGGTGAAGCCGGCGTCGCGCTTCTTGATGTCACGCTTAGGGTAAGCGCTGACCAGGCCAGCGGCACTGGCGGCCATGATGAGGCTGGTAATTCTCATATTGGAAAAGAATGGAAAGGAGTGAAAGGTGAAAACGAATGTATGAACTTGCAAAAGGAGTGACAAGAACGAAAGGAAGAATCAAAAGAATGACAAGAAACCAGTCTTGAGTGTGATGATAGAAGAAAAAAAGAAAGAAAAGAGCTACCAACTCTCGCAGTCCGACTTCCCATCTTTATACATGCTCGACGATATACCCTCTCTCCCCTCAAACAGAACCGTCCAGATTCATCTCCTGATCCCCACAAACAATCTCATGTCAAATAAGACGGACTCCGGAACCATTGGCAGCGACGGGGTCCCAGGAATACGCCGACCAGGCACACGATCCTATCCGAAGAGCCGGATAGATTAATCCCCCTCCGGTGTAATTTCCAACGTCCCTGGCCCTTGACCGATTTGGACCGACATTTCATTTCGCCAGACCGCGTGGCGTTGTCAGCCGGTGCGGTGAAATGAGCAGATTGTTGATTATTGATGAACCGGTGGGATTTGCCGGTGGAGAGACAATCTGGAACGCCGGCCGATGCTTAGCCTGCTCGGTTTGCTGTGCGGCGTGGGGCCACGCTGCTTTAGATGAAACGGAGATGGAGCCATCGTTGTGCCGGTTGCCTAGTTTTGCCCGACGGTTGGGGGAAATTCAGGGTGCAAGGAGCGCGACTTTCGACGGCGAAGTCGGTCAAAAGCTTGTCTTGGGGAGGTTGTCGCGGAGAGATTAATTGTGGATGAATTGCGATCGCGGTATACCGTATACGGTGCGGAATTGTAGGCCGTCCACGCAATGGAAGTATATCCTGGCTTGATAAGACTGTTCAATAGTTAGTCGGAGTACTCGGAGTAGAGCATAAGAAAACTATTTATGTGCATTTCTCAACCAGCGTTATGAACTGGCATTAACTATGAGATATACAAATTCGTGTCCTCGTCCATGTGTCCTCCTCGTTCTTCTCTCTTATGTCCGTGCTTGTTATATATGAATACACTTTTTACCCAGCTCTCATAGCCCCAGCTATCTATGCCGTCGCAGAGGCCTCGTGCAGTCTCACCGTCACCGGGTCGGCCGGCGCCAGGGTCAGCGTCAATCCGTACCGAATTTCCTGCTGCGGGTTCACGTCCTCAATCTGATCGAACCGCTGCAACAATCGCACCAAAACGTAGCCGGTCTCCGTCAACGCAAACTGCTGTCCGATACAAATACGAGGCCCGCCGTTGAAGGGAAGGTAATCCCAGTTCACCTTGCGATCCACCCAGCGCTCCGGGTCGAAGGCGTCGGCGTCGGGACCCCAGAGATCCGTGCGGCGCTGCATGGCAAAGACGTGGTAAACCACCGGTTGACCCTTGCGGATGTATACGGGCGCCTCGCCGTCGGGCCCGCCGCCACGGGGCAGCGTCGTATCACGGGTTGCAACGCGCCGGTTACCAGGAACGATGGGATACAGACGCAGCACCTCGTTGATGACCTGATGCAGGTAGCGGCAGGATTTGAGCGAGCCGAAGGTGATGTCGCGCGGGGCGTCATAGGTGCCGAAAGTGTCGAGGATGGTGGTGCGCAGCTTCTGGAAGACGTCCGGGTGCCGGGCCAGGAGTAGGATGCACCAGCTGAGCAGCGAGGCCGTGGTGTCGCGACCGGCCAGTAGGATGTTCAGGAGCTGCGAGCGCAGTTCGATGGGGTCTTGGGTGACGGCAGCAAGTCCGTTCAAGAAGTTGTAGGGTTGCTGCGATTCCGTGGCGGACTTCTCCGAGTCCTCGTTCTTGCGCTGCTCGAGGGCAGCGGTCACGAACCGGTCCACGTAGGAGTGCACCTGGGAGTCTATGAAGTGGCTTTCCTTGTTGTTGGCCATCCAGTAGAAGCTTTCCAACCGGCCACGCTGCGCTGCGTACCACTGGCCGCGGTCGAAATAGTAAGGGAATTTGTCCTCGGCGATGTGGCCGTTCACGACGGCAGTCTGGCTGTCAACGCTCTCGCCGAATAGGAATTCCGTCGCCGAGTCGATCGTCAACCGAAAGAAGATGGATTGGATATCGGTGGTACTCGACCAGCCGGTTGATGCATCGATGGGGATGGCCAGCATGGCGGCTTGGACGTGGCGTTCCTCCAGATCAAGATCGCTGATTTGGTCACGAGTAAACTGCGGGCGCAGAAGACCTCGCGAACGAGACCAGGCTTCGCCGTCGGCCGTGAACTATTCACATGACAGATCATATTAGCCTTGCGTTACCACAAACACACTATTGAAAGGATGACGTACGATTCCCGATCCGAGCAACGAGTGCAGCGCATTCCGTCTAGGCTCCCCTAATTCAAAATCCCTGAATTGCGTGGCAAGGACGGCCTGAACGTTCTTCGGGTCGAAAGTGACGATGCTCTCGCGACCAAGTTGCACCTGTCGAAAAGTCGTGACAAGCCGGTTCTCTTGTTTGCGCAACGTTTCGAAGCGAGCACGGAATGTCGGCGGGATCATCTTCGCTTTGTCGGCTCGCATCACCTCTCTCAAAGTGCCCAAGCCCAGCCAGCCGCTAGGATATTTAGGGACGGGGCCACATTGCCGCTGGCGAGCATTCTGCGCATGGCGCAACGAGTTGAGTATACTCCAGAGTAGGCGCAGGCCGACCAGAACGGCCGCGAGGGTCAGAAAATGACCCATTCTAGGATGGGCGAGGAAAAGAAGGTGTTGTCGAAGGGAGGGTGGGAGGGGGAGTTTCGGGCAATATCGAGATAATTTATATACTCCGTGTGATCACTTCCCGAGTTTGAAGTTTCCGTCGACCGAGCCAGAGAAAATAAGAAAGAAAAGAAAAACTACTTATATATCATGACCCGGGGGGCCAGACGCATGCTGCCTACCGACTACCGAGGCAAGGAGGCGTCGACATTATAATCTATGGAGCAACAGGGCCGAATTCAGCAGAAGATGGTGTAGTGGAGTGGAGAACAAGTTTCCTTAGTATCTCGGAGAGGCCGGTGACGCAGTTTAGCAAAGATGGTCCAGGATGTGGAATTCATTCATTGGGATTCGACGGTCCACGGCCCCATGCATCGGCGTGCATCGCACACACCCGACTCCGGCAGGTTTTTCTTTAGTCGGATCGGGGTGTCGATCGCTGCTTGGCGGTGGGAACAATGCAGCAGAAGTTGTGAACTTATGCGTGCCATGACGGTATAACAGACGTCTATTCATTTTCACTGCCAGAAAGTTGAAGGGATGACATCAAATGGCTTGCACCCTTGCAGGAGCCGATCAACTAGATAATGTCTGACAGCGGCAGACTTGCTCATCCATACATAATGATAAATCAAACAACAATAATATTTCGGGTATCATAACCATCGTCCAAAATCCAAGGGCGTCGTCCCTCATTTAACAGCAGATCTCACAGCATTCGAAGCAGGCGAGACCGGCGCAACTATTTTCAGAAAAAAACAAACCATGTTAGATCGGGATCGAAGATAGGGGAAAGTATGGAACAAGACGGGTCAAAAAGACGGGTCGAGAGGGGAAAATCCAAAGTCAAAAGGGAAAAGGGACGACTAACATTCCACAGCAGACGCCACCACCACCACCACCTCGGAGGTTCATCTGCATGGGTTCCTGGGAGGACTGGGTCTTGGTTAGTTGACCGTCGCATCATCGCATCAGATCTTCCACGGGGAAACAAGGGACCGAGTGTGACGTACGGGTTGTTCGGTGACCACCTGCTGCTGGGGAGCAGCGGGACTCGACGGTTGCTCCATGGTCAGAGTGTTGGCGTTCCAGGTGGGCTGGGTAGCCTCTTCCTCCTTGGAGGACTTGAACCAGGAGAAGTTGAACATGGTGAACGAAAGTAGTGTGTTGACGGAGATGAGCGTACGGGGTTATCCGATTGACAACAAAGAAAGATGGAGAAAAAAGATGGAAGGATGAAAGAAGCCCCCAACGGAGGAAAGACGCGGGTTTAAATGCAAACACGGCACATGACCGCTAATCCTCTTTCTCCATCCCGAATTTCAGTTTCTGACAATCTTACGAGGCTACAGAATTAACTCCATTGACGATTCTCGAATCTTTCTTCATTCTTCGTGCCGCCGGTCCGTGGATCAGCCACCGTCAACCCACGGTGCAGACCGAATTTTCATCTATAATTAACCACTCCCCTCTCCAAAGCCAGGCAACCGCGAAAATTATGGCTCAGCCCTGTGGTTAGGCCCGGACCAAGCCTCCTTGGCGCTGGCCGAAGCCTTTTGCCCAGTCTTCAGCCACCGCTGGGCTTACGTTGCTCGACAGTCGACACCCTCAATTTATTTACATTTTTACACCTTGCGCTTGAGGAGTCCGCGGAAAAAGTCGAAGCTGTTGCTGTCGCTCTGCAGCTGCCAGATGCGACCCGTCGGCCGATCGTTCCATCCCAACTCTTCGGCCAGCAACAGTCCGTAGTCGCGCGTAATCCCCTTGACGCGAGCTCGCGCGCCTCCCTCCTCTTCCAGCGTCACCACCTGGTTTGTGTGCAGCCAGTCGTTGTAATACATCTCTTCGAACCCTCGGTCAAATCCGGTGCGCAGGAACCGGGCGTACAAATCCTCCAGGGTCGTGAGGATGTGCGCTAGCAATTTCTCTAGGCTGATGGGGGCCGCCCGAGGACCCACAAAGCGCGCGGCGAGAGCGCTCAACGACGTGGTCGGAGAGGCGTTGAGGGCATTCACGCCGATGCCGACGACAGCAATATATCCGTTCCCGGAGAAATGCGAGTTGACCATGTTGCCGGATATTTTTAAGTAGCGTTTCTTGTCCGGATCCTCAGGATCCAGTGCATCTGGTGAGACCTAGTCAGCCGTTCTGTCATGCAGTCTAAAGGTTGGTTCAATTTGCATCTGGGCCGACTTACAGACGTCGTTGGGCCATTTCACTTTGACCGGCATGGCGTCGTACCCTTCGTCATAGCTCTTGATGCCCTGCACCACCGCCATGGCTGCCAAGTATTGGATGAACACCACCGGCGAGGACTGCAGCTTCTCGACCGGGTGTCGAAGCACCGTCGAAAAGATGAGTGCGCCGGCCGGGGACACCCAAACGTTGGATGTGCGCCCTCGGCCAGCCACCTGCGTGGTGGCGCACGACGTGAACCCTTGGGGCAGTTTGCGCAACAGCTTAGGGTTCCTGGTCCGGTTAGCCGGGCCGACAGATGCATCGCGGGAGACGAAGACTTACTTTTCCAAGATCGTGCTGGTGCTTGTCAGAACCTCTCCGTATATCAGATTCGACCCGAACTCAGACGCACCCTCCTTCAAGAGGGACTGACATCGACGAAGGTGGGAGTAGAAGGCGTGGTGGTTGAAATAGGGCGTCGTTTTCGACGACGGGACCTCGTCATGCACCACGATCCTCTTCGTAATAGCATTGTAATCGACGATTCCCTCCGAGCTTTGGGGCAGGGCCTCATCCAGGGAACCCATGCTCCATGTCCCGGCCTTCTCGATGCGAAATGTGTCATTCTCATCCTTTACATACTCCTCCTGCCCCTCTGTCGTGATGATGTCTCGCAGCGATGACACGATCTGTTCCGTGTCGGCTGGGTCCAGCGCGGAGAGATGCAACGACGAAAGCGACGGCACGGTCGTAGTATTCTGTGCAACCTGGAGACCCAACTTTCCCAGACAAGCCTTCAAGAAGTCCGTCCGCGCCCGATCATCCTCCGCCAGTGCGTCCACGATGCGGGCGTATTCCGGACCCCCGGCGCTCTTGTCGAGGTTGGCCGCGGCAAACCTACATTCGGTCAGCATCAACCACCATCCAAATTGCAACGGAGCACAAACTCCGGATGCGGTCCGGTCAGGATCGCCGCGCCCTCGCCCACCTTGCAGTAGACCACGGCGGCGACACCCGACCCGCCGTCGACATTCAATTCCTCCGCGTAGTCCGCCAGCACCTCCACACCCTTGTCTGCATACGACGCCGCATCCACGAAGACACCACCTCCATTGTAATACGAGCGGAACCTCGCCGGTACAATCCCGGCCGTCAGCGCTTCCTTCGAGACCGTCACCTCGGCAGCCCGTGCCCCGCTCTCGCTATGGTAGACAAACCCGCCGAATGCGCCGCCGCGACAGGTCCCGGGAAAGAAGGCCAACTCGCGCTCCCCGATCACCTGCAAGGTCTTGTCACCGACCTCGAACTCGCAGCGTTTGCAGCCGTAGTATCCGCCCGCGCAGAAGCCGAGAAAGGCGCCTCCGCGGCGCACGAATTGTTCGATGCGGCGGTTGCCCGCGCCGTTGAGAGCACGGCAGTAGCCCAGGTCTGCGCCGCCAGGAATCACCAGTAAAGCGCAAGTGAGGGTCCAGGGCTCCTTGATGAGCATGTCGGCCGTCACGGGGATCACGGCATAATGAGGGGCAAGCAGGCGGCGGAGGGTGTAGAGGCAGTGGCGGACGGATTCGACAGTAGTTCCATTGCCTGTATGATTTGAAAGACAGGGTCAGAACATAATACTGATGGATTTAGAAAGGGGAGAGCACACCATTGTACACTAGGACGTTGACCTTTGTGCCGTTCAAGTTGGCGTTGGGAGTGGCCATGGCGGGGAATTCGGTAGGAAGGAGATGCGATAATCAATCAATCAATCAATCAGCAACTCCGAGACAGAACAACTCGATCTTCCAGGCACAACCCGATCCCGATCGCAAGAACAGTACAATGTCGCAGAAAGAGCAACACCAAAACCCGCCCGTGGAAGTAGACGACGACGATGAACCCGACGACTGGTGAGTCAATGAGAAACCGGAGCGGACAAGTGCAGAGAGAAGCCGCGGAGCTGATCGGAGGCCAGGGACAAGCGGATCTTCAGTACGGGCTGCGCAGGTAGGCCAATGCAATCCAGTTCCCACTCTAATCTCTGCCTCAAGGCCTCAATTGACGGCGTGTAGTCGAGCAGGATAAGATGAACGACTGCTATTTTGCCAAAAAGGACTGGCGCAGTTGCAAGGACGAGGTGAGTCGGTCATGTCATCGCGGTCGGACAGGATGGGCCTTCTGTCGCTGCTGTTCCCTCCAGCTTCACTCATTGCAGCGAGACAGATTCTCAGCATCTTGTCTTGCTCACTTGAACTGCGCTGACTTATTCTCGCTTGTCTGCATCGACAGATGGAGGCTTTCCGCGAGTGTTGGAAACGTCAGGGCAACGACCAGCGCACGCAGACCAAGGATGCGTAACGGCGTGCGAGTGTAAGCCAGACAATGCTCCGGTTCTTAGATCCTAGCCCAAGCCTGTATACTATGATTCCATCTATTGCATGCTCTATGCTCTATTCCATAGTTTTCTTGAATCAATCGACTCTCTCCTCCCATCTGCAGCTGCCAGGCGTCGCATCACGTGATGACAAGCTGACTTCCCTTTCCGTCCATCGATAAGATTAATCTTCATTTCCTTCCTTCACTCAATCGCCTTTCTTCCCCCAATCCTCCCGTCTGCAATCATGTCGCTGCCTCGTCTCTCGCTCTCCATCCGCTCCGCGGAGACTCTGCTCAATCGAGCACCGACAGCTCGCCTTGCCCTCCCCCGTCGATCCATCACGCAGTCCGCCACATTCAGACAGCAACAACAACCGCCCCGACCAGCGACCAGCAGCAACAACGTCAATCCGCCCACCACCCCCAACCCGACCTCTCCCACGCCCTCCCCCGCCCAAGACCGCGCCTCGCGCATCGTCTCCCCGACCCCCTCGCACCAGACCACCGGCAACATCTCCAAGACCGGGCTCTCCGACAAGCCGCTGGAGCTGGACGTCTCGACGGAGGAGAAGATCGACTGGACGCGGTCCTTCCACGGACTCAGCGCGGAGCCCTTCCCCAAGGAAGCCGCCGACGTGCTCCTGGCCCCGACCGACCCCGCCGAAGTCGAGATCAAGCCCGACGGCATCCTCTACCTGCCTGAGATCAAGTATCGGCGGATTCTGAACCGCGCGTTCGGGCCCGGTGGGTGGGGGCTCGTGCCGCGCAGCGAGAGCATCGTGACGCCGAAGACTGTGACGAGGGAGTATGCGTTGGTGTGTAATGGGCGGTATGTTTCACTATCCTTTCTTTTGCTTTTTCCCCCGAACTGTTTGTGGTTTGTACGATGGTCAAGTGCTCATGAATATTGGAATATAGACTTGTGTCCGTCGCTCGAGGCGAGCAGGATTACTTCACGCCTGATGGAATCCCCACCGCCACTGAGGGCTGTCGGTCCAATGCGCTGGTCCGCTGCTGTAAGGACCTGGGCATTGCCAGCGAGCTCTGGGATCCGCGTTTCATCCGCAAGTTCAAGGCCGAGCATACCCGGGAGGCGTTCGTCGAGCACATCATGAACAAGAAGAAGTCTAAGATCTGGCTGCGAAAGGATGACCAGGTGTCGTACCCGTGGAAGGAGATGAATACGCGGTGATCGGGACCGATGAGTTTCTAGACAGCTAGGGGGTTGTGTCGATATGTCTGCTTGCGTGCTACGAGCAATGCAGAGATAGTCGCTTGTATTATAGTCATTGTCATCGTTGTTACCATACAATCTCTCAAGTCTAATGCAGAATAAATGCACCGTCAGTCGATCCATACGAAAGGTTGTTAGGAGTACGGCATCTATCGTTTCTAGCGAAGAGTGTACGAAAATCCGATGAAATTGATTGGTAGTATCTTGCAAAAGTCATGGAAGACCTCAAATCACCCCGCCCATACGCTGATATTAACCAAAATAGTACAAACTTCATATAACCATTGCGCTCATTTTGTATTACATCCGAGATATAAATGTATTGATATCACTGTAGATTTTCTTTCTCATTCCAGGATCATTGTCCTGCCTGAGGCGGTCGTCGAGAAACGAACGACCCCGGCATCTGCTCGTGCTCGGCGTCAGCCCCCCGACCCTCGGTGGGCGAGGCAGGTCCGCGCAGATACGGCGAGGGATATTCCTGGTTATGGCCGACGCCAGCAGGCGAGGCGTCACGCGCCGAAGGCAGCTCGAAGGGCTGGTTGGGATCATAAGGCCCGTCCTGCGGGTCGTAGTAGTTGCCGCCGCCGTAGTTGTAGTATTCTGGAGCGGCGGCCTGCGCCGGACGCTGCGGCACCGGTGCGGCGAGGATGGGAACACCCCCTGTGGCTGTGGGGATGGACGACCGAGTTCCCTCCTTACGACGGCCGGTCGATGCGGTTCGCTCGAGACTGCCGTAGCTGTTGATGTTGAGCTGCTTCTGTTCTGGCGAGGCGGCGGGGGTTTGGTAGTTATCGCCGTCCTGGACGTCACGGAACTCTTCCGCCGCGGGAGAACGCATGCGTGCGTGTTCCGGGGAGAGACCGCCGCTGAAGGTGCTGGAGGAGGCCTCGCCGGTTCGGTTACGATGCTGCAGCGAGCCAACGGAAGACCGGCCAATATCAAATCCGGTGGACTTGGAGTCGGCGCCGGTCAGGCCGAGCCCTTGAGGAGCATTGGCTGTGCTCTCGCGGCTCATGCCCCCGTCCGTGTTCTTGTCGGTGGTCTCATTCTTGGCCGGTCCGTCTCCATCGGGCTTTCCTTCGTCATCGTTCTCGTCCTCTGCCGGTGCTTCGGCACCGGGGGCGCGGATGGGGATCTTGCGCACCGCGGAGACCAGGGCACACATGAACTTCGAGCGGCGTGCGGCACGAACGCTCTCGTTTGACCAGTTGGATTTGTGGCGAATGTTCACGGTCAGCTCAAGCTTGTCCATGTCGCCGACACCCACGACATCAACATCAAGCTCGGGCTGGAAGTCACGGCAGTTGTCCTTGTCGCGCACGAATTGCTCTAGCTCCTCCTTGAGGTTCTGGATATCAACAAACGTCGTTTCGAACTTGACGGGGATGGTCAGTGTCTCGTGCATGGCATTGGAACGAGTGAAGTTGTCGATCCACAAGTTGTTGAGAACGACGTTGGGGACCTGCGTAATGCGGTGATCGGCAACGTTGCGGAACACGGTGAAGAGAAGGGAAATACGTTCGACAAAGTAGGCTTTGGAATCGATATCCACCCGATCTCCAACGTCGAACGGGTGCTTCACGAACAAAAAGATACAGGAACCCAAGACTTCTTGAGCAGTAGTGGCGAAGACGAAACTCAGGGACAAGAGGGAGGTAGCACCGGCGGCAATGACGGTGCCGAAACCACTCGTCACGAAGGAGACGAACACCAGCAGACTGACAACGAACGCGACGGTGAGCAGAAGATTGTCAAGGACATGAATCGCCTGGTCCACATCATGCAAACTGTGGGTCAATGATTTGCGCGTGCGCCCGATCTCCGCAACGGCCAAGATCATCTCCTCGAGACTAATATCGCCATTGCCATCTCCGTCAAGAATTTGGAAGCACTCATCCGCTTCCGCCTCCTTTCCTGCGCCCAGCACTTCCACAATATCGTCATGATAGAGAGCCTCACGGCCCTCGATGACAAACGACATCCAGATTCGACGGGCCAGCGCCTCGGACGACCTCTTCCGCTCAAGAGCCAAAGTGACGACAGACCGGGCCGAGTTGGGGTTGAAGACCTCCTTTCCCGTCAGCTCCTGGGCCACATCACCCACGGCAGCCGTCACTTTTTCACCGATTCGACCAAATCCGTGTCCAACTTCTCTGATCATGCGGAAGGGGGCCGAGCCCGCACGGGGCAGGCGACTTCCCTTGCTTGTGATCAAGTCGGAGACGGCAGCATCTTCCTCGGCAAATTCTTTGCAGTACATAGGAAACATGCTTCGCGAAGCCTCGTACAACTGCCCGAGGAGATAAACGTTCCGCTTGGACTCTTTGATCTTAGTATCAAACTGCTTCCGATGATAACTGATCGAGATAAGTTGAACGAGCGCTTTCTCCGCGAGAAAGATCAGACTGCAGACAAAGAGAGCAAACAGGATATTTTTCATGGTTTTCTCCCAAGACTTGGTTCCTGTATCGTTCTGCTTCTGCTTCACAGGATTCAAGGTCATAATCTAGTATGAACGTCAGCTAAATTGCCTTCTCAGTATATTTTTTGAAGAAACCTACAGGCAAAAACGTCACGAGGGAGATCACAGTCCAAATCACAGTTGCGATAGGGATCTGGAGCCTGTGAAGAATCAATGCATACTTGCGCGTTCCCGAGCTTACGAAACCGCACAGCACTTGGAAAATATAAGGCAAGACTCGGGCCGCCAGTTTGGCCACCCACAGACTCAACCAGATCACTTCGATCCAGGTGAAAAACCAATGTACAGGCACGCCGCCAATGGTCGCGTCCTGCGCGACCGTCGCGCCCACGATGATCGGGATGGCAATCAATATCGCCAGCGGCGTAACGTAGAGCATGTAGCGAGTGACAATGGAGAAGTTGAGGATCTTCTGATAGATGCGACCCATGGTGGTGATCGTCCCGTCCTCGCTCTCCTCCACCGAGGCCCCCATAGTATCGACCCTCCTCCGACGGCCCGGACCAGGGCCTGGCACCAGCCCGGTCTTTTCACTCGCATTGGGATTCGGGCTCCCACCTGGCGGTTGATATGTATTGGGCGACACGGGAGTATTGACGCTGGGATTCCGGACACCTCCTCGGCTTGGGACGGTGCTCAGCGGAATTTCGATGGTCACATCGTTCGGGTTCGCCATGCCTTCTTGCGAATTGTCGGAGATCTGTTGAAAACGATGGACGGACAGTCGCTTCTCGGCGAAACCAGGACGGCCAGACATTTATACGAGAAGACGATCTGTGGGTGATAATGGGTTTTTGTGAATAACCGGGTAGGGTTGGTTTGGAAGGGCAAGACAGCAGAGGCTGTCCTGCAGCCCCACGACTAGGACTAAGTTTGCCCGGGAAAGAAAGGATTGTGAGCGAATGGGCGAATGAGCGACACGAGATCGTCAAATGAGAGACATGAATTGCGTTAATGATTGAGAGATCGTGAGGGGACAAAATCGCAGATCTGGTTCTGGACAGTTTTGCTGTGGGGGGTAGTGGGTCGAACCGAGGAAGACGCGTGGGAAATGCGAAAAATTGGCAAAGCAGCAAAAGAGCGTGGGCAATTGAAACGAGAGGAAGAAGAGAAGAGGAAAGACGAAGAAAGTCGAGGCGACCGAGAGGAATGGAAAGCAAAGAAAGGGTGAGGACGCGAAGGAAAGAGAAGTGGAATCACCAGAGACAAAATCCAAAAAAAGAAAAGCAAGACGGGGCCAGCCTGAAGGCGCAGGCACCAACACGGGGGTGGTGTTTCACCTTACGCCTCTTCCTTCTTTCTCCCCTCTTCATTCTTTCTCCCATTCTTTCGGTTCCTGGGAGACCGGAATCCGTCGATCCGTTCTTGCAGGCATTCCTTCCAAGGCCGGAGAAAATTATTACTAACTATTGACTTGCTAGCGAGATGACCTGTCTCCGGAGTGCATTCATGATCTATCACGTCGTCTTCGACAGATCATGACCAAGACAGCCTTACGGACGTCGGCGAGTGTGCGCGGACCGATCTCGATCCATCACGCCTTGCGCCAGCCGTCATTCGCCAAGTGCAACGGTCCAGCCCCCACTTTTCTAGTGTTGAAGTCAAGTCTTGTCTTGCGCGGACGGCGAAAGACTCGGTCTGGTTCAGGGGCCCTCCGTGGCGAACTCTGTCAGCTCGTTCGATACATCTGAGTGGCTCTTGATTCCGCAGGCCCAGCATCGTGGATGGCGATTGGCGGGATATGTGCGACCCTTGGTGTTCGAGCCCTGACGTTGGCCTGACATAGTTATTGGAATCGAATCATGGAAATGACACCATCACACCGGGCTTTGGAAAGGGGTCCAATCCATCCAACAGGGACGGGTGCTGGAGTCTTTGTTTGAACGCGAGGGATTCTCTATACCGGGAGCTAGCAGCACCTTTCCGGGTCCACTGATCGATCACTTAGGACATATATTATATTTATCGTTATAGTCCATTGACTATTCAGTACTATTGGGAGATCGATCTGGATCTGTGACGGTCGGGAAATTAATTGATGGACTTATTGTCATCCCCCGCGGTACGGTACGGTAGGTATGTAGATAACGAAACAGAATAGCCGAATAGAAGAACCCAGTAATAGGGACCGTTATGACATCAAGGACACATTCTTTTCTTTGCTGTATATAGAAACCTCCTGGTCTTGAGTTCTAATAAGGGTCCTGGTGGTTATCTAGGGCCCTGTGATATATTCCTTATGAATTGATTAAGGCGGTGACAGCGTACATGTACCTCCGGGTTATGATTCCCCTGAGCTCACTTGACCTAAGCACGCCCTAAGTAATCTAAGATAACCACTTGAATGCAGAATAAGTAGAAGACTAAGTATCATAAATAAGTAATCTTAATAAACTATATCTCAATTAGTAATCTTCTTCCTACCTGCTTTTCTACTCTTAGTTTACTTCAGTCCGCCATACTCTCAAGAGCACTCAATGGAAGAACTCTACCTAGATATAATGTGACAATACCCGCCGTTGAGATCAGACAATCCAGTCTCAAAGGTTATGCCAGCTCCGTATTCTGCCGAAACGATATTAGGCGTGGAGCTTCTTGATCCTGGCTGTTAAGCCGAATAAATATTCTGGGAATCGATGGTCTAGTTTTGTACGCCAAAGCACAGAAATCTGGGTCAAGCTTGAAGCCTAAAAGCTGAGCGTGGAGGAATCTCCTGCGTCGTCCTTCCGTGTATAAGAGAGGACTGAATAAACTAAGTAGTGGCACGTATCTTCTTTACTGTACGGCACTCATGATTGGTCATTATATACCGCTACATCAATATGAAGGCGTTTATGGTTGGTGTCCTTAGAATATGGTCACAAACACAACTACTCTTAGGGTCTATCGCTCTCTGTGAGACAAGTGACTAGGATCTATTAGGCAGTCATGTTTTCCGGCATAGGTCTGAGCGCATGAAAAGCTCTGGGCTGATATCATACGCCACTTGGTCAGGCTACGCCCAAGTGAATACCGCCGACACTGGGATATTACACCTTTTTTGCATCAAAACAACGCAGTCCACCTGTAAATAAATTTGGCACTTAGTATATTCAGCGAGCGTTGAGATTATGGCACACCGAAGAACAGTTATCGCTACACCGCTCCGACAGATCGACATGGCAAAGGATGGCGACTTTTGGGTGTGGTATCGCGAGACTTTGGCAAAAGCAGATATGATAGACCGAAGTCTGGTGGCAAAGGGTCACTTTGTTCTTAGGGTTTGTCCTGTCATTCTCTCTCCATCATTCTCTCCCTTCCAAGCCTCTCATAATTTTCCCGACTAACTCTTCTTCGCTTTGATAATATTTTATAGCCAGCATTATGCGTCATCTGGGAGAGAGTCCAAGCATCTCTCCACAAGCAGCTGCAGCTCATGGGCGTCCAGAACTGTGTTTTTCCCCTCTTGACACCGAAAACCACGGATACGAGCGATGAATACAATCAACAGCATACTCGGAATCTAGAGGCAGATCAGCTTACCACTTCATCTATCATATACTCGCATTTTGCAAGGTGGATTCAAAATCGCCTCGACCTCCCGCTTCGTCTCAACCAGTGGAAGTTAGTGACCTGTGATGTATCGCACCCTGAGCCGCTCTTCCGAGCCCGGGAGATTCTCGTGCAGGAAGCACATACGGCACATTTGACAGAGTCGGATGCTAGTGAAGAACAAACGCAGGTTCTTGACATGTATGCTGATCTGTACGAAGGGCTTTTGGCTGTTCCGGTTGTCAAAGGTTACCGTGCTTATATTAACAGCAGTTATCCCTCCTCTGCCCTTGATAGTGCTGATGTCCATGGGTCTGCTGTGATTGCGTATGTGCCAACATTGGACCAATGTGTCGATGGAGGATCATGTCGTGCCTTAGGGCAGAGCGTCAGCAGAAAATACAGCATCACGGCATCTGATCGGACCGTTGCTCCCAATGATGGCGCTAGTTCTGGGGTGCACGTATGGCAGAATTCATGGTGTTTCTCGAACCGCGCCCTCGGCATCATGCTCGCAACCCATGGCGACGACGAAGGGATTGTCATTCCACCTCGTGTTGCTGAGAATCAAGTTATCATCATCCCAAGTGGAAGCCCACACAGGGAACAGGAATGGCAAACCTTATTAGCTGAAATCAATTCAATTGATACAGCACTGTCGGCGCTTGATCTGCGTGTTCAGGCGGACCTGAACGGCTCCCTCACATTCGGTTGGAAACTGCGTGAATGGACCATTCGCGGGGCGCCTTTGTGCATTATGCTGGGTACGAAGGAACTTTCAGACCAATACGCCAGAGTATATAGGAGAGACCTTCCAAAGCAGACGCGCAGGTCGGATATTCCGCTGGTTGAGCTTCCCGCCACAATTCCCAGACTCCTAGAAGAGATCCAGGGTAATCTCCTTCAGACAGCACGCAGTACCTTCTCGTTGCGCCAGCGGCAGGTAATTAACTGGCATGAACCACCCATTATCTCTGCGATAGCAAAGATATGAGTATGTGCCTTGTCCCTCACTGTCTCGATGAAGGGTGCGTGCGGCAGATGGAAACTTTACTTGTTGGGCCAGGCCATGATGGAACTACGGGAAATAGGAACATAACATGTCTGTGCATTCCATGGAGCCAACCTGTCGCAGCAGATACCGGGCTGGGTAAATGTATCAATTTTTGTTGTGCATCGGGTGCTATAAAGTGGGCAATGTTTGGACCCAGCTTTGAATGAACTACGAAAAGGAATACTGAATTTGTCACCAAGAATTCTTCAATTTCTACTCCTTGCATTAACGGACTCCTATTTTTATCTTGCGTCTATAAAGGTACGAACAATATAATAAAATCAATTGTACTCCGTACTCTATTAGCAAATTATAGCCTTTCTAATTATCATTATCATAATATAGTAACACATGAAAAGCTGTGCGACCGACTACCCACCAAGGTAGTTTCTGTACATAGATTACTGGGGTACTAATGTCTGCTGTTGGTTGTCAAGTGTATAGCTAATAAAGAACATATACTATGTTCTTTTTCGCTCCTAGTCCACCTCTCTAGCCGGATATACTCGGGTACTCTCTGAGATGAGGGCATTCATATGTGACTGCGCTAGTCCTAAACTGAGTTCTCTGTATAGATTACCCGGTACTGTCATGAACAGGTGACATCGCAGAAGTGCTTCTCCTTCCCTCCGTCTTCTCTCTTCTTCCTCTTCCATTTTTCCATTCTTCCCATCTTCACAGATTACAACAACTTCAAACCCCTGATCCATCTACATGAAGATCATTGAGCTCTGAAACGGATGGTGACACTGTCAGAAAGTATCTGCACGACCGGATATCGTGTCAACTCCGGATAGCTCGCTGCAACACTCTGCATTGACTATCTGTATATTTCCCGTACTGCATTGCAGCATTATGCATGCATCAACTGAGAATACATTCCATCCACAACAAGAACTCCTGGGGTGCAGCTTATTGTTTAATCTGACTTTTTCCCACGAGGTTGGATCGTGGGCCATGGCTCGGTTTAATAACCATAATTCTGTGCATGCAGCAGGCTAGAGCGTTCGTTTCCTTCCTTTAAATTATGTTCAACACCTCCGACGGCAATAACTCGGCGCGCCAGTGACGCCAGTACTAATGACGGCTGGACTGGACAACAATTCTCCATCTTCCAGCGGAACCCGTCCGCGGCTGATCTCTCCCAATTCGGTGCCTCGCCCGAACCTTCCCCGTCGCACAAAATCCTGTCATGAGCGAAGATCAATTGGAGTTAGTCCATGTTTCAACAAGTCGGTGAGCTAGCTGGCGGGCTCCATAGTCCTAGAGTCCTACTCCATCCGGTAATTGAGTTGGTCATGGCCGTCCTGACCCATTTGGAGGGGTCATTCATGGGACCATGATATGTACGAGGGACCGGGAGCTTCAATCCGGTAAATACTGCAAAAAGGAGCTCTTCTTTCTTGACTACAGTCCAGCACAGCACGTCTTCTCTCAACATGGCCGCAACCAAAACCGTTCAGGTCCCCCATCTCGGCGGCATCAAGGCCGGTTACGCCTTCTCCAACGATAGCTATGACCCCGCCAAACCGACATGCGTTCTCATCAACTCCATGTGCATGACCGTCTCGCTCTACCGGGATCAGTTCAACAGCAGCCGCCTGACGGATGCGATGAACTTGCTAGCCATTGAGCCTCTTGGCCATGGCTCGACCAGCTCCCCCTCCGAGCATTTCACCTACTGGGATACGGCGATCATGGCATTACAGGTGATGGATCACTTCGGCATTCAGAAGGCGTTTGCTCTGGGAACGAGTCAGGGAGGTTGGATGGTGACCCGCATGGCCTTACTGGCACCGGAGAGGGTGAGTCGTGATGGTTTCGAGGGGATAAGTATCGATAGAGCATCACATGCTAACCCCCGCGTGTAGATTCTCGGCCTCATGCCTCTCGGTACCTCCATGGACTCCGAGTCGGAAGACTCGCGATCCAAGGGATGTTGGGATCCTACGCCCATTCTCAAGCCCTTCTACGAGAAGTGGACAAGCCCTTCGTCTACCCCAGAATTTGTCATAGATGATGCGTGGTGCGGCATGGTGGGCGGCTTCGGTTTCGGAGCGGCGGCGACGACCGAGTCCAGCGAGTTCTGGACCAAAACCGTGAAAGAGGTGTACCAAGGTGACGAGGGCCGAAGAAAGGCGCGGATGGCAGTACTTTGTCTGTTGGAGAGGGACGGGCTGTTGCTGCGACTGAGAGACATCCAATGCCCTGTCTACTGGTTACAGGTGAGTAAACATTGACTTGACGCTTTCGGCCTCGGTGCCTCGGTAAACCCCTACTAATCTTTCGACCGGTCTTCAGGGAACGGAAGACACGCCATTTGGAAAGACCGTCCCAAGCGAACAAATACAACTTTTCACCTCGTCCAAGGAGGCCAAACTGGTCATGATCGAAGGGGGAGCACATTATCTCAACGCTACCCACCCGGACCAAATCAACGAGGCCCTATTGGACCTCGTCACCAAATATACCCCGTAAGGCATCAAGCCTGACAGGCCTGTCAGAGACAATCTCAGACGGGCGGCGCCCAACGGTCTGAACAATAGACTTTGTCTTAGTGGGGATGGTTCGGTCACCAATTCATCGTGTCCAACCATTTGAGCGCCGCGGGCCAAAAGTGGTTCCGGCCATCATCGTCCGATTGTCCGGCTCAGAGGACGGAGCATGATTATAAGTACTACGGTGTAGGCTACTAGCCTGTCTAGCCAGCACTTGTCGCACCAAATGAAATGAATACGAATAGATTTTCGTCCGCGCCACTTGGTCAGGCCTTGGCCCGCGGACTAGCCGTGTAAGACTATCACTAAACAGGACATTGGGCCACCTTTTGGGGGGGAGGGGAGGAAGAAAAAACTTCACACCAAGGCAATAGGCGGATCCTGCAGATCGTTCGGCAGAAACGGAGGGTGGAGCCATACGCCAGGGAAACCCACCCCCGAGCAATCAGATGCCAGCAGAAGAGCTTAATAGACGGACTGTCAAAAAAGCAAATCCCGTTTCTGGCTTTCTGGAAGTTTGGCCTACAGTTCATGGAGTAAGGGGCCTGCGAGGCTAAGACCATGGCGTCGGACCATGGGGTTCAGGAACTCCCGGAAACGGGCAAAAGAAAGAAATGATCAACTTCGACTGGAGTCTAAGACTCTTCCAAATCGGCGGGAGATTTTTGACCAATCTGCCATGCCTTTTCCCTTTCTTTTCCCCGATCCCTGGTCATGGCCTCTTCATCTCTTTCATCTCGTTCCTCCCGGGCCAACACTAGTTAACCATGGACGACGATGACTCGAGCAACCTTCAGCCATGGGCGAGGGCTACCACTATTTCCGTCACGGTGCTGGCATTCGTGGCTGTCTGTCTTCGCATACTGGCTCGCTTTGAACGCAAACAGAAGTTGTGGTGGGACGATTGGATGATTGTGTGGTCGATGGTGAGTATATCCGCCCTGCACTTTCCGAAATATAGAAGGAGGTCGAAAATTGAGACCAAACCAGGGCTGGAATCTCGTGGTCGTCGGCTTCATCTTTGCAATGATCCATGAAGGAATGGGTCTTCATGCCGATACACTACACCCGAACAGCGTTGTCATGATCGCGAAATATCTTCTCGTTGCCGAAATCTTATATGTGTTCAACCTGGTGTGGACCAAACTTAGTATACTCCTGATGTACTATCGGATCTTTCGGTTTGGGTACTTCAAACTCTGGGCGTACATCATCGGCGGTTTCATCATCTGCTGGGTCATCTGCATCACGTTCTTGTTTGTTTTTATCTGCGTGCCTGTTCAGAAGCTCTGGTATCCTTATCTCGAGGGCCGGTGCATCAACCAGGTCGGCACTTGGATTGCCAACGCAGTTTCCACTATTGTCACGGATCTGGTCATCCTGGCTCTTCCGATTCCCCAGATATGGAGCTTGCAGCTGCGAAGTTCGGAGAAGATGGCCGTCACGCTTGCCTTTGGACTGGGATTCTTGTACGTATTTTCGCATTGCATGCGAATTTCTCATGTCTGTTCTAACAGATCCCTCCTAGCGTCGTCTTCGCCTCTGCCTACCGCTTCTCGGTCCTTTTCTCCTACTCCGTGGCCGACTCATCCTACACCCTCGCCCCAACCGTCGGCTGGACCGCCATCGAGATGTCGGCCGGCATCATATCCGCTTGTCTCCCCACCCTACGACCGGCCCTTCAGCTGGCCGCTCGTCTCCTCCGGATCAAGGGCAAGCTGCCGGCGCTTCTCCGCAGTCGCACCATGCCATTCTCCAAGGGCAGCCAGTCCGATCCCCTCAACGTGCTCCCATCCACCATGGACAACAAGAATCCGCCCAGCACTGCGACAGAACACCACGGCAAGCCGCCGAATCGGCATTCCTTCTACCACCTCCCGGATGATTCGGACGAGGGGTGTTTGCAGAGACAGCTGGACGCGGCGCTCCGACCGGGCTACGACCATGGGCATATGGTGACCAACGTGTTGAGTCCCAGCCTCAAGCCGGCTCACAACGGCAAGTCGGATAGTCTGAGTGGCGATGAGATTCCATTGCATGGGATCCGCGTGCAGACGGACTTCACGCAGGCGATGGCACATAAGTAGTGTGCTTGCTGTGCTATGCTATGTATATGTGCACGATATTTCATTTTGTATTGGAAATAAATAATAATAAAAGTCATAATGCTCCTACTTTTTCCCCATGCGCAGTATATTACTTCCTACAGAGTAGGTAACCTCGAGAACCACACCCCATCTCTCACCGCATCCCACAAATTACAATAACAAATAGATCAAAATAAGAAAAACGAAGCAGCCTAGCCCATCCATTCCACAACGTCAAGTGCCGGAAGCACCCGGATATTGATTAATTTTCCCACCTAGTAGTCCTCAAATCTCCATCTGAAGGCAGGGCGAACCCACAAATCATCAAAACCAAGCTAGTCAGTCAAGTTGCCTGCCGTTTATTAATAGCCCAGGGGCACTGACAGTGGGACACCGTCCGTACTTCGTACTCCGTAGTCTTATTCGTAAGAAGTAAAAGTAAGACTAAGAGTCGTGCGCGGCGCGGTGCTCTGCGGCCTGCGCACAGTTCATGTAGATCCGCTTCGTCGGGGAGAGAGAAGCGAGAAGGGGATACTAGACGACAAGGGGAGACAGATAGGGAAGGTGAAGCACGAGGGGGTGCGGATGAGTTCCTCTCTCCGTGGGAGTATCAAGGTAAATGGAGTATATACTTTATTTATGCTTTTCATTCATGTCTAGTGGTTTCTCTAGTAATATCTGTAAATATCAAGCGGGGATATTGTATAGACTATAGACCAAAAAAAGGCCGGATCATTGCATATCCAGAGTGTCGGATTGAACACGCGGTCTGGGCTAGGAACGTCTGGTCTGTGTCAATGACATATAGTATTATCGTTATATTGCTAGCTAATATTAATTAATTAAAAAAGATAGACTAGCGGACAGACAAAATGAAACAAGCCCAAAGAAGAAATAAAAGCAACTAAAAAAATGCATCATCCGTGAATCGAACACGGGCCTCGTCGATGGCAACGACGAATTCTACCACTAGACCAATGATGCTGGTTGATATATTGGACATTGACTTTTGGATATATAAAGCAGTTGCCTTGTTGATAAGGGTCGTGGGTACATACCTCCAGTATCGAAGTAGCCATCCATGTATGTACATTAGGTTATACCAGCCATCATTTATATCAGACAGCTCACGAATCGAGTTAACAAATATGCCACAAGTAACGCACAAGGCAATCTACGTACCAGCCCAAGCAAGCCCACTCGAATAGGAAAATTTCCTCCGGAGTCAGGGTCCGACCCGCAAGAAAACCAGAGGTTAGGTACATAGAGGTTATGATATGCTTCTATTATGGCCTCGTATTGCATGGAGTTAGCCCCGGATTGCACCCATGTCTCATCGGCATGTCCGATCGACTCTTGACCAGGCTGGATCTGCCAATCGAAACCCGGTTTTGCCACCGGACGGGACGATACTCGACTCGATTCTTATGTGTGTGGCTTGGCCTGGTCTAGTCGGCTTTTTCCTAGGCCTTGGAAGAGGAGGTCACAAAGGTACTGTACAGGTCAAATGCTCGAAATGATTGATTTGTAAGAGGATAGCAAACAAAACAGAGTTTTGGGACAGATGAAGGAATTATATTGGACGGCCATCGTTTATGGAATGTGGAGTCGTACATACTACACCGTATGTACGTATATTAGCAAACTTTGACGAGTCAGTGTCCATGTCACTCATGCCAATCAATTACGGCGACCAACTAATTAACTAGCCATCAAGCGCAAGAGTCCGACTGCATCCGTCTCAATTCTCCCACCACTCGCTCTCGTCCCCATCCTTCCTTCAAGCCCCGACGCACAATCTCCTGCTCGCTCTCAGGTGCCATCCCACTGGGCGCAGGCGGCCGACGGTCCAGATTCGTCGGGAACGGATACCCATCTGCAACCGCCAGCACAAACGCCTCCAACGGAGCGTCCAGCGTGTTCCCCGCTGCTCGATACCGCTCGATCAGGCCGTCCCAGCACCGATCCACGATCGGGACCGTATCGATGGTCTCCATCGTCTTGCCTAGCCCGCTGCTAATCTGAAGCAGGTTTGCTTTGCGATGGAACCCGCCACCGGGGCTGCTGCTGTCAGGCTCCATCTCATTTGCCCCCGCGGCGTGGAACACCGCCGGGTTAAAGAATAACCCGTCGCCCAGCGCCAGCGGCAACGCCGTGTAATTGGCTTTGAAATAAGCCCGGAACTCGTCCCGACGCCATGCTAGATACCCCACCTCGTAGGTCTGGCTGAAGGGGAGGAAGCGCGTTGGCCCGCTCGCCGGGGGCATGTCGCTGTGCGCCACGGCGCCCTGGAGCGTGAGGTATTGGCTCGTGAGCTGGATGGAGCGCGGGAAGGCAGCGCAGCGGTCCAGCTCCTGGAACCCTAGGTGGTAGTCGCGGTGGCTTTCCTGGGCGGCGCCGCCGGGCTTGACGACGTTGACTTGCGCGGTGACCCGGTAGGCGGGACCCAGCCAGCTCTCGCTGACGAGACGGAGCCAGGGGTTGGAGTAGTAGTCGATGAAGGAGGCTGGGTCCTCGGTGGCATGCTTACTGAAGGAGTTCCAGATGCGGTCGTTTTTGCCGCCGACGGCGAAGTGGTCGCCCTTGGTGGTGGTGGATTGGCGTTCTTGGTCGACGATGCGCTGGAAGGCGGCGCTGGTGGATGCGAGTGTGGACTCGTACCGGCTGGGGTGGTACATGCCCTTGAGCACGAAGATTCCGGGCCCTGCGTTGAGGATGTGGTGCCATTCATCTTGAAGGTCGTCGGCAAGGTGGGCATCGAGAGGATCTAGGGCGGAGGCATCGTAGATGGGAATGTTCTTCTCCACCGACGCTGCTAGAGTATATGTAGCTTTGTCGGTTCTCTGGGAACATATCTTGATGAAATCTTCCAGCCGAGGTGACTCGGTGGAGTACAATCTCTTTGGTACGGTCTTCGAAGCGGCGCTGGATACTGTCATTATGTCGGATGTGATGAGAAACTGGGAGGTAGGATCCAAGCGAAAGGTGAAGCCGAGGTCTATATAACCACAAACGACGGACCAGAATCCCGAAGTATCTAAAATGAATCCCGGGTCCAAAAGAGACGAGTCGATAATGAAGCACAAACAGGACAGGAAGAGAATCGGATGCAACTGTGGGTGGGCCACGTGCAGACGGAAACCTATATCCGGGGTTGCCAAGAACCAGACAGAAACCCGGGGAAGATGCAAGATGGTAGCAGAGAGAATAGATATGTACTTCGTCATCATCACGGACCAGAGATATTGATACACATATACAGATAACCATGTCAAGACTGGGCTTGGGAGCCGGGCAGTCCCAGCCAAAGTGCGATCCAAATCGATACATACAAGAAATGCTGCAGGTGTGCCTATCCTTGGAACACAAAGATTGATTGGAAAATGTCTCCGGACTGGATGAATGGCAAAAAGTCACAAATGTGAATAAAAAGAACAAAGAAGATGGCAAATTCAAATGAAAAAGAAAGCAAACCAGAAGGGAAAGTGTTACTGAGGAACTTAAGCCGAATCAGTCTGCCAATCAAGAGTTGTATTTAAAGAGAATCCCAGCCTGCGCACAATTCTATTAATGCCCCGAATTTTCACCCGAAAAAAGAAATGAAAGAAATAGCCTTGAGAATGAAAATGAAAGTGTGGCCATGTCAATGTGGATGAGAAAATAATTTAGACGATTTCGCTTGCCGACTCGCTGACAATTCATGCATTCATCATAACGACCCCAACGTCGGGGTTTAGAGCTTGGTCCACGGCGGCCACCTCGTCGGTTGTGTTCGATTCACTCAGTATAAGTCGATTCTCAGACAGCGTATCCACCAGCGAGCTCGGTCGTCCCGCCACGGTGAACAAGACCTTCAACAAAACACTTTGGCTCTCAGTGCCGTTCGGCATCTGAACAGTCTGATGTCGAGTGTGAGTGAGGAGAGTTCGGACTAGAGACCGAATATGCTGATCGGTTGATGCATCTTGAATCTTATCCAAACCATCGATCACACATACGACGAGCGGCGGGGCGTAATGCAAGAGTATATCGATCAACGACAGCACCTCTTTCCAAGAGGTTAGAGTGCCGTTCAAGGGACTGAATCGCTCCGTGCTCAGGTTGCAAGCCGCATGGCCTTCTAATACAGGTGGCAGACAATCGATCAGTTGTCGGATTAAACTGTACGCCAACGCGATGAGGCTTTGTTCGCACTGGGTCATTCCGTCTCTTACTTTGGTCGGCAGGGAGCAGAAGTGGGAGATGACAGGCAATTTAGCTTGACGGGCGAAATTGGCGATGCAGGCGGAGATGAGGGCAACCGGGCTCACGAAACTCGCGGACGGAGAGCCTCCCACGGCGAGGACCTGGGAATGGCAATTAGTGGCCCAGTGACGCAAAGAGTCCGTCAGACTGTCTTCCGCAGTCACTTGCACGTCCGATTCAAGATCGGCTACCTGATCGTCACAGTCGAAGAAATCCTGCAGGTGTTTTGAGGCGACCTGCAGCTCAATCCGGGTATACTTATGCTTGAACCCTTGGGACCATTTGAACCTGGAAGTGTCTTGCGAGGATGGTACTGTTAGTTCCGACCGCCGCTCTATCCCAAGGTAACCGTCCTGCATACCTAAGTCCTGCGCAGCAGTAGTGGTCAAGCAGGCAATGCCACTACTCTGCTGGCTCACGGGGCGCATCCGCTGGTTGGCTCTCTCCAACATGTTCGAAAGGAGCTTCTCTCTCTCGGCCATCATGCTGAGACGCTCGCATGCATTGTTTTGTATCTCCCATATTAACTGACGGGTTATGGCATTTTGAGCTGCATACCGACGAGCCTGCTTTTGCAGGCCCACCTGGCTGAATCTCGCATTCTCCCACAGTTTGAAATCCTGGATAGGCGGCTTGCGTGATTTGTTGCTGTCCTCTTCGTCCAGGTCCATTTCATCAGGGATTGCACGCATGATATCCTTGGCTCTGCGCTTAATCCTCGAAAGAAGCCCGCTAAGGTCCGAGTACAGGTCGTGGTTCAGACTCGTCAATAGACGACACTTCAATGTGCGCACATACCAATCCATTATCTCCCCCAACATGAAAAAGGTCATAGAATAGAACCGGGCGATATGAAGAATCGAGTCCTTCGAGAGGCCGGCTTGGCCGGTTTCATCCTCTCCGAGCGGCTTGATCGATTTGTTCAGTTTGAAGAGGGCCCTCATGAGACCCTCCACGATTCTCGGGTAATTCGCAGACGCCTGTTCCGACCAGGTCAGTCATGTCAATAGTCCTAGCTGGGGAGCACGTTACTCCACCTTTATAAGCGACTGTAAGGCCCCGTAGAAGAGGGATATATAGTATTCGTTCTTCGGAAGGGCGTTCAGAAGCACGGTATGCAGTTCCAAGGTGTCCCGAAATTTCTGGCAATATTTCATCGAGGCCGTAAACAATCGTTGTTTGGAACTGGACATCCAGATATTCTGCACACTCTGTATGACTGCCAAAACATCGTCGGAGGTTTGGGCGCGATGGTCGAATTTAATTTGATCTTCGGGTGGAAGGTTATCCTGGAAGATTTTCCAGGTTGTAGCAAGTTCGTTGTATTCGATGTCAAGGTTGGCAATTATAGAATTTCTGGGGGAAGTCCGGTCAGTACGATCTCGCCAGGGTGTGTTTCAATTCGATCCGTCATGAAAATATGAGATGCGTCATAAAGAGTTGGTTGACTGAATGTCAAGTGTCAACCCGGTGGCTCCCAGTGGATAGATGGAGCAGAGCGTAGACCACCTGGTGAAAAGTGGAGGCGACGCAGATCATCCGTGCGATCAGATGAACCCATGAAGTACACCGGAGTAAACAAGAGAGATGTGGGCGGGGACAGCTCCAAGACGAGTGGCAACGAGCCATTAATATACAGAGAGTGTATACACAGTACGGGACAGGAAAAAGCAAAGACAGGTGGAGAACTCACGCCGAAAGAGGCCTCTTGTCGTATCGTTTCCTCCAAAAGCTGATGGCGAGTTGATCGTCGTCGGCCGGCGGAGGGGCCGCTGGGACGGCAAGGGACTGAGGGGACATTGCGGTGGTGCAGAGTCAAAGCGGCAACTCTCTCTTGTTGGCTGTGGGAGCTGAAGTAGGTGGAAGGGGGAGATGCAGCGCGAGGACATCGAAGCGCTCATGTCAGGGGGCTCGGTCGGCAACTCGAAGACAGGAAGTTGACTGGCGTTACGAGGGTTCGCTCCAAGGGGGTGGGCGAAGAATGGATGGGATATAGATAGAATAGATGACTGAAAATGAAAGAATGAACAGACGATGAATAGGAAATGTTCAAACGGGGGTTGATGGAATTGTTTGTTGAGGACGGAGAAATCGCACGCTCTGATTCTTTCTTTGTTCTTTGCGGATGGTTTATCGTAAGTGGATGTTTATCGGGTCCTCCTGGGGGTGTTTTGTTGCATGGTGGATTTGTACTGCAACGGGTGGCCCCGCTAGAATAGACACATCGTGGTTTTTAATTTGAGATTCTGGGGTTGAAAAGAAGGAGGGAGAGGAGGGAGAGGGGGTGGAGGAAAAAGCGCATCACCAGCAGAAAAGTCAAACATGTAGGAGTAGAAAGGTAGAGGAAGAGAGAGAGAGAGAGAGAGAGAAAATGAGAGGGAAAAAAAACAGACAGTAGCAAGCAGTCTTTTTTTTTTCCTTAGACGAGAAAAGTACTTTTCCCTTTCTCTCCTGTCTGTACGTACCTTGGAAAAATAAGAAAAGAAAAGAAAAGAAAAAGAGAAAAACAAAATATTAGGTGGAAAAAAGGAAAACAGAAAAAAATAAAATCAAAAGAAGAGTGAATTAGCATTCTGGGGTTTCTGGGTATTTCCCCCCCTCCCCTCCTTATTATTATTCTCTGTGGGAGAGAAGAGCATCGGTTTTTCCCTTTTCTTCTCTTAAGGAATTAATTAATCATGATTTGTTCTCTGCTTGATTTAGGTTGCCTTTCGGTCGGTGTGTGCCTTTCTTTTCTTATTCATTTTGTCTCTCTACTCTCTCGAATCTGTCCAGTGATTCGTCCATTCAGATTGATTTACACATTCGCATTACGATAGAAGTTCCCGGGGTGAATTCAGAGAGCCAATTCCCCTGTCGGTTTAGGTAGTAGACTCTTCAGTCGATGGGAGCCTCGGCCCTGTAACGGTAAGAAACATTGACACCCTCAACAGGGAACCTTGCACGCCTCCCTGGCCCGCTGGTCCAATCATGGGCTGCTTGGCGATGGACCCATTGGTCGTTCAGCGTTCGAGGCCTCAAATGGAGGCGGGGATGCGCAGCGGGATAAGTATTCCAGACCCTCGCGGCCTATGGGGGGCACGGCTGCTAATTTTGGTTCGGCCTGGAATGGCGTTACTTTTCTTTGCTTTTTGACCTGCGTTATCTGGTTTGTTTTGTTACCCGCTGCTGGGATTCCATGGCCCGTCCTTTACTTGTCCAGCCAGTGTTTTTCCTTGGGAGTCTCCCTACTGTTCTTTGATCCCAGGGAAGAGGGAAGATAAAGGATCGGGGGGAGAAGGGGGAGTGCCAGACTCCGAGAAGGGGCGATGATATCCCGAGCATCACACCACCCTTCCGAAAGATTGTCGGCCTCCCTGACGGTATATCCAGGAATGACTGGCTGTCATACTTGTTTTATCGTTATTTAATCTTAGCATGGTGTCTATGATTTTTTATTTTATTACTGTATTATCCTTAGAGACTGGCATCTGACATAGTCACCAGCCATGGTCGCCAGTCCCCAGTAAGCCCCCCGGTGATCTAGCAGAATGTCTATCGAATAAATGAAGGCCCTAGCACCTCCAGATTGGCTCAAACCCATTTTGCACGGGGTTCTCTTTGTTCGTCTGCATTGACTCATGCAGGCGATAATCTTTCTTTTCAACTTGTTTTGTTTCTTATTTCTCTTTTATTATGATGACTTTCTTTCAGTTTCTCCTATCTGTCAAGAACGTCCGGACTAGGTCTTTTGACCAGCCAAAGGATTCCAGTGGGACCCTCAAGAAAGTGCCTGAGCATTTTATCATGTATTATTGTGTATAGTGTACCCACAATAAGGCACCTCGCATACTTGGCTGGACGAGTAGGTACAAGTACCTAATACTCTCTCCCTTCTCTTTCTCTTTCTCTTTCCTCAATTGAATCGGTATATGTATGCAGTCACTAAGGCATACACGCACACACCACCCTCCTAACGCATCCTCCCATCCATCAAGAGGCGGTTAGTTCCGATTCTGCCTACCTGCAATAAGAGCATCGATCTCTCTTAGACAGGTAAGATGCGAGAATTAGCCAAGTGCAAGCGGATTGGCGGCAGCACGTTCCATCGAAACACGACCACTTGATCGTCTGAGCTTTTTTCCCTCTCCCTCTCTCTCACTTTGGAATTATATTATTAATTATACCTAATTCTGATTTTTTTGTTTTTCCCATGAGCGCGGCTTTTTTAAGTTTCCTCCCACCTTGCTCCGTTCTTGCTATCTTTCCTGTCAGAAAAGGGACACACGGACCAAGTGTTGCTGTCACGGATGAGTCGAGACCCTGGCTGTCCGCCAATCGTCCGTCAGATGACGGGGCGCCCTTCCGTTCATCTGATTTTCGGGGTTTCTCGAGGACTGGACCGCCCAAGGACGTTTTGTTTTTTTTTTTTTTTTGGTACCGACCGTCGGGCTTTCCAACTGCTTTGTTCGGCCGTGACTATTTATACTTCTATCTTGATATAAAGTACTCCGTGCTCCGTACTCCGTATAGCTCATTTATCTGGTTGTAAATTCGAGGGCGTAACCCTCTGTGTTAGAAGGTGTGGGATATTCGACGATTGTTCTGCCGGGGTTAGTTTGCTCTTGTCTTATAACTCTCCTTGTGTGAAACGGGCCCCTCCCTCCATGTGAACCGTCACAGATGAAACAGGCAAAAGCTAGAGAAGGGAAAGAATAGAAAAGAAAAGAACGACAGGACCGAAAAGCCTATTATGAATCTCAAGCTATAACCCATAGTCTCGAATCACAAGGTTCAATACATAAGACAGACGGTGGCACAGAATCGCTTAGCGACGCCGTACAACAGCCTGGAGCTTCCCTGTTGCCTCCAGCACGATTGGGATTTCTCCCCGGACATTCTAGGTCCTTTCTTTGTGCAAATCATTGGAGTTGACCTGTAAGTAGGTATACTTCTCGGGGCGGAAGGGAGGGAGGGATATGCTCTGCGGGTAGGCACGTAGGGCACGGATTCCCCGTCGATCAACGAGGTTCAATATTCCTGTAGGATTCTGTAGATCAATTTTGGGTTTTTGATGTTACACCAGAGGGAATGATGAGACAACCTACCTGCTAAAGGGGGGGGGACATGTTTCGACCTATCTCCCACGCCATCCCGTCGCGCGACAGCTGCATCCGCTTGACATAGCTTCAGCTCCTCCCTTCCACATGCAGGTGCCTCAGCTGAATCACAAATGTCTAGTCCATGATATCACATCCACCCCCGAATGACTGACTGCCTCTCATTCTTCTCTTCTTCCCAGTCCGCTGTCAAGCACCCTTGCCAAGCTTTGGTATTCCGGGGTTGGTATGGGGTGCGGTCGGACAGGATGCAGGCGGGACAGGAATGGGTCACTCTAACTGTCTGATGCCCTGTCCGTCTTACTATTTCTCTTCTCTTTTCTTTTTCCAGTCTTGTCTAGTTTTTCCCCGTAAAACCTTCCCCAGACAAGAGGCGTCTTGGTTGACGTAATAGAGGGCCTAGAATGTTGGGAAAGAGACCCGTGGGCGGCTTTACTCGGTCATATGGGTAGCACGAATCCATGTCGAACATTCAAGAGTAGAGAAGATAGGTGATTTATGATCCTGACCATATTTGTTTTCTTAGGGGATTTTGTCCGAAATTCTAGATCGAGTCATGATTTCTCTCTCGAAAGAGGGTCTGCCCTACGACTGACACAGACAGGGTAAATTCAAGCTCTCATCGACGTGCTTGAACATCAACACCGACTATCCACTCGTCGAGCGTTTGCGAACAATACAGAATTCGACAGAAGAACGGACGGACTCCGAGAGATAAGAAAGACCATTGTTCAATTATCATGCCGTGCAAATAAAGTAAAGAAAGAAAGAAGGAAAGAATGGACCCGGGTGCCTGGCACGTTGCCAACCAGTTCCAGTTCATTACCTTAGTGTTGACCATTAATCGTATCGCGAGGCTAGAGAGACGAGGCGGAATGGAATGGAATGTATGCGGAAGGTTGATCGATAGGTCGATAAGAGACGGTCGCTCCGATTCCGGAGACAAAAAGAGTCAAGGACGATGGGCTCGTCTCCACATGGAAGGGGAAGCGGAGAATTGGCCGGGGTCATCGGGTTTCGAGTGTCCACTGCCTTGCGACCGAGAGGATCGACGGAGGGGAGATGGAATCCGTTTCCCTCGGATTTGTCCGTCTCTACACAGTACGGTGTACGTTGTGTACTGCTATCGATCTGCGAATATCCATTGTGATTGTACCCTTTATATGTCCTGTGAACATGTAGATGGAGATCAACACGACAAGTGTGGCTGAGCGAGAGCGTATTAGTCATGAGTACCACGATCGATCGGAGACAAAACAATCCATAAAGTTGATTGAATCCCACGTTGGAAAATACGGGATTGGGTTTCGCTGGCACTCTAAAAATACTCGACACTTCTGTCGGTCATCCTGTACTCCGTACACCGTATGCTGGCAGCCGACCGAGCTCCTCGAAAGGAGAAGGTCGAACCAAGGGAGCAAGTTGCCTTCATAATGAAATTCGAGACAACGACCACGGAACCAAACAGAGTTTCGTGGATGACGCAACGAGAGCGAACGGGCTGATCAGCTCTCTCGCTTTCGCTCACCTCATGGCAGGATGAACGTCGGCCGGACTAAATAACAACGAGGGCAGATCGCCTGCCGTCCAAACGCCAGCTGGCCCTACCAAGGGTCAACCCCGCACAAGAGTCGGATCGTTACTTCGTTAGTCGCAATGGAAATCCCTCCATCAGATAGATGTACACAGTAGATTAGACGC